AATTGTTATATCTTCTTCTTGGATCGATCCCTTGATCATTATGTAGTGTCCTTCTTTGTCTCTTCTAATAGTCTTTATTTTAAAGTCTATTTTGTCTGATATGAGAATTGCTACTCCAGCTTTCTTTTGGTTTCCATTTGCATGAAATATCTTTTTCCATCCCCTTACTTTCAGTGTGTATGTGTCTCTAGGTCTGAAGTGGGTCTCTTGTAGACAGCAAATATATGGGTCTTGTTTTTGTATCCATTCCGCGAATCTGTGTCTTTTGGTGGGAGCATTTAGTCCATTTACATTTAAGGTAATTATCGATATGTATGTTCCTATTCCCATTTTCTTAATTGTTTTGGGTTCGTTATTGTAGGTCTTTTCCTTCTCTTGTGTTTCTTGTCTAGAGAAGTTCCTTTAGCAGTTGTTGTAGAGCTGGTTTGGTGGTGCTCAACCCTCTCAGCTTTTGCTTGTCTGTAAAGGTTTTAATTTCTCCATCAAATCTGAATGAGATCCTTGCTGGGTAGAGTAATCTTGGTTGCGGGTTTTTCTCCTTCATCAGTTTAAATATGTCATGCCAGTCCCTTCTGGCTTGCAGAGTTTCTGCTGAAAGATCAGCTGTTAACCTGATGGGGATTCCTTTGTGTGTTATTTTTCCCTTGCTGCTTTTAATATGTTTTCTTTGTGTTTAATTTTTGACAGTTTGATTCATATGTGTCGTGGCGTATTTCTCCTTGGATTTATTCTGTATGGGACTCTCTGTGCTTCCTGGGCTTGATTAACTATTTCCTTTCTCATGTTAGGGAAGTTTTCAACTATAATCTCTTCAAATATTTTCTCAGTCCCTTTCTTTTTCTCTTCTTCTTCTGGAACCCCTATAATTCGAATGTTGGTGCATTTAATGTTGTCACAGAGGTCTCTGAGACTGTCCTCAGTTCTTTTCATTCTTTTTTCTTTATTCTGCTCTGCAGTAGTTATTTCCACTATTTTATCTTCCAGGTCACTTATCTGTTCTTCTGCCTCAGTTATTCTGCTATTGATCCCATCTAGAGTATTTTTCATTTCATTTATTGTGTTGTTCATTGTTGTTTGTTTCATCTTTAGTTCTTCTAGGTCCTTGTTAAATGTTTCTTGCATTTTGTCTATTCTATTTCCAAGATTTTGGATCATCTTTACTGTCATTATTCTGAATTCTTTTTCAGGTAGACTGCCTATTTCCTCTTCATTTGTTAGGTCTGGTGGGTTTTTATATTGCTCCTTCACCTGCGGTGTGTTTTTCTGTCTTCTCATTTTGCTTATCTTACTGTGTTTGGGGTCTCCTTTTTGCAGGCTGCAGATTTGTAGTTCCCGTTGTTTTTTGTGTCTGTCCCCAGTGGCTAAGGTTGGTTCAGTGGGTTGTGTAGGCTTCCTGGTGGAGGGGACTAGTGCCTGTGTTCTGGTGGATGAGGCTGGATCTTGCCTTTCTGGTGGGCAGGTCCACGTCTGGTGGTGTGTTTTGGGGTGTCTATGGACTTATTATGATTTTAGGCAGCCTCTCTGCTAATGGGTGGGGTTGTGTTCCTGTCTTGATAGTTGTTTGGCATAGGATGTTCAGCACTGTAGCTTGCTGGTTGTTGAGTGAAGCTGGGTGCTGGTGTTGAGATGGAGATCTCTGGGAGATTTTTGCCGTTTGATATTATGTGGAGCTGGGAGGTCTCTTGTGGACCAGTGTCCTGAAGTTGGCTCTCCCACCTCAGAGGCACAGCACTGACTCCTGGCTGCAGCACCAAGAGCCTTTCATCCACATGGCTCAGAATAAAAGGGAGAAAAAGCAGAAAGAATTAGTAGAAGTAGAAAGAAAGAAAGAAAAAGAAAGAAAGGAGGGAGGGAGGAGGGAAGGAAGGAAAAAAGAAAGAAAGGATAAATTTAAATAAAATAAGATAAAATATAATAAAGTTATTAAAATAAAAAAATAATTATTAAGAGAAAAATAAACGGACGGATAGAGCCCTTGGACAAATGGTGGAAGCAAAGCTATACAGACAAAATCTCACATAGAAGCATACACATACATACACACTCATAAAAAGAGGAAAAGGGGAAAAAAATCCTAAATCTTGCTCTCAAAGTCCACCTCCTCAGTTTGTGATGATTCGTTGTCTAAAGAAGGGAAGGAAGGAAAGAAAGGACGAAGATAAAGTAAAATAAAATAAAGTTATTAAAAAGTAATTATTAAGAAAAAATATTTTAAAAAAACGGACGGATAGAACTCTCGGACAAATGGTGGAAGCAAAGCTATACAGACAAAATCTCACACAGAAGCGTACACATACACACTCACAAAAAAAGGAAAAGGGGAAAATATCCTAAATCTTGCTCTCAAAGTCCGCCTCCTTAATTTGGGATGATTCGTTGTCTATTCATGTATTTCACAGATGTAGGGTACATCAAATTGTGGAGCTTTAATCCGCTGCTTCTGAGGCCGCTGGGAGAGATTTCCCTTTCTCTTCTTTGTTCTCACAGCTCCGAGGGGCTCAGCTTTGGATTTGGCCCCACCTCTGCGTGTACGTCACCGGAGGGCATCTGTTCTTCGCTCAGACAGGACGGGGTTAAAGGAGCAGCTGATTCGGGGGCTCTGGCCCACTCAGGCCGGGGGAGGGAGGGGCACGGAGTGCGGGGTGAGCCTGCGGAGGCAGAGGCCAGCGTGACGTTGCACCAGCCTGAGGTGCGCCGTGTGTTCTCCCGGGGGAGTTGTCCCTGGATCCCGGGACCCTGGCAGTGGCGCGTTGCACACGGTCCCCGGAAGGGGGCTGTGGATAGTGACCTGTGCTCGCACACAGGCTTCTTGGTGGCGGCAGCAGCAGCCTTAGCGTCTCATGCCTGTGTCTGCGGTCCGCGCTTTTAGCCGCAGCTTGCGCCCGTCTCTGGAGCTCCTTTAAGCAGCGTTCTGAATCCCTTCTCCTCGCGCACCAGGAAACAAAGAGGGAAGAAAAAGTCTCTTGCCTCTTTGGGAGGTCCAGACTTTTCCCCGGACTCCCTCCCGGCCAGCCGTGCCGCACTAACCCCCTGCGGACTGCGTTCACGCCGCCAACCCTAGTCCTCTCCCTGCGCTCCGACCGAAGCCCAAGCCTCAGCTCCCAGCGCTGCCCGCCCCCGGCGGGTGAGCAGACAAGCCTCTCGGGCTGGTGAGTGCCGGTCGGCAGTGATCCTCTCTGCGGGAATCTTTCCGCTTTGCCCACCACACCCCTGTTGCTGTGCTTTCCTCCACGGCTCCAAAGCTTTCCCCCTCCGCCACCCACAGTCTCCGCCCGCGAAGGGGCTTCCTAGTGTGCGGAAACCTTTTCTCCTTCACAGCTCCCTCCCACTGGTGCAGGTCCCGTCCCTATCCTTTTGTCTCTGTTTATTCTTTTTTCTTTTGCCCTACCGAGGTACGTGGGGGATTTCTTGCCTTTTGGGAGGTCTGAGGTCTTCTGCCAGCGTTCAGTAGGTGTTCTGTAGGAGTTGTTCCACGTGTAGATGTATTTTTGGTGTATCTGTGGGGAGGAAGGTGATCTCCGCGGCTTACTCTTCTGCCATCTTCCCGGCCTGCCATCCCCACAACTGTCACGGCTTCGGCCGCCGGGGCCCCTCCAGAGACGGCAGCCTCAGTGAGGCCGCCCTCCCCTCGGGCTCTGGGGCCGTTCCGTGATGGCGGAGGGAAGAGACCCTGAGCTACGGGAGTTCCAGCTCTGCGGAAACGTGGGCTCCGTTCTTGGTTTTGTTTTTAAGTAGCATGGTAAATCTGTCAAATTAACAGAGTCTAGCAGACATTCTGGGAGTAGACAGTAAACCTTCCATCCCCATTTGGAATCTACTGAATGTATTTCATTTTTAAATTATAGAACTGGTGTGCTAACATGGAATTAAAGAAAGCAGCTGACTAGTTTTCATCATCTAATGCTGTGATTTGGGTCTTCAATTGCACATACTCATCTCTGTCCAAATGTTGTTTCATTTCTTACCTACCTAAATATACATGTATCCACAGTATCTGATGGCTTCAAATACCACATATATACATACTTGACTAGTTTACTCAGTATCTCCACTAGGGTGTCTAATACATAGTATTCAGAACCAGACTCCTAATTACAGATACCTGTCCTCCCAAAGGGCTGTCCTTGTGATCTTCTCTCAGTAAAAGCCAACTACATTCTAAATACATTGTAGTCATCCTTGTCTGCTCTCATGTGCACATCTGATCCATCAACAGATTTCTTCAACTCTACCTTCAGAATACATCTGGAGTCTAACCACTTCTTACTAACCCCACTGCTACTACTATGTAATAATTACTTATGCTGTTGCTGTTCCTATAGTAAATTCTGCACTCAGCAGTTAGAGTGAGCGTTTTAAAACACAGATCACATCATCCCGTACCTCTGTTCACAGTTTCTAATGGTCCTTCCCATTTCCCTCAGTGTAAAATCTAGAGGACTTGCAATGGCCTGCAAGGCCCTATGTGATCTGGACCCCAGACAGGTTGCTAATGTCTCCTACCACTCTCGTGCATGCACATTTTGCTCTAGCTGCTCTGTCCTCCTTGAACTCAGGCAGGGCCTCTACATAGTTTTTTTGAAAGGACACTGTGTGGCTTCTTCCCCTACCTCATCTAGATCTCTCTGCTTGATTGTAGCCTTATTGGGGACCTTCCCAAACCAGCTTATAAAAAATAGTAAACCCACACAGTACAGTATTCCCTGTTTTCCTCACCCTGCTTTATTTTTCTCCATAGCATTTATCTGTCATATTAATGTTTTTATTTATTGTCGCCTCATACCCCTCCCCCACCGCAACTAGAATATAAGCTCTGTGAGATCTGGGACTTAGTTTTGTTCACTGCTGTGTTCCTAGCACAGTATGCGGGATCTAGTAGGTGCATTTGTTAAATAACTGCTTAGGAAAACGATAAAATTCAGATGTTAGATTACTAAAGCTATTAAAATTACCTCTGAACTGTTTTCTGTGAAATGTCAGTGTATCATTTTTATTTTCAGATTGGGACAGTGCAACTTTAAGTAATGAGTCACTCTTGGACACTGTGTCTAGATTTGTTCTTGCAGCTCTTCTGAAACACACAAATTTACTCAGTCAAGCATGTGGAGAAAGCCGGCAAGTAACTTAAACTATCCTCAGACAAATATTTGCTCTCATGATGTCAGAAGTTAAGTAACTTTTCTATTTTGGTTCTTTATTTAGATATCAACCTGGTAAAAGCTTATCAGAAGTGTACCGTTGTGTGTACAAAGTTCGAAGTCGTTTACTTGCTTGCAAGAACCTTGAACTTATTCAGACCAGGTCATCATCAAGAGACAGATGGGTAAAGTTGGAAATCAGTTAATTTCTATGTTTTTCTGCAAGCTGTGAGAGATAGCTCCATATTTGTGTATGTGAGGGGAAAAAAAATGTGGCTTAATTATTGCAGATGTTCAATAAATATTGAGTAGTTCTTTTTCTAGTGAAAATAATTGGATGAGTAGAAGATTGGGGGTTTATTTAACCACCCACTTATCAAGTGTGATATGGCTGCTAAGGAAGTTTATATATTCTTAGGCCATATAGGTAATAACAACAAATTGAATTGTTCAAATCATATGAAATATTATTCCTTTGTTTTACGCTCATCAGATCACGTTTGAATTATCCTATTTGATTTGGGGTGCCATAACTTATGAGGGATATTAGCAAAGTTAGATTGGTTAAAGGTCTGAAAATCATCTTATACAAGAACTGGGAAGTGTCAGAAATGTTTAGCTTAGAGAATGAAAGCAAAGGGGAGTCGTATGATAGGTGCCTTAAAGATATTTAAAGGACTTCCATGTAGGAGAGGAAATAAATGTGTTCCCTGTTGTTCCAGAGGGCACAGGTAGGACCAAAGGGTAACAACGGAATGGAGAATCATTGTTAGCTGAATGTAAGGAAAAAAGCCTTCTAGTGATTAGAGTTGCCCACCGCTGGAGGTAAAGATTGAAAACTTTCATTAAGGATGTTCCAGAAGTAGTTCTTGCAACAAAAATGAGATGATTTCTAAAGTGCTTGGTAATCCTGATAGCACGATCCTATAATTATGAGTATAGCCTGATACCTCACCTTCAAAAGTGCTTACTTTGAAATGTCATATGTTAGATGCTTTGCACTCCATTATTTAGATCTTAGATTTTAAAAACCAAACTTTATGTCTACATTTGTGTTATAGTATTCTTTTGGCATGCACTGATTTAATATTTGTGGATCCAACTATTTGTTAGTGACCTTGAAAGCCCATGAAATATACTAATTAGCCATTTTGTTGAGTCTCAAATTTGAAACTTAAATATTGTGGAGATACATGACTTACGTATTTTGTGAGTCTGACTGACTGCTCAGTATCCCCATCCAATCATGAATCACAAAATAACTTTTATTGTACATCTGAGGATATCATTAAAAAATTTCACTTGTGCTTTATACTGAAATATGTGGGATGTTTGTGACTCTCTTCACCACTGTTGTAAGGACTCTTTTCTTTAGATGACTGCGAGGTAGCATAACCACCATGGGAAATAAAATTAACATTGTCCTTACCAGATTTCTAATTTTTGGTTTCCTCAGGGACAAACAAAGTAAAGAAAATAATTAAAAACAATACTGTTTGTATAATCAAGATTTGCTAAGAGAGTAGAACTTAAAGTTTTTCACCAAAAAAAGGTTAAAAATGCTGTTTTGTTTTAAATTAGCATTATTAAACATTTATACAGAGTAACAATAACATACACAGCTTGAGAGAGACTGAATGGAATCACATTTCATGTTCTTTACCTTTTATGCTTGGTGTCGTACTCAACTCATTTTAACTTAGCAGTTTACAGCAGAACAGCAATGTGTATGAGTCAATTTACAGCATGACATTTTAATCAAAATATTGAGAAAGAGAGCATAGTTAGATGTTTCTGTATATTTTGTGTACATACATTCTTTCTAATCTTTTCAGATTTATCCAGTATATCTTTTGTTTTTGTGGTAAAATTCATGTGTTATTACTGCTATTAGCATTATTTTCCATGATAAAAAATCAAGGTTTTAATGATATTTTTCAAAATTAAAAAATATATATATTCAGTGTAGCTCTGATCATTCTTTAAGATCTCGGAAAACCAAGACTCTGCAGATGTTGATCCTCAGGAGCATTCATTTACCCGGACCATTGATGAAGAAGCTGAAATGGAAGAACAGGCTGAGCGAGATAGGGAAGAGGGGCATCCAGAGCCGGGGGATGAGGAGGAAGAACGGGAACACGAAGTGATGACAGCTGGCAGTGAGTATATCCGTCTTGCTTTACAGATACACACTGTGGCATTCTTTTTGGTAGGGAAACTGACTGTAGAAGAGAGAGGCAAAAACATTTCCTTACAGTTTTTCTAAAGAGGTGTGATATTCTCCTGATGATCTGATTAGCTACATTTCAGTTCTTACAACTGCTAGTTCCATCCTGAAGCTGTTGGATTGCATGTTTTGGGCTGAAAAGCTCTGGAAGCAGGCTTTTGGAAACAGTACCTGTTCCACTGAGTCTCATTTATGAAGTGATGCCCATGAGTCATTGGATAGGGACATTCAAAGCATGTTCTCTGGAGGGTACCAAGTTGTCCATTCACCTGGCTGGCCTCTGGGTGGTGAGGAAGAGAGCCCCTTTCTAAGCCTATTAGGAGAGCCCAATTATTTTCCATATGTAGAACTTTTTAAATTATAAACTTCCCCCACTGACTGCACTGCTGATTTCAGTAGAGAGCAAGAATATACATGAGAATATTATTGGCTGGTGAATGACATTTTTCATACTTTTTTATTACAAGGCTACAGATAGTTTTAAAATGTAATCATTTAGATGTTTAAAGAGAAATATGGAAGCTTTGAAATATTTGTTATCTTTTGAGTGATCTGGCTGTTTCAAGTTAAAGTGTATATTTACTTTTGTAGCCTAAAACATTTTGGCCATCTATGCATTTGGTATTGAGATTGTATATATATTTCAGTCAATTTGACACTTACTTTATTATCAATTTATCTGTGTTGTGCATACTTCTAAAAATGATTTTGAGGTGACTCAAAACAAGGCCAAAACCCATTAAAACAAGAGGAGAAATATAAGGTTCAGATGGAGAAGAGGGGATTGGAGATGAGGAGGTGGAGAATAATTTTATATATATATATATTAAAATATATGTATATATATAACGTGTGTGTGTGTATATATATATATATATATATATATATTTTTTTTTTTTTTTTGCTGTGCTGCATGGCTTGCAGGATCTTAGCTCCCCAACCAGGGATTGATTGAACCTGGGCCCTGGCAGTGAGAGCACTGAGTCCTAACCATGGGACCACCAGGAAATTCCCAGAGAATAATTATATTTTAAAACCTAGGCTGAGGGAACATTTACAGATGAACTTAAGACTTAGTTTAGAAATTCCTAAAAGCAAAGACCAAAGGGGAAAGCACAGTAACAAAAGATAACCCTCAATTATATTAAAAGAAAGCGTAATAGTTACCCAGGGAGTAATAATTTTTAAACTAGCTGCCATTTTTGAGCATCAGTTATATGCTGGGCACTGGGTCAAATGCTTCACATAGATTAACTCATAATCCTCTCCGTCTTAGATGATTCCTAGTATTACCCTGTTCTAAAGATGGACAAACTGAGGTTTAAGGAGGCAAAATTATGTGCCTAGGGCCACTGTTCGTAGCAGCTGGAATTAGAACCAGGTCTGCCCCAAATTCCAGTAACCATTCTCTTAGTTACTTTAACTGATTTCTAGCTCTAGACTGTTAGTTCGTTGCTTTGACTTTCTTAGAAATAAGGGACTTTCAAAGCATAATGAATATATTGTCATAATAATACTTTGAAATATACAAATGCATTTTTAAAGTTTGTACTTCCATATTAACAGACAAATCTAGTATTTTACTAACTTTCTTGCCTGGGTTCCCCATTAAAAATACCATCTTCACTTAAATTTGAGTAAAACATTCTTTTCCTATTGTGAAATACCTATCACTGCATCAGAACCTTGTTAAACCCACTTTTTACACTTGTGAATTGGGAAGAGCTGGCATAAGATGGACATTCCTGGTGATACTATTTGACTCTGGGGGCCGTCTTGGCCATATTATTATAACCAGATTCTGTTTCAGCAAAGACCTTTAATGGCTGTGCTTATGTAATATGTTTTAAATACAACAAAGTGTAGGTATTAGGAATTATATGGACTTCGGAAGGGGAAAGGGGGCTCTTCATTATAACTAATGCAACTTAACTTTTGTCTGTTTCTTTTGTAACCTGACAATTTCAAACCAAGGTTGTGAACATTTCAGAAATAGGCAGTTATTTTTATCTAACCCAGTGATTCTCAAACTTTAATGGCCTTCAAAATCAGCTGGAGGGCTTGTTAAAACGTACATTGCTGGCTCCATGCCTAGAGCTTCTGATTAGAAAGTCTGGGATGGGCCCAGTATTTTTCATTTCTAACAAGTGCCAGATGATGTTGATGCTGCTCTTCTAGAACCACACTTTGCAAACTACTGATCAAACTCATAAGAGTAGAAATAGAATCAACCAAATCTAAATTCTGTAAAGGCATAAGTATTTCCTATTGTAATTTTTATAAAAAGTTTAATGTTATACGTGTATTTTTGATAAAATTTAACTTAGTATTTAATGTCTAAAAAATGATTTTCCCTCTTTCAATAAGTTTTTGGTCCAAACTTTTTGACTGTTTTTATTGTTATTTTCTTTGCTCTTCTCTCCCCATGTGTTAAGACCTTGTTTTTGTGTTACATGTTACAGAAATCTTTCAGTGTTTCCTCTCAGCCCGTGAAGTAGCTCGTAGCCGAGATCGAGATAGAATGAACAGTGGGGCAGGGTCTGGGGCTCGAGCTGATGATCCACCTCCTCAGTCTCAGCAAGAGCGAAGGGTCAGCACAGACCTTCCTGAGGGTCAGGATGTGTACACTGCTGCCTGCAACTCCGTGATCCATCGATGTGCCCTGTTAATATTAGGAGTAAGTCCTGTGATTGATGAGCTTCAGAAGCGAAGGGAAGAAGGACAGTTGCAGCAGCCTTCCACAAGTGCCTCTGAAGGGGGTGGACTTATGACCAGGTGGGACTGACTAGAAACTTAAAACATTTCTCTCCTCTCCTTGTTTCTTTATGCATTGAAATGGTTTATTCTCACTTATTGTATTCTGAAATTAACACAGACATGGAGGAGGAAATACAAATTGACAAGGATGAATTTAATGTAAAGAGTGATACTAATTCAGCCTGGAGTATAAATTTCTGATTAAATGAGGAGGCACAATTTTTCACACATATAAACAACAGTAGTTGATTGGCATAATTCTGTAATTTAGTGGCATGGAAGTTATTCTGATGTAATTGAGAAGGACTTTGTGCTTAGACCTGACTGAGAGCAAGGGTTTTCCATTGACAGACATAATTACTCCTCACTGTGTGTGTGTTTTATCTCTGTGCTGCTAGTTCCATTCAATTTTATGTTCACTAACAGTCCCAAATCGAAAAACTTTTCTTTGTGCATATGAGACAGGAGTGAAAGTCTTACTGCAGAGAGCCGGCTAATCCACGCAAGTCCAAATTATAGACTGATCAAATCGAGGAGTGAATCTGATTTGTCTCAGCCTGAATCAGATGAAGAGGGTTACGCACTGGTAGGTATACCTAGATTTAGTAAAGAAGGAATTTTGTATAGCAACGTAAGACTTTGGTTAGAGTAAGTAATATACGTTTGTTTTAGACATACAAAAACCTTTTTAAAAGAACTTTTAAGAGAAATAACTATATTGCATAGGTATTTATCATCTCTATGTTAGTGACTCAGATATCTCTCTTTAGCTCTGACTTGTTCCTAAACTCCAAATTCACGTATTTGACTCCTTGATGGACGTTCTACCTGAACATCTCAGGTGACCACAATCTTAACCTATTCAAAAATAAACTCATTTTTCTCCTAAGCCTCTTCTCTCACATTCCCTATCTTAGTAAGTGTTACTATTAACTACCCAGGCTGGAAACCTGGGTTCATCCTTGACTACTTTTTCTTAATTCCTGGTCCCTGCAACCTCCTCACTCCCCACAGTCCAATTAGTCAAACCTTGAAAATTTTACTCTTAATATCTTTGTACTATGTCCTGCCCATCCCTCTTGCCACTGCTCTGTCTCAAACTTTCCTTCTCTTTTGCCTGGCCTGGTACAAAACTCTCCAAACTGGTTGCCCCATCTCTTGTCTTATGCCCATCTTCAACATTTCACTAGAATAATATACCTGAAATACAAATCTGTTTATATCTCCTCTACTTAAAATCTTTCAGTAGCTCTCAGTTCTCTATCAAAAAAGCCTCAGGACCTGAACTGCAGGCATTTAAGGTAAAAATCAAAGAAGTGCGATGCTGATTTATATAAGGAGTAGAAAGTAATATGTGCTATAGTGTGACGGGTAAAATAAATTATAGAATGAAAGCTGTCTAATAGATAGCTTCTATTTGAATAGTTTTGGACTTAGAGTTGATAGCTGGATTTTCATTTTGGCTGATCCTCTGCCATATACGTGAATCTGTATGTGCTACTTGACTTCTCTGGGCCTTAGTGTCCCATTGTATGATATGAGGATAGTAGTGACTGTTGTGTAGGTGGTAATGTGTTAGACTTGGCTTCTGAACCCGATCCTACTGATGAATAGCTTTGAGACCTTGGTCATGTCACATGATAGCTCAAACGGAAACTCTGGGTTTTTTGGATTGAGATTCATTTTTAGCTCTGAAATTCTTCTCTTATGAATTGAGAAACTGGATGTGAAAATATTTTTGAGAAGTATAGAGTGCTACATAAACATGAAGCTATTGTTTAAAAGAAACTTCTAAGCGTGAAAGATTCCTCCCCTGAGGAAAGTTGAACAGTGTCTTCAAGCAAGTTTCATTGTTTGTTTTTGTTTGTTCTTCCTCCGTTTATTCTTCATTCCCGTTATTATTTCTGTGCTCCCAGTTCACGTTCCCAGTCTTGCCGTCTACTGAGATTCCTCTGTGTCCATTTATGTTTCCAAGTTGATCAGTCTCATTATCTAGTCTCCTAGCCCTGTGACAGTTTTATAACAGATCATGTCACTTCTCTCCTCAAAACCTCCAATGACTTTACTATTTCTCAGAGTAGAAGCCTAGGTCCCTGCAGGGGCCTATAAGACTCTACATATCCTGGCCTCACTCCTCTCTGATCTCCTCTGCTGCTACTCTCTTTCTTGATGACTCTCCTTCTGCCACACTGACACCTCTTGGCTTTTCCATGAACATACCACACAACTTCCCCATAGGGCCTTTACATGGCTGTTTCTTCTGACTGGAATACTGTTGTCTGTAGGCAAATCCCCTTGCTTCAAGTCTTCATTCTGATGTTACTTTTTCAGTGACACCTACCCTGACCACTCTATTTGAAATTCCAGTTTGCTCTCCTTTCCAGATATTCACTCTCTGTCTGCTTTGCCTTGCTCTGTCCCCCTCACCCCCGGCACCTAACATTATTTGCTATATTTATCAGTTTCTCTTAGTCTACACTAGAATATAAGCTCCCTGAGGATAGAAGTTTTTGCTGTTTTATTCGCTGCTGTATCCCAAGTACCTATAGTGCCTGGCACACAGTAGGCAGTCATTAAATATTTTTTTAACGAATGAATGTCTGTCTAATCTATTTTGGTAAAATTTCTGTGCCTATTTGTTCTTTCCACTCTTCAATATAGGCCCTTGTTACTTTTGCCTGAACTGGTAGTTTTCAAACTGATCTCCCTACTTTTTCCAGTTCCTCTCCTTTGATACTGCTCCCAGAGGTAGAGCTCTTAAAAACGTACACAACGGACTTCCCTGGTGGTGCACTGGTTAAGAATCCGCCTGCCAATGCAGGGGACACGGGTTTGAGCCCTGGTCCGGGAAGATCCCACATGCCACGGAGCAACTAAGCCCGTGAGCCACAACTACTGAGCCCGTGTGTCATAACTACTGAAGCCGGTGAGCCTAGAGCCCATGCTGTGCAACAAGAGAAGCCACCGCAGTGAGAAGCCTGCGCACCGCAATGAAGAGTAGTCCCTGCTCGCTGCAACTAGTGAAAGCCTGCGCGCAGCAACGAAGACCCAACACAGCCAAAAATAAAAACAAATAAATTAATTTAAAAAAAAAACCACAGACACACACACAAACACAACAAGAACAACAACAGAACACCTGCTGGTCATGCTACCTTCCTATTAAAAAAAAACTCAGTGACTCTGCACTGCCTACCCAGAAATCAAAGATTCTGGAAAATGTTGCTTGCCTGCTTTTGAAGCCAGTTCTCCCCTGCGGTAATCTGCATTTTTGCCATAGCATAGTAGTCCATCTGCCAGACTCCAAACATACCTTTTGAGCCTCTGCTCAAGCATCGTTTGCCTTAAATGTCCTTCTCCTGGGTTTTGTTGATGAAGTCCTGCCTCTCTCTTAAGGCCTGGTTAAAATGTCATCTCTTCCAGAAAACTTTCCGAAGATTACTCACAGTGACTCTGTCTGTTATTCATATGGCAGTTTGTTAGTATCTATAATAAACCACTAATGGTTTGTCTCATGTTGGACTTACTTATGTATTATTAGTATTTCTTTCCAGTAGACCTCTTAGAAGGTCTAGAGTTTTTTTAATGTCCCTCATGTCTCCTACATTGTGCTTTGCATATTGTAAATGATTGATAATTCATTTCAACTGAAATGAAAGTTAAAAGATGAGGATAAATATAGTTAAAGTGGCGTACTTTTTGGAAGCAAACAATGAAATCTGACTTAGTCACAATATACTCTATTGATTTTGACCTGGGGCAAGACACTTAACCTTTCTGAGCTCCAGCATTTTTATCTTTGAAATGGGGAATACCACTACCTGTTATACTTGCCTCAGCGGGGTCGTTGTGAACAACAAGTTTAGTAATACAATTTAAAACATGTTGAAAGTTATGTTTTCAAAACATAATGGGAAGACAGATAAATGGAGGTGGGTTGAACCTAGATAAATTGCCACGTCTAGGTTCTACAGAATTTTAAAAAGATTAAGAAACACATTTTTGGGAAAGATGGACTCTTAATCAACTTTTCTTATGGAATGTTTAGAAAGATTGTGTCATAAAAGGTGGAAAAGTCAAGAACTAGAGAGAGCAGATTCTGTTGTGGGTGAGGAGACTTGGGCTGAGCCTTCAGGCTGAGCCTCCTGTAGACGAAGAGGAGCAAGCCGTGGGGGCAGTGTGGGATTTTCCAGCTGAAATATGTTACCCTTCTGCCTGAGGTTATTTAGGATTATCATTGATGTCTTTGATATCTGGTAGTACTTGTTTATCCTGAATTGTCAGTGAATGAAATGCTTTCTTAAAATAACTGAAGTTAACCAGCTTGATGCCAAATCTGAGTTTTAACCTTCTTTCGTAAAGCGTATTATGTGATATATTATCTACTCTGTCTTAGTGAGCACAGAAACCTAAGTCAACAGTTACACAGTTAACTGTTTGATTGACACATGTCATACTTACCAGCATTTCTTACTACACTCTCCTAATCTACCTCCCTCATTTCCCTACCGCCCTCTTTCACAAAGGATTTGATTTAGCATACAAAAATAAATACTATTTATAAAAGTATAAGAGAATGAATTAGGGCTAAAGAGGAAAATAAAGCCCTGAGTAAGATTTGTACACCTCTACACATATCCTGTGATGTTCTGCCAGAGATCGGCCAGCAGATAGGAAAAACACGAGTTGCATGATTCACAGTGTGTAAAAGATAAAAACCAGGTTTTCAAGAAAAACTCAGATATTTCTGGTTCTGAGACCTGAGATAAATTTCTTCCATGAGCCCTCATGGCAAAGGTACTGTGTAATAAAAATGTTATATTGCATGAGATGGCATTGTCTTCAGGAACTGTTGTGACAACTGTTTGGTGTTTTCTCCAGCATCAAATGGCCTGGGAACATACTTATTTCTGGGGTGTGTGTGTGTATATGTAAAACAAAATGTATTTATCCACAATGTGGGTACATATGTCTATATGTATTACCAGGAAAAAATTTTCTAAATGACATTTCCTAAATGGGTCTGTAACAGTCACTTCTGCAGCCTTTCTTCTTTGCCACCAACTTTTTTATTGTGTGATAAAGTGCAATTGAAATTGCTGAGACCATAATGTCAAATCTGTGCATAAATCTAAGTCATGGGTTTGTATATGGCTATCTGTACATAGAGTAGATAGTTGTCGCCAGTGCCTCCCCACCACACACACACACACACACACACACACACACACACACACACACACACACACACACACAAATATACTTCCTTTCTTCCTGAAAGCCTTCACTGTTTTATTAAGCTGACTGCAGTTTAACCATTTGAGATTTCTTTATTTTAAGAGGTTTTAAAAACATTTTGAAGTCTTTTAAAATACTACCAGAAAGCTTAGGGCTGTGTTATTCTCCTGTTAGTGTGGGTTCATCAGATTCTCTTCTTCTATACACCTAGCCAAGGCTAATAGTTTTGAAAAGAATGGAAAGTGAGGATAGAACAAGTAGTGATTTTGGAAAATGGGACTTTGCTACAGGGGCTTTAGGCGTCTAGAGGGTATTAATAAGAGATCATACTGTGTTAGAAAGATAAAAGACAAAGATTTCAAAGAAGAAAAAGGTGACAACAAAGAAAAAGTTCTGCTACTTTACACTGTTAATTAATGTGCATATTGACTTTGCGTTTTAATATCTCAGAGTCATGTGCCTGAACTGTTTTCAGAGACTTTTTGTTCTTAGCCTGACTTGACTGGTGAATAAGTAGCACATTGCTATGATTATGCAGATTACTTTTTATTTTATTTAGTACTCTATTAAATCTTAATCTTAAATAATTTTCACAAGTAAATTTTATTATTTATTTTTAACTTAACAGAGTGGAAGACGAAATGTTGATTTGGACTTGGCATCATCTCATAGAAAGAGAGGTAAGTATTAAATATTAAATATCTGGTGAAGTAGCTCTTTTTATATCTGATATGTTTAGATCTGATTGTCATTGAAACATTATTGCAAAAATGTTAGAAACATTTTATCAGAAAAGTTAAAAGGAAGATCATTTTCCTGAAAATATACACCCTTAAAAAAAGATCTGGGAATGTCTAGGAGTTAATAATCAATTCTCTTTCTCATTTGTCATGTTTTGACTTTTTAAAAGTCCCATGGAACTCTGGAAGCAGTGCTTTACATTGTGGGGGGTTATGGACATAATTTGCCATGCTTTAGCTCAATGGTATAGTTGCTATAGTTTAAATGGTGTTACAGGGAGAACTCTTTACCCCATTCACCTTTCATACACACATACACACTTTCAAACTGAAAGTTTCTAGTTTTTTTCCTCTTTGCCTCTCAAGATGCAAAGCATATAAGAGATGAACAGATGATTTCTAAAAATAAAATTTTCCCATGAGGAGCGATTTTAGAGTTCATCAAGAGTTAAGCTCATTTGCTAAAAGCTGTATCTTAATGAATAATATAGTTAACTCTTGTTTATATGTACAAATAGATGGAAAGAACAGCAGTTTTAGATAATACAAATCCAAGGTAACTAAAAACTCTCCAAGTATTATTCTCGATTAATTGGCACTTTGTTTTGTTTTTTTTTTGCGGTACGCGGGTCACTCACTGTTGTGGCCTCTCCCGTTGCGGAGCACAGGCTCCGGACGCTCAGGCCCAGCGGCCATGGCTCACGGGCCCAGCCACTCCGCGGCATGTGGGATCGTCCCGGACTGGGGCACGAACCCATGTGCCCTGCATCGGCAGGTGGACTCTCAACCACTGCACCACCAGGGGAGCCCCCAAATTGGCACTTTTATTAACACATTTTTTCTGTGGTTGTGAAAACTTGAAATGTTGAAAGTTGCCATTAGTGGAAGTTTTCTAAAAGCCTGCAGGAAAACTGTTTTTTCCCATTATATTGTCTTTTATATTTCAGAATTGAACCCTTCTCTTGATAACTTCCTTGGCAGGATGTTAGGTTCTCTACAGGAAAAAAAGTGAGAAGTAAGGGAAGGTTGAGGAGTGAGAGGAAGAAATGCACCCACAGTTTTTTCATTTTTGTGTTTATAACTTAGAAGAAATGTTGGTATTTATAACTTAGAAGAAATGTTGGTACTCAGAATACTAAGAATGATTTTTTTTTGGAACTATTAGGAATTATAGGGACTAGAGCTGGTGCTTTGTTTATTGAAAAGTCTTTTAGTATTATAACATATCAAGGTTCCAAAAAAATATAGGGTGTTTGTGATATCAAAGAAATTAAATGATGTTTAGTATAACATGTAATATGTATTTTATCATTTTCTAATTCTTTGAAAATTGGCAATTCATGTGCCATAATTAGCCAGAGTATCCTTTTCCTTAACCACTTGAGTTAGGAATTAAATTTTTGGAACGCTTTTCCCTTCCTAATGTTGGTTAGCTCAGGCAAAGATTGTTGCTATAATTTCTATGTTATATTAATAAAAAGATGGCTCCAAACTTACTGAGTAGCATAAGGGATCCAGCCTATCGTTTTAAGAGCTTCCTACTATACTAATTATGTTTATAAGTGATAGTCTGTTGACTAAAATTACTCTTTTCTCTAAGATCTTTATCATGCTTATGGAAATATAAATTTGAGATTCAGTCTATGATAACTGTGTCAGCATGTGACAAAGTAATCTTTGGAATAAAACAAAAAGTGGTATTTTTAGCTTTGAATTAAGAATAACCTAGAAGTCAAGTGTAAATTACTTAGGAGGAATTAATATGACACTTTAAAATAACTATTCTAGAGTTGCTACCTGTTCACAATTTTAAACAATTGCCCTATAAGTACGTGTCATTTTCCTGTAGTTTTAGAGCTAAGTAGATACAACTGAATTAAGCCATTAATCCAAATTTGTTTATGGGTAAACCAACTTCTTCAAAAGGTCATAGTACCAAGACCTATTAACTTCTTGGAATCTAACTTTATTTTGTTGGAAACAGAAAGGCAAACAAACAGGACCTCATGGGAAAAGTTTGTTTGTTTAAATTACCCATTTAGGAAGTTATAATAGGGAGGCAAACTAGTTATGCAAATTATCATGATATCACCTAATGTGGTACCAGTTTATTCTAGTAATCATTGTATCTTAATGTTCTCAGGCAAAAATTTTGCTGATAGCTTTGTTCTTAGGAATAGGTGACTAGAAAGTAGGAGTACTGTTCTAGGAAGAGCAGCAAAAATAGTTTTCAATCTCATGAATCCTAGTGTTTGTGGATTAAACAATGAAAATGTATACTTAATATCATGTATTTAATTATAATGAATTTCTTTCTTTAAAAGAAATTAACATTGAAAATACATTTGGAACATTATATTTTGAAAGAAATTTTTAAAAATCATGTACATTTAGAGACTACCGTCTGACCACAGTGGAATTTTTTGTTTTGTTTTGCCCTTAAATGATGATTAAAATAAACCACCCTATTTTTTCCCTATTTATTGTCAATATGGACCAGATGTCATAAGCCATAACATGCCTATCTTCAGTTGGTCAGATGAACCTACCAAGTCTGAGAACTTTTTGGAGCCATTCAGGTGTTCTGATTCTGACTTGAGCTATGAAGGACAAGCAGATGTCCAGCCAAGTGAGAATTCTTCTATGTGCTTATTTACCCCTTTCCAATATTTTGAAGAGGAAATGTAAACTTTTTTCCGCTCACTTCTCTTTATCATTTATTAGTCTAGTGGTCCTGAGTTATTAAAAGTTTAGTAAGAGAAATTAGAGATAACAGTGTTTAATTACATCTCATTTACTGAAACTAAATGGATGTATCAGTGACAATTAATGGTTGTATACACATTTCAGCTGCTCTTAATATGCCTCCAAAGACTCCTCCTTGAAAGGGTCTAGTGCCTATAATTTCAGTATTTGACATTGGGGTTACTGGAATTCATGCTGTTGAACCATGATTGCTTCTTTTCCCCTCACTCCAGTTAATGTATCACAGTTGGTCCAAGCTCTTGGTCCAAGAAAGTGAGTATGGTAGGAAGGAGTAGAGCAAAGTGAGCAAATAAATTGAGCTCAGCCAACTTCTTCGGCTCTTTAGAGGCATCAGAGGTAAATTCTAAATCCAAAAATGTCATCAGTTACTTTAAAAAGAGATGACAGGTGGTACATATTTCTGCTTAGCACCTCAGAAGTAATATGAAATTTATATTCATTAACCACTTAAAAACTGCTTACTATATGCCAGGTATTGGTCTAATCACTTCAAACATATTAACTTATTTAATTCTCATAATAGCCTGTCAAAATTCTTGACAAAAGCTGTTAAACATGTTAGTATTTGGGTACTTTGATAAATACTTAAAAGATTTGCTGTAGTTGTGCAGAACTGAGCTCGTTCTTCACTGAAAGACAATATGTTTTCGCAGATACTTAACTTTAGTTTTTGTATTTAAGCTGAAACTGATATAGTGAAAAATGGTGGGGCTACCAAAGCAAAATTTTAAGAAGGAGCATCATGGTTTGATTTCACTACCCTGCCCCAGGTCTTTAAATATAGTGTTAGGGTTTTATTGCTAAATAATATTGGAAACATTTATCAACATGTGTGTTTCATGGTATAACTTGTATGGGTGAAATGCTGTTTTATCTGTGCATTTCGAATTAGATTATATAAAGAAGAACAAATGTGAATGTTGTCTCCTGTATCAAATTTCTCCTTTTGTCTTCTGATTCTTGTTGTGGTAGTGTATTTACTCCTTTTTGGCCAGTTGAGCCCCAGAAAAAAGAAGAGCTTCAAGCAAGTACATGATGGCATGTTTAATTTTTTTCCCCTTTTAGCTTGCCTACATATTTTATGGTTTATAAAGTATGTATTGCAGCTCTGCCATGTTCATTTTGAAAATTCCATTTAAGAACCAAAGTTGTAAGGACAAGTAAACAATCTCAAATTTCTTGTTGGACTTTATATTTTCTTTTTATAGTAGGAGACTCTGAATTAATATTAAGTAAGAATTGGGCTCAGTCACAATTACTCTGTAGAGGCTTTTGATATGCTTTTCAGACACAATATTTCCTATATTCAGATAAAACAACACAGAACAAATCAGTTATTAGGTTGTTACAATTTTTTTTTTAAGAATTAGAGGTTTTTCATCTCTCATTTCCATATTGTGAGATTTTGTGTTTCAGAGTATTTTTGATATCAACCTAAACATTTTGGTTATAATTATTTAATTTATTTATTTATCCTATTGCTTTCAGATAGTGTCTTATTCTTCCTTATATTTTATTCATACAAAGTTTTGTTTGGCTTATATACTTAATAAATTACATGTTTTATTTATTTATTTATTTATTTTGTGGTACGCGGGCCTCTCACTGTTGTGGCCTCTCCCGTTGCAGAGCACAGGCTCCAGACGCGCAGGCTCAGCGGCCATGGCTCACGGGCCCAGCCGCTCCGCGGCATGTGGGATCTTCCCGGACCGGGGCACGAACCCACGTCCCCTGCATCGGCAGGCGGACTCTCAACCACTGCGCCACCAGGGAAGCCCATAAATTACATGTTTTAAATTAGGGGTCAACAAACTGACTAGAGGGCCAAATCTGGATTACCACCTTTGTTTGAAAGTAAAGTTTTGTTGGAACCCAGCCACACTCATGTATTACCTATGGCTGCTTTCACGCTACAACAGCAGAGTTGAGTAGTTAAATGAATAGTGAATGACCCACAAAACCTGAAATTATTTACTGTCTGGCTCTTTATAGATAAAGTTTGCTGACCCCTGCTTTAAATTGCAGAGAGGATTTAATTTGGGGATTGACCACCTATTCCATAGAATATTTTGGAGTATATTAAGGCAATTCACTACTTGCAGTTTCTTCACATATTGAGCCTTTGCGTAGGCAGGCAGTTGAAATTCCCATGGATCAGTGATTTGTGCGTTGATTAAGAACAGGAATATGTAAGACCACCTCCCATAAACTTAAGGGATTAGTGTTATTAATTTAGAAAAGATCATTTTCTTTGAGCCTCTGTTTCCTCAAGTGAGGAAATGGGACTAGGTAATCTTTAAGGTCACTTTTACTTCTGTGGTTCTAGCATTAACTCTCTGCACATTGTATTTTCATTTTGAAAAGTAATTTATAAGTATTGGAAGATGGAAGAAATTTTTATTCTGAAATTTTATTATTGAACCAACAAGCTCAATGCTAAGAGACCAAAAAATATCATTTGTAAGTTAAGGTTAAATCCAGAGTCTGCATTTGGGATGCTTAAGGAAGTGGAAAATGATTATTTCTTTTTTTTTTTCTTTTTTTCCACATTAGCCCCTCCTTGATTCTTTAAATATCATTTTAATTTAATACATTATGCATCCATGACATTTTTCTTTGGATTTTTACCTTTTCTGTTTTACATGGGAAAATATTCAGCTATACAGTTTGGGGAAATTTTCAGATTGGTTATTTTTTATGTTCAGTAGAACTGAAAATCCAACATTTTTTAATCTTAAGAATTCTTGCTAAAATATAGAAGGCAGATAAACCATATATTCTTAGCCATTCTAAATTATTTTAGTAGAATGCATATAAATTATTTCATAGCTACTTTATAACATTAACTGCCTATTGTGGATTTCTGTGTCGCATTTTGAAGTCCTGGGGTTTTCCTGACATCAGTGTAATAATTCAAAAATAAGTTATACAGTCAATATTGTATTAGTTCATTTTCTCTTTGGGCATTAGTGTTTAAGTAGTCCTCTTCCCAAATCTTTTCCATCTAGTATGTAACAAATATAATCTTTGTAATGCATATTTTATTAGGTACCTCAAGATTCATTCCTAATAGAAAAATTCGGTATATTCACAGAATGAGATATTATACAGCACTCAAACAAATGAACCATGGTTACATGGAATCATGTGAATGAGTATTAGCAATATTATGCTGAATGCAAAGTAATGTCCAAAAAGACTACATAAAATGATACTTTTTTATAAAGTCACAAACAACTAACACTAAACATTATTTGTCTTGGGAATACATATAAGATAAAACAATATTTAACAACAATAAAAGCAAAGGAGTGATAATGAAATCCTTAGGTTGGAGGACACAGGGGAGAGATGCGTTGGGGGGAAGAACAGATAGATAGTATTCTGCCAGTTCTCTAGTTCTTGTGTTCACGTTTATTATAAGTAAATATAAATACAAAAGCAGGCCATGCATGGACCAGTGATGAGAGTATATCATGAGCCAAGGAGTATGATTAATCTAACTCATGTACCTGAGATCAATTAAATCAAAAAATACAAAATGTGTAAGAATTAGACATTTATATATTTATTTAAAGCCATTATTGGCACATACCTTGGACAGTTCTTGTGATCAAACATATTAACATTTTTGCTGTCTAATGTAAAGATTTTAGCCTAGAAAATGCCCACTGGCAAAACTAATGGTATTATATTTAGCCACTATTGTTAACACCACTTGGTAATTTTATGTAGATATCATTTTATAGTAAATCTTATATATTCTTGTCTGTGAAACTTTGCTTCCTTTATATAGGAGTTTCACAACCTGAAATAAATGTGCATATCACACAGTGAAAATGTTCCTTATATTAATGAAACCAAGGGTGATATTTATGTCTCCTTTTTGTGTAAGTTTACTTGCCCTTCTATATTCATTTTTTGGTAATATTTCATTGCAGATATGTACACATTTTGCACAGTCTTGACTCAATCTTTGCAATGATAATGTTAAATCAGATGAAGTCCTATTACTAGTAGGTCTTACCAGCAGTGTCCTAAGTGCCGAGTTCCATTTTGGTCATAAATGATGGTCTGGTTTAATACTGCAGAGCATTTTAAGCTAAGCATTTTGAGAGCAGCTTCTGCCTTTCTTTTTCTTGTGGCAACGTGTTACTAAAGCGCTTACAGAGACACTGGTACATTAAACAGGGCTTTCCCTTTGTTTTCTTACATTGCTGTAGTTTTTGTTTGTTTGTTGTTTTTTACCAAAGCATTTTGCTCAGATTCACTTAATGCATGCATGTATTCAAACACTAGTATCCATTTCTCACCAGTTGGTATGATAGCAACACTCAGCCCTCATCTAGTTTCAGAATGTATGCTCATCTTGGTCATCACTGATGCGTTTTTGTTCTGTTTGTATGTAGGTCCTATGCATAGTCAATTGGAAACCCTGAGCGACTCTTGGGCGCGCCTGAAACATAACAGAGACTGGTTGTGCAACTCCTCTAACTCCTTTGAGTCTGATTTTGATCTTACCAAGTCTTTGGGAGTTCACACTTTGATTGAAAATGTTGTAAGCTTTGTGAGTGGAGATGTGGGGAATGCCCCAGGTTTTAAAGAGCCAGAGGAAAGTATGTCTACAAGTCCCCAAGCCTCCATCATTGCAATGGAACAGCAACAGTTAAGGGCAGAAGTAAGTCTTTGATATTTACTCCTTGTGAGGGACTGTGGAAACTTAAACTGAACCACTGAAGGTACAATTGTAGGAAAAACTTTTCCTTTTCTTCTATTCCTTGCCTCCCCTTTTCCTTCACTTGAGCTTTTTGATGTTGCTATCTTAACCAAAGCAGCCTGATAGTTTGTTTGAAGTGAACAGTAGTGCACAAGATACTCTAATCACTAAGTCTTTCCTTGTCTCCTAGAAGCTAGAGTGAGATTGGTTGGTGACTATACAGATCTGCTCTTAGAGTCCCCATTTTTGACCCATTTGTCTCCGTTTAAAAAGGGCTAGATTAGAACACCATGCTAATAATGATAAATGCTAAAATTAGTGAGCATTGGCTCCAAATATCCCCCTCAAAATATTTATTAATGATTGTGGTTTTAACATGTCCTCAAATTCTTTGATACTCTTCCCTCTAGGAGGTGGAGCTTAATTTTCCTCCTCTTGAGAGTAAGCTGGAATTAGTGACTTAGAGCTAACAGAGTATGAAAAGGGGAAAAAAATACAGTAATTTTACATTGCAGAAACCCGGCAGACATCACCTTAACCAAGTGATCAAGATTAATATCACCAATAGTAAGTTCTGGTGATATCATGTACCCTGATAATAATGTGATGAGAGGGGGACTTTGTAGTATTCATCCCTAAATCCATACCTGTAGGCCAAACATGAGAAAACATCAGGCAAACCCAAATTGAGGGACATTCTATAAAATACACAAACAGCCCTTCATAGGTGTCAAGGTCATGAAAAACAAAGACAGAAACTGTCACAGACTAAAGGAGACAAGACAACTAAATGCAACGTGATATCCTGATTTGGATCCTGGAACATAAAAGGGACATTATGGGAACTCTGGTGAAATCCAAATAAATTCTGTGGTTTAGTCAGTAGTGTTGTACCAATGTTAATCTGTTTTCATAAATGTACCATAGTTTTGTAAGATACTAACATTAGGAGAAGCTTGGGGAAAGGTATACAGGAACTATCTGTACCATCTTTACAATTCTTCCATAGATATAAAATTATTTCTAAATAAAAAGTTTATTTGTTTTAAGAAAAAGGAGGGTAGGCCAACGGACTGCTGTGGTGGATATGTGTCCTCCTAGGGAAGATAGAGCCAGAAGTTCAAGAGAACCACAGAGAAACCTTTTGGAAATACTTCTAATTCTTGAACTAAAGAGTACTCATTCCATATAATGTTATAAGTAAAGGAAGCAGTATCCATACTACTTGATGCTTTTGAAATCATGTATATCTCCTCATGAGCATCACAATAGCTCTGTGAGTAGATTAAAGTACTATTAGCCTCATTTTATACATGAAGAAACTGAGACTCAGGAAATTGAGTTTACCAAGGCTACATAGTCGTTGGAATACTCTGGCCTTGAAACTAGATCTCCTACATCCACATTTACTACTTTTCCCCTTGTACTGTGTAGCCTCTTTTATACTGAAGTATGCTTATAGAGATCTTAGAGATATTTTAATTTTTAAAGTCATAACAGTAAAAGAAATGTTTATCTTAATAGAATATATTCCTAAGAAATATCAGAATTTTCTGTGTGCTAAGAAATATATTGTCTGTGACGTACAGAGTTATTTGTGTCTCAGTTCAGTGAAGAATTCTAAAATATGTTTATTTTTTCTCAAGCTTCGTTTAGAGGCACTTCATCAGATCCTTGTACTATTGTCTGGAATGGAAGAAAAAGGTAACATCTCTCTGACAGGAAGCAGATCAAGCTCAGGTTTCCAGTCATCCACTCTGCTCACATCTGTGAGGCTGCAGTTTCTAGCAGGGTGTTTCGGTTTAGGCACTGTTGGACACGCAGGAGCCAAAGGAGAGAGTGGCCGATTGCATCACTATCAGGTAGATGACAGAACTGTCATGGGAGGATGACACCTTTTAGTATATTCAGATGTTAACTGTATTTTTACAACACCAGTTTAATAATGCTAAACTTTTTGGTGTTTAGAATTGAGGTTTAAAAATATAAAGACCTAAGTGACTTAAAGATACCTCATTGGTTTAGTTTCCTGAGTATAGCTGGGGTTAGATAAGCCATTAGGTAAGCCATGGTACTATTGTACTTTTAGATTCTTTGCTGGCTCAGTTTTATTAACCCTTAGCCAAATTGCATAGAGGTAGATCTAAGTTGGGATAAGGATTTGTGTTTGGGAGGATGGGTTTCAAGAATTTACATTTTAGACTTGATCTTTTACCAAGTTTCTCTGATTGCTTGAACTGTTTTTTTGAAGTGTTGTCTTTACGTCTTCCATGTTTAGAGAGGAAAAATGCTTTGTGGGAAAGGAGAGAGATTATAGAATCAAGAGAGATTATAGAATCAAGAATTTTCAAGCATTGAAAAATAAATTGGTTATAAAACTTTTATATACTGAAATATACTAAATAATTAAAAACCACCATAGGGCTCTAGCATGGGCTAGGAATAAAATGCTTTTACTTTCATTTGGGTAGGAAGTGTTGTTGTTGTTAATAGAAAAGGTAAATCTTTGTGTGTAATTTAGGATGGGATCAGAGCAGCTAAGAGAAATATTCAGATTGAAATCCAGATGGCTGTGCATAAGATTTATCAACAATTGTCTGCTACTCTGGAGAGAGCCCTGCAAGCCAACAAGCATCACATTGGTGAGTAACTGCACATGCAAATATAAGGTGCAAGTAACATTTTGGCCTGAGGTTATGCTAGGTAGCTAATGTTCTGTGTTTAACATTAGGTCAGCTTATAGGTAAAGAATAAATACTTGAAAGTGTAATAGTGTTCCATACTACTATTTATATTTTAGAATATGATTTATTTTAGTAAATGCTTTGTTAACTTCAAAGAAGATTCTCAACTGCCTTTCTTTCTTTCTTCTTTTTAGAAGCCCAGCAGCGTCTCCTTTTGGTTACAGTTTTCGCTCTGAGTGTCCACTATCAACCAGTAGATGTTTCTTTGGCGATTTCCACTGGTCTGCTAAATGTATTGTCGCAGTTATGTGGCACAGACACCATGCTAGGACAGCCTCTTCAGTTGTTGCCAAAAACGGGTGTTTCCCAGCTGAGCACAGCTTTAAAAGTGGCTAGTACAAGATTGCTCCAGATTCTAGCCATCACTACAGGGTGAGCATTGTAGATGTCTTGGTAGAACTGTGTGGGGCCTGGTCTTTCACATTTTAGTGATTTGCATTTCACCGTAATCTCCTGTATGTGTTTAAGCACGTTTGCCCTTCTGTGTAATTACCATTTATTTTTTTCCTGTTATTTCATGTTATTTCACGTATATGTTTTTCCAGGACCTATGCTGATAAACTGAGCCCCAAGGTAGTTCAATCTTTGTTGGATCTACTCTGTAGTCAGTTGAAGAATTTGTTGTCCCAGGCTGGTGTACTACTTATGGCCTCTTTTGGAGAAGGAGAAGAGGATGAAGAAGAGAAGAAAATTGACTCCAGTGGAGAAACTGAGAAGAGAGACTTCAGAGGTATCATAAATCTTTTTTCTCTGTCATTATTTACAAGCATTTATTGAATCCACATTGTGTGAATATCATTAGAATGTAGAGTTCTTTCTGTTGTGAGGCATGAGAAGATTTTTATTCATTTAGAAACCCCTTTTTTCTCCAAATATGTATGGTTTAGAGGTACCTCTGACTGAACTTCCTCTCCTTAGAGTTGGTTAACCCTGATGAAGCAACTGTACCACTCAGTGTCTAAGTTCAGCCTCTCCTTGGCTGTTGTGGCTCTAAAACTTAGAGGTTCTAGGTGACTGATTTCCCCAGATTATGTTCTTGTAGCATTTGATCATGAAAGCCCATCTCTTGGGTTGCATTCTTGTTTTAAGTGTTCCCCCAGGACCAAGGGTTTTTTAATATATGGGAATTGGGTTAGAATTAGGGAAGCTGAACTTCTTGCTAGGCTGTTCTGTTCTCTAGTCACTAAAAACTTCTTCATTATACTTGGCCGTAATAATTTTTGCTTGCTGTAATATGGTCATCTCCTTACAGCTTTTAAAAACTATAGTGAACATTGTGGGAATTCCCTCGTGGTCCAGTGGGTAGGACTCTGTGCTTTTGCTGCTGAGGGTGCGGGTTCAAGCCCTGGTTGGGAAACTAAGATCTTGCAAGCTGCATGGCGCAGCCAAAAAAAAAAAAAAAAAACACTATAGTGAACATTGTATTTCAGTAGAACGTAAACCCTGAACAGAAGAACTACTATACATGTCTGTTATATATTAAGCAAATAAAGGTCTAAAACTGCTCAGTTATTCAGTGTCTTATTACCATAATAAGCTCTGTAAAGGACTTAGAGCAGTGTCTAGCACATAGTAAGAGCTCAATAAATGTTAATGTTAATATTGGAATATTATAATAAATAATATTTAAATAAATAAAGTAGTATTTAAATAATATTAATACTGTATAGATAGGTGGGTGGATAAAGGAATATGCTGGGGATACAAAAATGACAAAACATTATCTCTGCCCTCAAGGACCTTCTAGGGAAATGAGGAAGGTAGATGTTTAAACAGATAATTACAGTGTAATACAATAAGCTCAGAAGAAATAGCTAAATCCCTTAGGGCAGAATCTAGGAGGATGTATGAGTCTAATTTAGGGCTAGCTTTTGGTTTCAGAGGCTGAACCTCTGGCAAGTTACTTCTTCTTTATATAGCAAGTATGTAGCTTATACAAAGAGCATGGGCAGACTCACAGGGTATGATAAAATAAAAACAGGCTTTTAATGCCACCTCCCTGTTTCCTGAGATCCACTTTGGGGATACAGAGTTGTTCAGGTAATAGTTTCTTACCACTCTGTTGAGTACTGCACATATGGATGGCAGGGAGAACCCAGTAGAGTTACTTCTCAGCCTATAGCTCCCCAAGAAAACTGGATCCTTCCATATCCAGTAAAAAAAAGAAACTGTGATGAATCTCAGTAGGTGTAACAGCAGACTGAGTCCAAATCCATTCCCCTCAGGTTGCACCCATTCTATTTATGGGGATGGCTGGGAGTGAGACTGATTCTAGTAAGCGGTGGCCAGGCATTCAGAGGCAGGTGGACCAGGTATTAATAACTCCACTTACTCTTTAAAATACTTAACTGAAAGTAAGGTATACTCTTCATTTCAAACGTAGTACTGATACTGAAACACAAACTGTATCATCAAGTTGTATTAACCAGCTTTATATTTAAGGTCTCCAGGCTTTAATTAATTTAATTAATTTAGTGTCTTGTTACAGAAATACTTGCTGGGAGTGAGAGTGGGGTAGGATGGAGGCCTCCTAAAAGAGATTTTCCCAGGGATCTCTACGAAGAGAGAAAGTTTCATGGAAGAGGTAGCTTTGAACTGGATTTTGAAGGAATGTGTAGGAACAAGGTTGGAGTGAGATATAGTTACGTAGGGCAGGCCAATAATTTTATATTCTTCAAACTAATATAATAAATGTTTGTATATTAGCAAAGACTAAAGAAGTAAAGAAGAGGTAGAGTACTGGCTTTGAGTGGGTCTTAGCCAGGCTAGGGACAACCTGTCAGTTAGCCAGGCTAACTGACAACCTAGGTTTTGAATTAGGTGTGTGCTTACTGCATTCTAAATGTAAGTTATTTGATATAAGACTGTTTCCTGTTGGCTTTTGGTTGTAATGTAAACTTCTCTGTTCACTCTTTAGTTGCTCTTAGGAAACAACGCGCAGCCGAACTGCATCTGGGGGATTTTCTAGTTTTTCTTCGCAGAGTTGTATCTTCAAAAGCAATTCAGTCAAAAATGGCTTCCCCAAAGTGGACAGAGGTGCTTTTAAATATAGCATCTCAGAAATGTTCTTCAGGTATGTCACCTTTGTCTTATTTTACAGTATTTTGTACATCACGTGTGTTTTATTCAGATAACAACATTGGATACTTGACCTTGATTTTAAGCCTTTTCTTTCTTGTTTTATGAGTACTTATTTGATTGAAAGAAAAGTAATCTCAGGAGTAAAAATTGGGAGGAGTTAATAATAGAAGGTAGCACTGGAGAAGATCGTGGATTTAATGCAGAGAACTTGGCTCTAGTTCAGATTACAGTAATAAAAATAAGCAGAGGACATCCTGTTTAATATGATAATTTGACACAGATTTTGAGTTTACTTCTTGGATTATCAAAATGCAGATTGGAGTTTGTCTGTTCTTTCTTATCATGATATGATTTCTGTTGCCTTGATTTGTAACTTCTGATTGTATGCTGTCTCTGAGAGTTCTTTATAATAAGCTTAATTCCTGGTCCTTAGCCTAAAAGTCTGGTCTGCTTGCATAGATTACTATCAGTCCTTTCCTAATCTGTTTTTTTTTTATTGTGATAAATATACATAAAATAAAATTTACCATTTTAACCACTTAAGTGTACAATTCAGTGACAGTAAGTACATTCACGGTGTTGCTCAACCATCGCTACTCTCCATTTCCAGAACTTTCTCATCATCCCTAGTCTTTCTTAAATGTGCTGAAACATAATATAATCTTCTATGGTACATGCTGTTTTATATGTGTACACTCTCAATATAGTTTATTGGTGTTTCTTTTTACTTTTTTTAATGTGTATTCAATTTTTTAAAAATTCAGATCCTGTATCTTTGTTTTAAGATTGGCATAAACAAAAAAAGAATACAGACAACTTATTATTAACATAACAGCTGCAGTTGTTAACTGCAAAAATACAGTAAAATGGAGTCATACTAAATGTTAGTGTTCTTACAGCAGAATTATCCCAGTCATTTTGTGGTAGCAAATTCTGGCAAGAAATTTATTTGTTGTTAACAGTATTTAAAGAATTTCCAAAACTGATCAGCTGTGCTGCAAATAAAACAGCAGTTTATTCAAAAGAGCCCTTACCTTTCTCTTATTTTCTTAAAAGATCTGCCATTTACAGGTAACTACTGTTTTCAGATCAGTTGTTCAAACCAGGGTTCTTCTGTAAATACACATCTTAGCTTTATATATAGTAAGTTTATACTCATTTTCCCAATAGTTTTTCTTAACTAGTATAACTTACAATAGCTTTTTTTTCTCCTTTAATAAGGTAAGCCTTCTATAATATTGATTAAGTTCTTAGAGCATGAAGAAAAATCAGATATTCATTTATTTCTACTGGTTGTGTTGTAGTAATGGATAGAAAAAAGAACATCAGTATCCTGTCTCTACCTTTGCTTACTTTAGAAAAGTACAAACTGCTTACTCCCCATTAATCCTGTGAGTCCGTCAAGGGCATAGATGGAGTCAGAAGCAATTGAAGGCGATGATAAGCCTGAGCTTTAGAGATTAACAGACCTGTCATGTACAATCCTACTTCTGTCTCTACTGAGCTGTGTGGCTTTGGTCAAGTTACTTAACTTCTCTGAGCCTCAGTTTCCTCATCAGTAAAATAGGGATATAATGTAGGATTTGTGAGGATCAACAGAGTTATTAATGTGTATGAAATGCATAGCACAGTACTTGGCACAGGTAGTTATTATAGTGCTGTTCCCTTACATACATAAAAACTGAAACACAAACATGGATATTCATATACATTAATGGATATGGGATGAATCCAGAATTCTTGTGATAATATGCTGAAGTGAAGTCTTTTCCATCCTAAATACTTAACAGCCTCAGAGATTTTTTTCAAGAGGTTTATTTAAACTTTGAATTTAAGTCACATTTATAATAAGAAAATGTCTTTTTCCCCCTCCAGGAATTCCTCTAGTTGGTAACTTAAGAACGAGGCTCCTTGCACTTCATGTCCTTGAGGCTGTGCTACCAGCTTGTGAATCTGGTGTAGAAGATGATCAAATGGCCCAGGTTTCTATTTTTAAAGTTATTAGAAGATGTTCTTTACATGTGCAACATGATGCACCGAAAATCTAAACTCATGGTCTCTTCAGTTGTAAATGTGTCATTTATTCAATAGCACGACTTCCACTTCTGAGATTGCTTTTTTAATTATTTCAGCTCTAAGCAAGGAGAAAGAGAAATTAAGTGAGTTATGGGATGTGAGGAGTAGTGGTATAGTGAATACTTTCAAGATCAGAAAGAAAGGAAAATTTGTGGAATTTCTTCCTAGGTTTGGGCATCTAGAGAGAGAAAGATATGAGGCTGCATGGCCTCATCAGAGGTCCATATAGTGGGGCAACATGAGGACAGTCGAACCCACTTTGTAGTGGGTAATGGTCTTTCTAAAAAATGATATTTAACTTGCATCCACCCAAAGTAGCTGTCAGACATTGGTATAATTAAATCTCACATGTGACTTAATATTATAGTTACATGATTTATCTTTTCTAAAAATAGTTAAAATGATCCTTTACAAATTTTATCATTCTTTTTCCTTCAATAAATAGGTTGTTGAACATCTGTTTTCCCTTCTGTCGGATTGTATGTGGGAGACACCCATTGCTCAGGCCAAACATGCTATTCAGATAAAGGAAAAAGAAGAAGAAATAAAATTACAGGTACTTGATTCTTCCAAAAAAGTATTTTTAGACAGACGTGAATATCTTGTCACCTGTCTCTGGATCCTTTCTCCTTTGACTTTGTTCTATCAGTTATTCAGTCTCTTCTTTGTACTGTGTTCTCTTCTCCACTGGTTCTTTCCCCTCAGTTTATAAACATCTCTTATTCCCACCCTTCTAAGTTTCTTTTTTATCCATGAAGCCTTCCCTATATTCTCTCATCCTTCATTGCTAAGCTTCTGGGAAGAGTAATCTTGTGTATGTTTAAGTCACTTCCTTACTTCTCATTATCTCTTCAGCCCAATTGTTTATCTTCCATCAAAGCACTGAAATTAAATGACAGAGGTAGGTGTTATTGGTAATACAGTGTATGGCTTTTTATCCACAGCTTACTTGACCTCTGGAAACTCTAGCCTTCTGTTGTTTTCAAAACACTACTTTCTCCTAGATCCCCTCTGCCAATCCTTGATTCCCTCTGGAGGCATCTCTTCTTTGGTGTGACTTTCTCCTTGCCTCCATCCCAAATTCCATTGTTCCTCAGAGTTCTGTCTTTAGCTTTTCCAGCAGTCTCAGTCATACCCACGACCATTTTCACTACATGCACTGCCTTCCAAACTTGAATGATAGCCCACGTGTCTCTCCTTCAAACCTTTCTCCTTTTCTTCCTATCCCATTTTTATTGGTGGCACTAACATTCAACTAGCTTTTCAAACCTGAATTCCTGGGAGTTCTCCTAATGTCCCCACCCATGTGGTCCCTAGAACTCATTGATTTTTACCTCCTAAATAGTTCTTGAATCCATCCATCTAGCTACCTTAATCTTTCTATCAGTTTTCATGATTCCACACTTTTTCTGGCTTTCCTTCTGTCCCAGTACAATGGCCTCTTCTTCTCATCCTCTTTTATTTATACTTCCTCTTCTGTTTAATCTGACTGCTGGAGTATCCCAAGGCTTGGTCCCAAGACCCCTTTTTTCCTTCAACTGTCACCTCCATTCCATTTCCTATAGCCAGCAAAACCTTATTCAGATCCGTATGCCATTGATTTTTAATTCCTTTTTTGACATTTTTCCTGAATTCCAGACATATACCCATCTTCTACTTGCCTTACGACTTGAATAATAGTGTAATAGGCCTCTCATACTTAGTAGCATCCTTAGTTCTGTTACATCTTGTTCCTTCCCCAGGCTTTCCCATCTTTCCTAGTAAGTGACTCAACCAAAAAACCAAAGAGTCATCCTTGATTCCTCTCTTTCTATCACACACACCCACATTTTCTTTGTCTGTACAATCTCCAAGTCCTGTTGACTTCTCTGTTAAGACTTAACTTGAATTTTCCACCTCCTCATTCCTCTGCCATCACCCTACTCGAAGCCACTACCATCTCTGGCCTGGATTATGCAATATTCTCCTAACTGGTCTTTCTGCTTCCATTGTTAACTCCCTATAGTCCATTCTCTACACAGGAGCCAGTGTGATCTTTTAACATTGTAAATCAGAGCATGTTCGTCCTCTGCTTAAAAAACCCACCAGTGGTTTTTAATCATTCTTGGGATAAATTCTAGAACTCCTTGTTCTCTCCTCTTTGCTCACTACACTGTGAACAACTTGCCTTCTTCCTGTTTCTTGAACACACTAAGCTTGTTCCTTCCTTTGGGCTTTGTGCCAGCTATTCTCTTTGCCTAGAATACTTCCCTCAGATATGTTTCTCAGAAGTCAACTTATTATTCATGTCTCAACTTAATTATCACTTCTTCATTGTACTTTCGTGATCCTCATTCTAGAGTCAGTTGCCACACAGTCTTTATCACATCACCTTTTTTGATTTCAGCATAGCACTTATTACCTGCTATTTCCTTTTTTATTTTCTATCTCCACCTTGTAAAATATAAGTTCTATGAGAGCAGAGACGTTATCTGTTTAGTATACTGCCGAGTATATAGGACCTGGTATAGTGCCTGGTACATAGTAGATGCTTATTAAATACCCATTGAGCAAATGAATGAATTTAAGTTCTCAGTATTTCTTACCTGAACTCTTGCAGTAAACTCCTGATTGTTCTCTCTGCTTTCATCCTGTATGCTCCTGGTAAAACAATGTTTATAAAACATAGATCTGATAGTAGTTCCTCTATATGAATCATTCTGTGTAGGCACTCCCTATTGTCTAGAGTAAAGATTAAACTTAGAATGGCATTGAAGGCCTTCCATGATTTTGTTCCTTCTTCTCTTTCTAGTTCCTTGTTCTCTTTCAGTCTCATCCTCCATATATTCCATACTGCTTGCAATTCTTTAAATCAGTGAACTCTGTTTCACCTCCATGACTTGGCACATGCTGTACATACTGTCTTAAATTTCTTACTCTACTTTAATCGGCTGCTTAATGCCTTCTCACCGTTCAGGATTCAGCTCAGAAGTCATCCTCTTTTGAATGCTTACCTTATCCTTCTCAAGCCTGCTTAGAAACTTACACTTATATGTTTCTGCTATACCTGTCATGTAACTTCTTTTATTCTCTCACTACAATACCGGTGTTATTTATTTGTCTCTCTGTCCCCTGACTGAGCTGTAAGCTCTTCATGGGCAGGGACCATGCTGTATGTATGATTGTGTTCCATTGTCTGCACAGTAACTAGTACATAGTGGATAATAAATATTTGTATAATCAACCCAAGGAGATCTCAGGAACTGAATCTGAGTTAGTTCAAAATACTGACGCAGTTTCCTTTCTGGTAGAAGCAGGGAGAGTTGGAGGAAGAAGATGAGAATCTTCCTATACAAGAAGTATCCTTTGACCCAGAGAAAGCTCAGTGTTGCATAGTGGAGAATGGCCAGATTTTAACTCATGGCAGTGGAGGAAAAGGATATGGATTGGCGTCAACTGGAGTAACTTCTGGGTGTTATCAGTGGAAGGTACGTAGAATTCCAAGTAGTTTTTAAAAGAAGTTTATTTTTTTAGTACTTTCCTCCTAGGTTATTATAAAAAAGTATGGAAAGACTATTTAAAAAATCATCTTATGTAAATGTTCTATTACTATGTAAGATTTTAACATAAATGGAAACTCAGTGAAGGATATACAGAAACCCTGTATTATTTTTGTAACTCTCCTGTAATTGTAAAATTACCTCAAAAATTTTTTTAAGTGTAAGGTTGAAAAATCATAATCATCCCTTCCATGAGGGGTCACACGGTGCACACCCAGCAATGAAAATGCAGTAACATATGTGTGATGTTTCTGCCTGGGAGAGCATATTAGAGACTGAGTGCCCAACATTTTTATTGAGTGCTGGTCACATATTCTCTGCCTGGCCTTTTTTAGATTCCCAGAAAGAAAGCGGGTTTTTAGCATAAACCATATTGTCATACAGTCTAAGCACAATAAGCCACCAATATCAGGGAGGTTTTTTATCAGTGTAGGGAACTATTTACCAGACAAGTTCCCAGGTGCCAGCCAAGGACCAACATTGCAAGCAGACATTTCTAAGGATAGCAATCTCTGCTGTGTTCTTTTTTGCACAGTCTACCTCCTTGGCTGGCTCCTGGCCACAGTGTTTTTACAATAAAATTAATATTATTATCTGGTAGGACCCCAGACAGCAGGGTGAGACTGACCTCCAGTACTGACTTCAGGGGTCTTAGACTTAGCCAGTTAAAACAAATCTCATTAATTGTAAAGGTCTATCTTAAAAAGTCAAGTGACTTTGTCTTTAAATTTAGCACAGCACAAGTCTGGGCAGTCCAGGGATCAGAATAGAGTGCATACACAAAAAGTACAATTCCAGAGGTCATACGTGGTATCCCTGGAAATGAGTTTATAATTGTTAAGATATCCCTAATCAGGATATACAGTAGTCAGGCAGAACAAGTTAACAGGACCCCAATGTGATCTCCCATCAGGGGGCCTCCCACCTTCTGTTCCCACTGCAGTCTAAGTAATTTAATTGAGTGCTTGGTTTCAGAGGGACTGCCTCTGAAGGACAGTTTGTTAAATGGTTTTGTTTGTCTGTGACATTTTATCTGCCTTAAGAGTTTGGATGACATCTGGAGGTGTTCTGTGGAAATTCCATGACCTGGGGTCACCCCCTACTTCTTATAGCCTGTCAGGTATAAGGCTCAGAAGTTAGTTTGAATTTAAAGTGCTCTATGCATGTGGCTGATTTCACTTTGTTGTGCAACAGAAACTAACACAGTATTGTGAAGTAATTATACTCCAATAAAGATCTATTAAAAAAAAAACACAAAAAACAGCTTTCTTGACAGCATGGCTTTTTTCCACCCCGGGAGGAGGAGCAGTTCCGAAAAAACAATGATCATTTATGCCCTCCGTCGTCTTCCACACTTTCCCAGGGCCTGGGTTGTTTTTTTTTTTTTTTTCCCCCTCCCCGCCCCCACCGTTATTCTAAAATCAGTGTTTCCCATTTACTTATTATAACTTCAGGTCTTCTCAGTCATTTTTTATCTCCATCTAGACCTTTTGTCCAGAAGGGTTAGGTACAAGAGGGACAAAAGAATTTCCACACGAAAACTTTTTTTTTTTTTTAACAAAAATGTTTTTATATTGATACAACTTAACCAGAAAGGTTAGCAATTGGTCAGGACAAAATCCCAATTAAAAAAATTGTTTTCCAGAATAGGTTTACAAAACCTTCTACGCCTTTTATCCTAATCATTTATCCAGTGAGCAGCCTAGGAAAGATGAGTCTTTTTCTGGGGAGAGCTTCATTTAATAAACTGTCTTACTAGGCGTGTGTATCAGATATTGAATCAAGCTATCAGTCTGTTGTTGCAAACTACGACTAGTCCAAAAAGCTGAACATAATAAGTTAGCAGCAGTGAGACCTCCCCAAGAAGAGGTCAAGAGTCCAGTCTGTTATAAGAGTGGACATAGAGGTCATGCACCCTTGGGTATGCCCTCCTCCAACTTTCAGCTTTCGGTAAGAATCAAAGTTAGGAATGTAATCAGTTTCTATGTCAGAAATAAAAAGCCAATCAGCAGCTCAAATTAGATGGCTATCAAAAGAACAGGCCCTTTCCCAGGGGCGTGTATAAGAGACCTGGACAGTACAGCTAGAATCCATGTAGTTTTCAGTTTATGGCTGCACCAACTAAATCTTCACCAGCCCCCCGTCTGGTTTTTGTTCATTAGGCTGGTGCCTGATTTTAGTTGAACACAGCTCATGTTGGGTTGAAACAGCCCATAGCAGACAGTATGAGGTTTTAACTTAGAGGCAGGTCCAGGCAGTTGGAAGTTGTGAATTGAGGATTCTATAAAATTGGCAACTTTTGGGGGCAGCAATAAAGCCTAAATGCTGTAGGATCAGACAGCTGCATTTTAAGTCTAAGTGACGAGCAAGGCTTTCCTAAGCTCTTTTTGCCTTCTCAATCTTAGAGTACAAATTTACCCACTCAAAAATATGCATTTCAGGCTAGAAAATCATCAGCCTGTAAGGGTCAGACATCTGATTTTATAAGAACTAATTGGCAACTAACAACTGCTTTTTAAAACTCTCAAAGTATATTTCTATGTGGAGAGTGCCACTCCTTTATTTTGTCTCCCTTTTTTTCTAGCAGTTCTAATAGGCAAAAAACATAACAAAAAATCATCAGTTATGGAGGCTTGTTTTGTTTCCAGTACTCAAAGAATTTAAGTTCCGATCTACTCACCTGGGGCAAAAAGCGAGGACGTTGTATCCCACTGACTTTTCCTTCGCAGCTTTTACTTATTAGGATGATCTCTTAGTATTTATGAAGTTACAAGCATATAACGTCTTACATCATTTTTTATCATACATCTAGATGCAGTAGCCACAAAGTGAAGCTGTTGTATAAAATTTACTTTTCCCTTTTCTCTCAGATCTCAAGTTTACTCGGACCCCTAGCAGTAAATTTAGCATTTTTAGGGTTAATTGGTTGGGCCAGGGCACTGGTACAGCAGTGACAGCATCTAGGCTAAAGAAAATCGCTGGAGTCTTTTCTTTTCTTCTTTTCTCTCTCTCCCTTTCTCCCTTTCTCCATTTCTCCCTCTCTTTCATCTATTTAAAGTTTTACTCCAGCCCTGGGAACTGATTTAAATAACCTTTTCTCCTCTCACTTGGAGGAAAGAGCAACACATACTTCTAATACTTTTGGTCTACCCCCAAACTCATCTTCAGGAATTTTTGAACTTTTCCCCCTCCCACCTGGACAAGAGAGCAAGCTGCAAGCTAATGTTTATGCTTTGGCCCGTCCAAAGCCCATGTGTGAGAATGCTTGGGCTCTCTTTCTCCTCCCACCTAGAGGAGAGAACAGCACAAATTTTCTTCTGGCTGCTCTTTCCCCCTCACTTTAGCTTACAGGGCCAAAAGCAGCCAGGGGACCCAGTGAGCCAACCCTCCTGGGGTTGGATCTATTAGTTTTGAATTCCATAGGTAACTTTTACCTCTCACAACAGATGGCCACTCACCTGCTGCTTCATAACACGTGTAACCCCATAGCCACTAGAGTTTTGTCTTTCCCCAGTTCTGTCTCTCTCTCTTTTTCCCAAATATATAATTATATTTTAATGACTTAGAGTTGTTCTAGTGGAGCTCACGTTGCCGCCATTTTGTCAGAGGTCCTGAAGGTGACCCCTATGTTCAAAGATTTGATAGAAGGACTCGTAGGACTCAGTATTATCATTGTACTCATGATGACTGAGGTTTATTATAACAAGGTAGTAAGGATACATAACTGGATAATAAGGAGAAAAGACACAGGTGACATCTGGAGGAATCCACGTGGAGGCTTCCTTATGTTCTCTCCCTCCCATGAAGGGTCACAGGGACTGCAGTCTTGTCCCAGCAAGAAAATGCAGCAACATGTGTGTGATGTTTTAGGGAACCCCCTTAGAGACTTAGTTCCCAAGATTTTTACTGGAGACTGATCATGAAGGTATCCTCTGCCTGGCATGTACCAAAACTCCAGCTCCCAAAAGGAAAGTTCGTGTTCAGTGTAAACCACATTGTTTGTTCAAACATTCTTGTCCTGGTGAGCCACCCGAATCATTTTGGGTAAGTTTTCTAACGGTGTAGGAAACTGTGTACAAGTCGAATTCCCAGTTACTAGCCAAGGACCAGTGTTACAAGCATGCCTTTTTAAAGACAGCAGTCTCAGGCCTGCTGTATTAAGTCTTTTCTGCACAGAAGTATACACAAGAGAGTAGTTAGAAAATTTGTATAAAGAATTGAAGCTTTCCATTAATAATTTTCTGGACTGGATGTACTTCCTCAGCTTCATAATTGAGATGTAAGTTAAAATTGTTTATTTTAAATAAATACTCAAAGGTTATTCTAAATGTTCTACAAGATAAAGATTAAATCTGTCTTAAAATCTTTACAAAATCATGAAATGTCTTAAAATCTTTACAAAATCATGAAATTATTTCATTTGTATGTTATTTTCACTTAAGCTGAAAATATGTTTATTTATATTCTCATAAATGCATAAATATTATTTACAAACATATTCCCCAGTATGGCTTTATACAGTTAATAGTATATAAACAAGTTTTTTGAATATTAGTGAACATTACCACTTTCATTTTAGTTTTACATTGTGAAGGAAAACAGAGGTAATGAAGGCACCTGTGTTGGAGTTTCTCGCTGGCCAGTACATGACTTTAACCACCGTACTACCTCGGATATGTGGCTCTATCGGGCCTACAGTGGTAACCTCTATCACAATGGAGAACAGACTCTGACATTGTCCAGCTTTACTCAAGGAGATTTCATTACCTGTGTGTTAGACATGGAAGCCAGGACCATTTCCTTTGGGAAAAATGGAGAGGTACTGAAACTCATTCAGAAGTATTGCATGTTTTCCTGTTTTTATGTATCCTCAGCTCAGTTATTCAGGTACTAGCTATTCAGTTTATAGATTATTTTCTCTTCTCTGCTTTTTCTCTAATACCTTTCTGTTCTTATAATATTTATCAGCACCAAAAAAAAAAAAAAGAAAGAAAGTAAAATCCCAGGAAGATTGTTGAAACAGAAGAACAAATTAAGGTCATTTATTATATGTGGAATTTCCTTAGCAAGGTTAGCAAGGTTAATTGAGATTTGGCTCTAGTAACTTACTCTGTCTCATAAGAGCTTTGAATCTTAATGTGTATTGGATATTATCAATTAAAAAAAAATTTTGTTTCCTTTTTTTCCCATCACTTCTGCCACACTATAGGAACCCAAATTAGCTTTTGAAGATGTGGATGCAGCAGAGTTGTACCCATGCGTAATGTTCTATAGTAGCAACCCAGGGGAAAAGGTAATGAAACCTCAAACCTTTATAATTAAGCATAAAGGATATTTGTTATTTTTTATTAATATTTGTTAACATCAGAGTTCACAGAAATAATAAGCTATTTCTGCCATTAAAAGTACTTGCTCAGGTAATTTACTCTTCCAGATGAAGGTTAGATTACTTTTAGAAGTTGCCTTTGCTCTTTATTAAGGCACTATTTGATATTCTGGTAATTTGAATATAGTGAGTCAACTTTCAAACATATGTGCAATTATAGGAATTATAGGAAATAGTTTAGGGATAATCTGGTTTATTGGCAGTTGTGCATATGAGAGAGAAATCTAAAAATAATCTTCATTGTAATCAGATACCATTAGGTGAATAATGGAGGTTTCAGTTATGATGGGGAAGCTGCCTTTCATTCATTCAGCTGAGAAGGTTCTCAGACCTTGTAGATGGTGTAAATTTGAACCTTAAACCTTCAGGAGGACAGTATTAAAGAGATAACCCTCTCATTAAAAACTTTTTTTTCTCCTCGTGTAAAACCCAGTTAGAGAGAAACTTCTTTGTGGTCTCCCTGTGGGTTGATCTGTTTTCTACCCCATCCTTTTACTTGAGGATATAACGTCAAGTAAAAGTAGCCTAGGTCTGGTCTCCGGAATTTCTAGTTAATTTTTAGTAGAAAGTTTTCAAGCCATCTCATATATAATGTGTCTATAATGGAAGTGCTAGATTTGGTAAACTCAAACCATGAAAGTTACCATTTATTCTGGGCTTTTAATATATTTTTAAAATTTTCAAGGAGGTATAATTTCAAGCTAGCCATTCATGAGAGAGGGGAACTGCTTCTTGAACCAGGTCGTCAACAAAACTGAACTGGAAATGAAATAAAGAGGCAACCCAGTACCTGCTTTTATCCCTTTCCCTGATGATATTCTTGCAGCCCAGAATAGGTACTGGTACGTTCTGGTTAGAATGATGGCCTATTGCTCCCTAACATTTGTGAACCTTGAAGGAATTAATTTAACCATAGGCTTTGTATCAATCACTTTATTCTACCCAGAAGCCTTTTCTGACTTCAGAATCTGATAAAAAACAATACTAATAATAGTTAACATTTTTTGAACATTTACTGGGTGTCTGGCACTGTACTGATAAGCACTTTATGTGCATAGTCTAATTTAATCTTTAATATAGTAAGAGATAGATACTGTTATTAGTGCCGATTTTTTTTCAGTTGAAAAAGCTGAGGTTAGTGAAATTAAATGATTTCCAAAAATTACACACAGAATTAAGATTTTAACCCAAGTCTTGCTCTTCTTTCAGCCTCTATGTCTTATTTGAAATGCGTGTCCAGATTGGGAATATACCAATTTTCTAGCCTTGTGATTTTATCTTTGTGCCCCTGGAACAATATAAGATGGTCCCAGGACTCGTTATTATTCTGGCGTCTTGAGGACTAGAGTGGATAGATCCTCAAGACTTTTCCGGGGGGTGGGGGTTGGTGCTAAATGGAGTCAGTCACATACACCTTGGTCTATATCTATCTTTTGGGTGGCCACAACAGCACTCCTGCTCACAGACTGCACGCAGTTTAAATGACAGGGTAGCTTATTTCACAGGACCATACTGCTACTAACTTCAGTAGAACTGTAATATTTGTTCACTCCTTATTGGGGGCCAATAGTATAATACACATGTATCAGGAGACCAAGTACTAGTTCCACATGGGATTCATGTGCTAGAATTTATAGTTTTATAATTTACAGAATTAATAGTTTAGGAGAACTATTAATAATCACACATTTGCTACCCTCCTTTATAGGTGAAAATTTGTGATATGCAGATGCGTGGCACACCACGAGACTTACTTCCAGGAGATCCCATTTGTAGTCCAGTAGCAGCAGTGCTGGCAGAGGCCACCATTCAGCTTATTCGTATCCTTCATCGAACAGACCGTTGGACTTACTGCATTAACAAAAAAATGATGGAAAGGCTACACAAAATTAAGATATGTATTAAAGATTCAGGTCAGAAGCTAAAGAAAAGCCGCTCGGTTCAAAGCCGAGAGGAAAATGAAATGAGAGAGGAGAAGGAGAGCAAAGAGGAAGAGAAAGGTAAACACAATAGACATGGCCTTGCTGACCTGTCAGAGCTGCAGCTGAGGACCCTTTGCATAGAGGTGTGGCCCGTGCTGGCAGTGATAGGAGGAGTTGATGCTGGTCTTAGAGTTGGAGGTCGGTGTGTTCACAAGCAAACTGGGCGCCATGCCACACTGCTGGGAGTGGTCAAGGAGGGCAGCACGTCTGCCAAAGTCCAATGGGATGAAGCAGAAATTACCATCAGGTATGATTTGTTGAGTTACACTTTCAGCAAATGAGTATTTATTGGTGAAATGGGCCATTGCCTATGGACAGTGAGTAATTATGTATTTTAGGTGAGCTGCCAATTAACTTTTTAAAATAATTTTTTTCATACATCTGGGTATGAGTACTGTGATTTCATAAAGGAATATTTCCCAGACTTGTGTTCCTTGGAATACTAGTGGCTTGTAAAATATATAGTTTTTATTTTGTTTTGTGAAGAAATGGTAAGCTCACTAGTTTAGGTGTAACTGGGATCCTTCTTTCTATTTTTCATTTGGCTTCCTCCTTTTTAATCATTTCCATTACACATTGGGACAGAAAAAAGCCAGTCAGCAGATCTGTCAGTTACATTTTATGTAGGAGGGCTTTGAATGTACAATGGGAACATTTGAGTGACTAAAATTAGGTTTTGGATTATCTGTGATTTTTAAGTATTCTTGCCTTTTTTTAAGCATATATTTCTATACCCTTAGTGTGTAACATGTTGGATGGGTATGAAAATTACATTTATTTGGCACAAACTGTGTGCTTAAAAGCATTTAGATGTGTTTGCAATCAGATAGGATTTGTGTGAAATAGAAACTTCATATGTTTAAAAGGAAGTATGTCAAGTATCTCAGTCGATAAGGGGACTCACTCATCTAATGACTGTACAGAATTATATCATTTGAAAACATGGATTTATTGATGATACTATGTAACTGTTCATTATATTGCTTAAAGTGATTCCATTGTTAATATGACATGGGACAGTATCAAAAACAGTGGTTTGGGCTTCCCTGGTGGCACAGTGGCTGAGAGTCCGCCTGCCGATGCAGGGGACACGGGTTCATGCCCCGGTCCAGGAAGATCCCACATGCTGCAGAGCGGCTAGGCCCGTGAGCCATGGCCGCTGAGCCTGTGCGTCCGGAGCCTGTGCTCCGCAACCGGAGAGGCCACAACAGTGAGAGGCCCGCGTACTGCAAAAAAAAAAAAAAACACCAAAAAAACAAAACAGTGGTTCTTCAGTATTTTTTGGAGGTGGTACTGTTTTAGAATCTAATGATAGCTATGGACCCTCTCAGCTGAAAAATAACCATACATGAAGTTTACACACAATTTCAGGAGTTAATGGACTTCAAGCTAAGAAAGCAATGAAAATTTTACTTGTGAAAGTATCTGCCTTTTCTTTTATTCTTTGACTTGTTTCGGAAAGGATTTATGATGCCTAATACGATATAGCAAAGTAATTAAATTAAAACCAACAAGAAAAATGACACAAAGGGAAAACAAGATTTGAAAAGTTAAGCTAGAACCAAGATTTCGGTTAATAGAACAAATGTATGCCACCAAACTTTGTATACTTGCTAAAGCTTTCTGTTCAAATTTGTTTAATTATAACATGTTTAAACTTATGGAAATTCTTGATGAATATCAGGAAACACGTGATCATGTTTTTGCTTAAACTAAATTAGAAGCATTTATTGAAGACTACAAAGTAATTTTTTGGAATGAAACAAAGTCTTATCTGGAACAGGTTATAAATGGCCGTTACCCATATAATAAAGTAGATTTATTATGCAAACTTTCCAAATAGCTTACATCAGGGAGCGGCATACTACACCTGGCCCGGCTCCTCTTTTTGTAAATAAAGTTACATAGCCACACACATTCATTCAGGTTTATCAGTGGCTGCGCTCACACTATGATGGCAGGGTTGAAAGGTTGCAACAGAGACTATGTGGCTTCCAAGTCCTAAAATATTTACTGTTCGGCTCTTTACAGAAAATTTGCCAGTTCCTGGCTTATATTATATAATAATGAATATTCTTGTTTGAAAGCACATGAACATCTCATTGCTTTTGCGTTTAACATCACATCTCCCCATTTTCTCATAGTAGATTCATTTTTCTGTTTGTAATGAGTTCTCTAGTTTGTGCAAATTATTCTCTGTACTGTGTACATGATACATCGTATTTTGTCTACATTATTTTCTGTACCTTCCTCTTGTCTATCCCTCACTTGCTTCTTCCTGTGTCATTCTGATCTTTATTAAAGCTTCCCAACTTTTTGGTCGCCTAGTGATACTCCATTGTATAATCTGGAACCCTGTGAACCGCTTCCTTTTGACGTGGCACGATTTCGAGGCCTGACGGCTTCTGTGTTGCTGGACCTCACATATCTGACTGGCATTCACGAAGACATGGGCAAACAGAGCACCAAGCGACATGAAAAGAAACACCGACATGAGTCTGAGGAGAAAGGGGATGTTGAGCAGAAAATTGAGAGTGAATCTGCTTTAGATACACGAACAGGCTTAACATCTGATGATGTTAAAAGTCAGGGTACCACAAGCTCCAAATCAGAAAACGAAATAGCTTCATTTTCTTTAGATTCAACAGTGCCAGGTGTGGAATCCCAACATCAAATAACAGAAGGAAAAAGAAAAAATCACGAACACATATCCAAAAACCATGACATAGCCCAGTCAGAAATCAGAGCAGTCCAGCTGTCCTATCTCTACCTCGGTGCTATGAAATCACTTAGTGCTCTTCTTGGCTGTAGTAAATATGCGGAACTGTTGCTGATACCAAAAGTTCTGGCTGAAAATGGCCACAACTCAGACTGTGCGAGCTCTCCAGTTGTTCATGAAGATGTGGAGATGCGTGCAGCCCTTCAGTTCTTGATGCGCCACATGGTGAAACGAGCAGTTATGCGGTCACCCATAAAGAGAGCCCTGGGATTAGCAGATCTGGAACGAGCTCAAGCCATGATCTATAAGTTAGTGGTCCATGGCCTTTTGGAAGACCAGTTTGGGGGCAAAATTAAGCAAGGTAAGTTATCTGATTTTTTAAATTTGTGCTCCGTGCTATTGAAATTATTCATAATTGTGAGAAGTGATATATTGTATTAAAGACTTATAAGTTTTGTTTTGGTTTTTTTTGGCCAAAGCAATTTTCACATTTCCTTTGCAAGGAAAACAGTTCCTTTCTGTTCCTTTATATTAATAATCATCTGTCTACAGGCATACCTCATTTTATTGCGCTTCGCAGATACTGCATTTTTTACAAATTGAAGGTTTGTGGCAACCCTGGGTTAGGCACATCTTTCAGTGCCATTTTTCCAACAGCATTTGCTTGCTTTGTGTCTCTGTCACATTTTGGTAATTCCACAATATTTCAAACTTTTTCATCATTATTATGTTTCTTATGGTGATCAGTGATCTTTGATGTTGCTACTGTGACTTGCTGAAGGCTTAGATGATGGTTAGCATTCTTTAGCAATGAAGTATTTTTTAATTAAGATATGTACATTGGTTTTGGGGTTTTTTTTTAAGACATAATGCTGTTGCATACTTAACAGACTACAGTATAGTGTAAACATAACTTTTAGATGTACTGGGAAACCAAAAAGTCACTTTATTGCAGTATTCGCTTTATTGCAGTGATCTGGAACCAAACCCGCAATATCTCCGAGGTGTGCCTGTACCTATAATTTTCTATTTTAAACCTATGCAAGTATTAGAACTTAATAATTATTACATTTCATAAAACTGAAATTTAACTCATGCCACAGAAGGTACTCATGTATTTACTGATCTGATTCAATATATATATTATTCTGATAACTTCTCAGAGACATTTTAAAGGACTTTTTAAAGTACTACTTTCATAGACTATATATTGTGTGTAAAAAACCTTGTTTTATCTTTTATCCTCACCTTTGGGGATAATATGAATTCTGAGATAAAAATGAGGTTCATTCAGTAAACGTTTACTGAGTGCTTACAGTGTGCCAGGTACTATTCTAGATTTTGGGGAGTCAACAGTGAACAAAACAAAGTCACCTGCCTTCATGGTGCTTCCATTCTTTTTTTCTTCCTTCCCTTCCTCTTCCTCTTCTTTTACCTTTTCCCTTACTCCCCTTCTTCCTTTTTTAGCTTAGATAGTAAGTAGGAAGAGAGAGGTGTGTGGTGCATATAAATAAGAGTGTTAAGATCATGATTATGAAAAGTACTTCGTCATTTAGCAAGCCAAATAGAATTAGCTCTCTATTTGTAACAACTGCTATCTTGATTATGTTTATTTGTAGGCTCCCTTACCAGATAAGAAAAATTACAAATATTTGTAAGCCCTTAGACATTTTAACTTTTTTTTTTTTTTTAACTCTTGGGAGTAGTTTATTTTGTGAAGAACTGTCATTTTTAGAACATGGAGTTTCTGTTTAGGTTTTTATTATTCTTGTATTTACATATCTTCATCTTTGCTTGTTTAAAGACTAAAGATAGGCATGAAAATCAAAGTGCTAAGGAAACACAGTTTTAATGATCTTTAGAGAACCTCTGGTTAAATCTTAACAAACAAAAGTGAAACTTCTTTGTTTTTAAGAGCACCTTCTCTAAAATAAGAAATGAGTAATTACAAGGGCTTGTTACATTATTGTCTGCAGAGTCTATAACGAGTACAATAGTGAATACAGGATGTATATATATAAGAACATTTTTTTCTATAAATCTTTTGCAGAAATTGATACTTATGAAATTATTTAGAAGCTTTCCAAATTAAAAGTTTCCCATTCCCTCGTCACTTTTGAAAAAACAAATCCTTACTACTTTCTTAACCTTAATCTTGGTTTATAGAGATTGATCAACAAGCTGAAGAAAGTGACCAAGCCCAACAGGCACAGACGCCAGTTACCACTAGCCCATCAGCCTCGAGTACAACATCCTTTATGAGCAGCTCGCTGGAGGACACCACAACTGCCACCACTCCAGTCACTGACACAGAAACGGTGCCTGCATCTGAGTCCCCAGGAGTGATGCCACTTAGTCTTCTCAGGTAGGGATGTTGACTTTAATGTCTGCCATATTGATGCCTATGGTTCTAAACACACAGTTGTTCTCTTGTGAAGAATGTGTCCAACTAAGTCAAGGCATTCTAGAGCTAGAGGGAACCCAAGAGATCATATAGTCAAACTCATTTTACTGAAGTTGGAAGTGTCCCTCAGAAGTTTAATAACTTGCCCAAAGTCTCTCAGCCAGTTAGTGGTGGTCCCAGATTTAATCAGCAGTACCACTGACAATCAGGTACTGTAGTACTCTACCTTCTTATAATGATCTTTTTTTTTTTTGGCTGGGCTTTTGAATATTTTTTTTCCTCCAAAGGTAAATACTTATATTTTGAATATTAGAGCCTCAAGAAAGAGCTTACCTCCAGAAAAACGATTTTCTCTTCTTGATGTTTTCCTTTTAAGCATAATTCTTTAACTATACTTTTATTCTTTCTATAAGGTCAAACAAGTCTACTTTTCAAATGAAAGAGCATGTCTTACGATCTTCTTCCTCCAGCCCTATTTTAGTAGACTCATAAATTCCAAAGAATGCTTAAGTTTCTTTTTGCTTCAGTTTGCCAGATGTATACATAAAATAAAAACCTTTGAGTGAAAATCTTTAGGGAGAGACTTTTGTGAGCTCTCTTAACGAGGGCTTAAGTGAAATGAAGGGAAGCAGAATAGTCTCCCTTTTTCTTATTTCTTTCCCCCCTTCCCTTAATTGATAGGTCATTATTGTTTCCAGTGTGTAAACACATCTTAGAGGATAGGAGAGAGAGTGGCTATTATTGTAATGAGTCTAAAATCTTGGTGTGCACAAGAGCCACCTGGGAAGCTTTTTAAATGTCTGGGGCTGTATTCCCTAGCAAGTCGCATTCAGTAGGTCTGGTGTGGCACCTAGTTTGCATTTGAATTAAGTTTCTCCAGAGATTCTGGTGCAGTGAGTTTCAGCTCACACATTAAGAATTATTGCTCTGGTCTTAGACAGAAGGAGCGCTAATCCAAGTAGCTACCAGTGGCCGGTCCCCACACATCTGCCTCTTAGCTCTCTCACTTAAGTAACACAGTTCCAGGAAGTGCTTCTGTTCAAGAAAGGAGGAAGAGAAGAGTGATAGGATATTCTAATATGGTTTTTAATCCTTCTGGCAATTACAGAATTCAAGGCATCCACAGAGAATCAGTAACACTGTGACTCTTTGTTGCCTTTCAAACTCCATAGGCATGGAATTCAATGGTAAAATAATGCTCCCTTGCTCCCAGAGACATTCACCAGGCCTGTGACTCCTTCTTCCCTCTTAGTCTGCATTTCCCTGCTATTGGCTAGGACTGTAGTAGAGCTGCAGTTGTCTCTGCCTGGCTCAACATCATTTAATACAAGAAAAATCAGGGAACAACTGCCCCCTATGTGGATACCATCATATCACAGTTGCTTGACTGGGTTGACAGTGCTCTTTTGATGCTTAAAAAGTTACTAGTTCCGTTGGACAAATCTAAAGAGCAGTCACTCAGTGAGGATCTTCCTGGACTTATTTTTTAGCCAGTGTCTGCCTTTTCAGCGTGAGAGGGGCTGCTTCTCCTGTACCTTTACCCCTCTACACAGCTGACGTATCATTCATATGCTGTTTTTCATTTGTGTTGGGTGACTGGGCACTTATCTTTTCTTTCCGTAACTTACCTATAGACTCCCACTTTGAATCCATGTGAATAATTTCATGGCTATAGCGAATGTATGTATCTGAAGTAACTTATAATTTATCTATCTTTAAAAGTCTTCTTTATTCTCTAACTACTATATGCCTACCAAAATACCCCTGTCACCTTGGTATTATAGTAGAAGGAAAGCTGCATGAAGGCAGAGATCTTTTAAAAATCTATTTTGTTAATTGCTGTATTCCCCCCACCTGCTATGTTGCTTTCATTTTGCTGAACACATGAAAAGGTATTACTTTTATAGTAAAAGCATCCTATGAGGTAATGATTTTTAAAACTGTGGAGTCTCTCTTCCCTCTCCCCAATTAAACTATAGCTAACTTGTATAGTTTTCCAGGTCTCATATTCTTCTGTAAGAAGATTGCGATGTATACATTATTTTCTAATTGGATTTCTGTGCTAACCATTGTTGTTTTCTTAAAGGCAAATGTTCTCTAGTTACCCAACTACCACTGTACTTCCCACACGTCGTGCACAGACTCCTCCAATATCATCGTTACCAACCTCTCCTTCTGATGAAGTAGGAAGGAGGCAAAGCTTAACTTCTCCTGATTCCCAGTCAGCAAGGCCAGCTAACCGCACAGGTGCGTGTGCTATCATGCGCTATGACACCCAGACCTTGACATTCCATATGTGTGAGACTTTATTATGTGGGCATTGTGTTTTGTCTTCACTGAAGGTAGAACAGTGATTTTAATTAAGGGGGATCTGCCCCATCAAACTGAGCTGTCTTCTCTCTTTTGAAGCTGTAGATTGAATTATGGCTATTTAAGAGAGAAATAATGTACTGTACATCAGTCATATTAGACCTTTCTTCTTTTCTAATATAGGCATTTTTAATGCTGTTAATTTCCCTCTAAGCACTGATGTTGCTGCAATCCAAACATTTTGAAATGCTGTGTTTTCATTTTCATTCAGTTTAAAGTACTTTCTAGTTTACCATTGATATCTTCTTTTTTTTTTTTTTTTGCGGTATGTGGGCCTCTCACTGTTGTGGCCTCTCCCGTTGCAGAGCGCAGGCTCAGTGGCCATGGCTCACGGGCCCAGCCGCTCCGCGGCATGTGGGATCTTCCCGGACCGGGGCACGAACCCGTGTCCCCTGCATCGGCAGGCGGACTCTCAACCACTGCGCCACCAGGGAAGCCCCTGATATCTTCTTTGACATATGGGTTATTTGGAAGTATGTTATTTCGCTTCCTAATACTAGGGGATTTTCCAGGTATCTTTGTATTGTTGATTTCTAATTTAATTTCATTTTCATCAAAGAACATATCTTGTATAATTTGAATTATTTTATTTTATTTTTATTTATTTATTTTTTGGTGGTAGATATTTAACTTTATTAGAAACTGCCTATAGTTTCGCATAGTGCTTGTACCATTTTCTAATTGCTTCTTAGACTCTCAATCAGTCCTATTTTTTTGCCTCACTTTTGTTTCCAGAAGTATCTGCTACCACCCATTTCTGAACATTTTGAGATTCTGAGGAATAAGTTCTGTTGTTTTGACTTTCCTCATTGCTGTTGGAGGATTCAGTTTTCTCAGGACCACTGAGGCAATTTATGTTTGCCCATTGGCTTTCTAACTTCTAAAATTTTATTGCAGTTTTCCTGTTCTCTCAGTCCTTATGGATTTCTGCATTTAAAATATTTCCTTTACTGCCATTTTAATGGGTTTTCAGGAATCAGTAGAACTAAATGCTTATGTTCAATTCACTATTTTAAGCTTATTCATTTAAAAAAATGTTTATTGGAGTATAGTTGATTTACCACGTTGTGTTAGTTTCAGATGTACAGCAAAGCGAACCAGTTATACATATACATATATCCACTCTTTGTTAGATTCTTTTCCCATATAGGTCATTCAAGAGTATTGAGTAGAGTTCCCTGTGCTATAGAGTAGCTTCTTATTAGTTATCTGTTTTACATATAGTAGTGTTTATATGTCAATCCCAATCTCTCACTTTATCCCTTTTCCCCTTTTCCCCCCTGGTAACCATAAGTTTGTTTTCTACATCTGTGACTCTATTTCTGAAACTTATTTTATGGCGCAGAATATGGTCTGTTTTTTGTTTTTTTTTTGCGGTACGTGGTCCTGTCACTCTTGTGGCCTCTCCTGTTGCGGAGCACAGGCTCCGGACACGCAGGCTCCGCGGCCATGGCTCACGGGCCTAGCTGCTCCGCGGCATGTGGGATCCTCCCGGACCAGGGCACGAACCTGTGTCCCCTGCATCAGCAGGCGGACTCAACCACTGTGCCACCAGGGAAGCCCTATGGTCTGTTTTTATAACTGTTCCATTTACACTTGGAAAAAATGTGTATGTGCTACTGTTGAGTGGTATGTTCTAGAAATTGTTGATTAGGTCAAGTTGATTGATAGTGTTGTCCAAGTCTTCTTTATCCTTACTTATTTTTCATTTACCTATTCTATCAATTATTGTGGGAGTGGTGTTGAAATCTCTAACTATAATTGTGGATTTGTCTATTTCCCTTTCATTTATTAGTTTTTGTTTCATGTACTTTAAAGCTCTGTTTTTAGGTCCATAGACATTTAGGATTCTTATATCTTCTTAATGAACTGACCTCTTTATTGTTATGAAATGACTCTCTTTATCTGTGTTAATACTGTTTGCCCTTAAATCTGCTTTATCTGGTATAAATGTAGCCACTTCTGAATTCTTTATTATTTATTATTATTATTTATATATAATCATATATCTTCTCCCATCATTTTACCTTTAACTTATTTGGGTCTTTGTTAAAGTAGATTTCTTAAAGGTAGCCTATAGTTGGGTCCAGCTTTCAAAATTCAGCCTTAAGTTCTCTACCTTTTAATTGGGATGTTTAGACCATTTACCTTTACTGTGATTATTGTTATTAGCTGGGTTTAAATCTACCATCTTTTTTTTCATCTCATCAGTTCTTTGTTTCCTTTTTTCTCTTTTTCTATCTCCTTTGAATTAAATGAGTATTTTTAAAATTCCATTTTATCTCCTTTGTTGGCTTATTAGCTATACTTGCTGTTGTGTTTTTAGAGATTACTTTCAGGTTTATAGTATGCATTCTTAATTATCACAGTCTACTTTCAAGTAATGTTATACCACTTCATGTATAATAAAAGAATCTAACAATAGTATGCTTTCATTTCCCCTTTTGCAGCCTTTTTACTTTTGTTATTATAAATTTAACTTCTATGAATCTTATAAAGCCCCATAATACATTATTATTTTTGCTGTGTATAGCCAATTATCTTTTAAAGATATTTTAAAAAACTAAAGTATGTATTTTTTATTTACTCACATATTTTCTAGTTCTGAGATTCTTTATTCTTTTATGTATATCAGTATTTGCATCTGGTATCATTTCCTTCTGCTTTAAAGACTTCCTTTAACATTTCTTGTAGTGATCTGCTAGTGATGAATTCTTTTGGCTCTTATATGTCCAAAAGAGTCTATTTCACCTTAATTTTTTGAAAAAATATTTTCACTGGGAATAGAATTCTATATTGACAGTTGTTGTTTCTTTTTCTTCAGTACTTGAAGGTGTTGCTCTACTGTCGTCTGATTTGCATTGTTTCCAGTGATAAGTCTTCTGTCTTTCTAATGTTGATGTAATATGCCTTTTTCTCTGGCTGCTTTTAAGATTTTTCTTTTTATCACTGGGCTTAAGCAATTTGATTGTGATCTGCCCTGGTGTAGTTTTTTTCATGTTTCTTGTGCTTGGGGTTTATTGAGGTTTTTGGATATGTGGGTTTAAAGTTGTCCATTAAATTTGGAAATTTTTAATTCATTATTTTTTTCAGATTTTTTTCTGTTCCACTACTCCTCCATTTCAGTGTCTCCAGTTACATGTATGTTAAGCCACTTGCAGTTATCCCACAGATCACAATCACTGATACTCTGCTCTGTTTTTGTTTTCAATTCTTTTTCCTGTCTGTGTTTGATTTTGGATAATTTTTACTGTTGTGCCTTCTGGTCCCTAGTATTTTCTTCTGCAGTGTCTAATCTGCTCTTAATCCCATCCAGTGTGTTTCCCTTCAGATATTGTAGTTTTCTAGAAGTTCTCTATATGTCTTTTTTTTTAAATCTCCCATGTCTTCTTTAACATACTCAGTCTTTCCTCTACCTTACAGAATACATGGAATAACAGTTCTCATTATTAAAACAGTTATATTCTGTGAACACAGAATTAGTGAAAACTGAACCATTGTTCCCTAGGGAAAATACAGGGCTAGGTTTCTGTGAGCTTCTGGTCACACTTTGTCAACTGATCAATATATAACCTTATTTTATGTGTGTTTCAATTTAAAGACACCATATTTAATATGTGTTGTTGATTCATTAGCATTGAACTCATGGCCAGCAACACTATTAACTCATGCCTGCATGAAGCTTAACACTTATATTTTCTCCGTAAGGCACGTTTTAGCCTTCTTGCACTTAGGAACACTAGACAGCATTTCAGCACTATACTTGGGGGCCATTTTAAACAATGAAATCACCAACAAAAAGCGCAAAAAATGCAAAAGAAGTAACACTAAATAGCATGAAAGGACACTTGTTATAGTCTGAGAGCTGAAAGAAGAATACAGAACATCACCTTGTTTGACCTCAGCTGGGAACAAATGCATCAGAAGACTGAATTTTTTGGTCACCTTGTGCATGTGAATATGTGAAAGTGCCATGAGTATTGATTTTGGAGTTACAAATTAACTTAAAGGAATAGATTAATTGGCAGATAGGGAATCCACAATTAACGAGAACCAAGTGTATTTATAGTATCTGTTTTAATGTCTGTGGTACTTAACTTATCAATTATTTCTAGATCTGTTTCTATTAATTTTTCTCCTCATCTTAAATTGTGTTTTCTTGTTTCTTTGCACGTTTGGTAATTTTTCATTGGGTACCAGACATTGTGAATTTTACCTAGTTGGGTGCTGGATATTTTGTATTTCGTTAATTGTATTATACTTAAACTTTGTTCTAGAATTCAGTTAAGTAACTTGAAAACAATTTGATTCTTTCAAGGCTTCCTTTTAAGCTTTGTTAGGTGGGACCAGGACAGCCTTTAGTTTGTTTAGTATTCTATCTAATACCTTATGCATTACAAAGTTTTTTCATTCTGGCTTGTTGTAACACAAACTTCCCAACCCTTTGTGAGCTCTAAGGATTGTTCTGCCTGCTACTTCTTGGTGATTCTTTCCCTAGCTTTGGATAGTTGCTCTATTAGCATCAGCTGAGGACTTGAGGGGCAGAGGACCCTCTGCACATTTCTGGAGTTCTCTATCTATGTAGCTGTCCTCTTTCCATACAGATCTCCCCTTTCTGGATTCTGCCCTGTGAATTCTAGCCACTTTTGAACTCTCTACTCTGTCTCCGCCATTCAGAGAGACCATTGAGTTTGGCTTGAATTTATCCTCCTTGACCTGCAGTTTGGGAAATTCTTTCCAGGCAGTAAGCTAAGGCAGTTGTACACCTTGCCTCATTTGATTCTCTTCTCTCAGGGATCACCGTCCTACACTACCTGTTGTCCAATATCTGCAGACTGTTGTTTGATAATTTTTGTCTGTTTTTTTAGTTGTTTAAGGTGAGGGTAAATCTAGTCTCTGTTACTCTACCGTGGGAAGGAGAAGTCCATCAGATATAGCAGGGCTATCACCACTGTAGCAGTAATGACATTTTTTTAAGCAAAAATGAGAGTTATAGTCTTCCCTCCCTCCATCCTTCCCTCTTTCCCTCCTTCCCTTCTTCCTTACTAATTCAATTTGAAAGCCATTAAGTGGGGCCAAGCTAGGGAGGCACTCATGCCAGCAGAGTATGGGAGGTGCGTGGCATGGTAGTCCAGTGTGGGTTGTCAGAGCCAGATTGGGGTGAACAAAAACACCTCATGTGTGTGGGGAGTGGCCTGTTATAAGGTTTTGGAGTCCAAGTGGGGCAAAGAAGTGTCCATATGGCCTGGCACTAGGTGTCAGAACTATATAGAGTGAAGAGGGCCTCCACTGGCAGCTGTCCACTGAGAGGGCCTTGGGACAGTGATGCTTCAGTAGCAGTACACACACCTAGTGCCAAGATCCTATCTTTTAAATACCACTCTCTACTAGAAGGAACCTTGATCTTCTGAGAGAGAAATGGCTGATTTCAGGTCTCAGTATGAGATGAGCCTAGAATAGCTTGTGCCATAAAGTGACAAAGTACTCAGAGAATGATGGGCACAGGCTGGAAGGATATAGAAATCAGAGTGAAGGGGCATCCACTGGCCAAATCTGGGAGATTTGGGGCATAAAAATAAATAATAATTACAATAACAGATAATAACTCATGAATGCAATGAGAATCCATAACCCTATACTGATGGAGAAAGGAGAAGCTTTGCTTTAGAGTGGAATACCAACTGATGAATCTGAAAGCAATGGTGGACTTAAAAAAAACCATCATTTTGTCAACCATTGTAATGATAATTAATTCAGCCAGTAAGCATAAATGGATGCAAAGTTAAACTGATGAAGAATGAGATATTTACCTATTCTCATAGTGTTTTCCCACAAATACTTATTAATTACAAAGAAAATTAAAAAAAGAGTACCTTTACAGTGGAGAAACCTGGCAGATACCAGCTTCACTCAAGTGATCAAAGTTAACATCATCAAGTTAACCTTGTCAGACCCATCATAATGGGACAACATGAAATCATGAACCATCTAATAGAATGCAGTAATAAGAGGGCAACATCAGTTTTGTGCTTCTCCTGCCAAAATGCACAACCTGAGTCTAATCATGAGGAAACGGCAGACATCAGATTGAGGGACTTTCTACCCTATAACTGGCCCGGAATCTTCAAAGTATCAAAGTGAAGGAGACTGAAGAGACATGAAAATTAAATGTAAAGATGATCCTGGATTGGATCCTTTGCTGTAAAGAACATTATCAGGACTTTCCTTGCAACTAGAATGGAATCTGGATTAGATGATAATTGTTAATTTCCTGACTTTGATATAGTTGCCTTGTGGTTATACAGGAGAATGTTGTTATTTGTAAGAGTAATATATTAATGTATTCAGGGAAGATGGAGCGTTATGTCTGCTACTTAACTCTCCAGTGGTTCAAGAATTCTTTGTACTATTCTTACAAATTTTTGTAAAGCTTGAAATTTTTTGTCAGTAGGAAACTATTTTTAAAAAAGAAAACATTAAACATTTTTTTCAGTAGGTTTGTTTCATAATAGCTAGTTTATCTTTAAGAAAAACCTTTAAAAGCTATATCAGATTTAATCATATTTAGTTACTAGAGAATTCTTAGTAGAGTAACATTTCATTATATTTGGACACTATTAAGAAAATTGGGAATTATGGTTACTATAAGAATACTTTTTATTCATGGCATATAGTGATATTTAGGACTTCTCTTTCTTTTGTCTCAGCCTTGTCAGACCCAAGCAGTAGACTTTCAACTTCTCCTCCTCCTCCAGCAATTGCAGTACCCTTGTTGGAAATGGGGTTCTCTCTCCGGCAGATTGCAAAAGCCATGGAAGCCACAGGTAGTATAATTTTTTTAATGTTTTTTTATTTGGAGTATAATTGCTTTACAATGTTGTGTTAGTTTCTGCTGTAGAGTGAAGTGAATCAGCTATATGTATACATGTGTCCCCTCCCTGCTGGACCTCCCCCCTCTCCCCATCCCACCCATCTAGGTCATCACGGAGCACCGAGCTGAGCTCCCTGTGCTGTACAGCAGGTTCCCACTAGCTATCTGTTTTATACATGGTAGTGTATTCATGTCAAACCTAATCTCCCAATTCATCTCACCCTCCTCTTCCCCGCTGTGTCCACATGTCCGTTCTCTACGTCTGTGTTTCTATTCCTGCCCTGCAAACAGGTTCATCTGTACCATTTTTCTAGATTCCACATATATGCATTAATATTTGATATTTGTTTTTCTCTTTCTGACTTACTTCACTCTGTATGACAGACTCTAGGTCCATCCACATCTCTACAAATGACCCAGTTTCATTTCTTTTTATGGCTGAGTAATATTTCTTTATATATATGTACCACATCTTCTTATCCATTCCTCTGTCAATGGACATTTAGGTTGCTTCCATGTCCTGGCTATTGTAAATAGTGCTGCAGTGAACATTGGGATACATGTGTCTTTTTGAATTACAGTTTTCTCAGGGTATATGCCCAGTAGTGAGATTGCTGGATCATATGGTAATTCTATTTTTAGTTTTTTAAGGAACCTCCATACTGTTCTCCATAGTGGCTGTATCAATTTACATTCCCACTAACAGTGCAGGAGGTTCCCTTTTCTCCACACCCTATCCAGCATTTATTGTTTGTAGACTTTTTGATGATGACCATTCTGACTGGTGTGAGGTGATACCTCACTGAAGTTTTGATTTGCATTTCTCTAATGATTAGTGATGTTGAGCATCTTTTCATGTGCCTCTTGGCCATCTGTATGTCTTCTTTGGTGAAATGTCTACTTAGGTCTTCCGCCCACTTTTTGATTGGGTTGTTTGTTTTTTTGATACTGAGCTGCATGAGCTGTTTGTATACTTTGGAGATGAATCCTTTGTCCGTTGCTTTATTTGCAAATATTTTCTCCCAACGTGTGGGTTGTCTTTTCATCTTGTTTATGGTTTCCTTTGCTGTGCAAAAGCTTTTAAGGTTCATTAGGTCCCATTTGCTTATTTTTGTTTTCATTTTCATTATGCTAGGAGGTGAGTCATAAAAGATCTTGATATGATTTATGTCAAAGAGTGTTTTTCCTATATTTTCCTCTAAGAGTTTTATCATGTCCAGTCCTACATTTAGGTCTTTAATCCATTTTGAATTTATTTTTGTATGTGATGTTAGGGAGTGTTCTAATTTCAGTCTTTCACAGGTAGTTGTCCAGTTTTCCCAGCACCATTTACTGAAGAGGCTGTCTTTTCTCCATTGTTTATTCTTGCCTCCTTTATCATAGATTAGGTGACCACAGGTGCATGGGTTTATCTCTGGGCTTTCTATCCTGTACCGTTGATCTAGATTTCTGTTTTTGTGCAAGTACCTTGCTGTCTTGATTACTGTAGCTTTGTAGTTGGGGAGCCTGATTCCTCCAGCTCAGTTTTCTTTCTCAAGATTGCTTTGGCTGTTCGGGGTCTTTTGTGTTTCCATACAAAGTGTGAAATTTTTTGTTCTAGTTCTGTGAAAAATGCCATTTGGTAATTTGATAGGGATTGCATTGAACCTGTAGATTGCTTTGGGTAGAATAGTCATTTTCACAATATTGATTCTTCCAATCCAGGAGCATGGTATATCTCTCCATCTGTTTGTGTCATCTTTAATTTCTTTCATCAGTGTCTTATAATTTTCTGCATACAGGTCTTTTTTTCTCCTTAGGTAGGTTTATTCCTAGATATTTTATTCTTTTTGTTGCAGTGGTAAATGGGAGTGTTTCCGTAATTTCTCTTTTTGGTCTTTCATTGTTAGTGTATAGGAATGCAAGAGATTTCTGTCCATTAATTTTGTATCTTGCAACCTTACCAAATTCATTGATTAGTTCTAGTAGTTTTCTGGTGGCATCTTTAGGATTTTCTATGTATAGTATGATGTCATCTGCAAACAGTGACCGTTTTACTTCTTCTTTTCCAATTTGTATTCCTTTTATTTTTCTTACTGTAACTTTTTATGTATCATTATATGCAGTTATGAGAAGCACCATCTTTATTAAAGGCAGTATGTTTTTTAAGAGGCCATAAAGGTTTGTAAGATTTTTAACGCAAGATTCAGTTACAGTGGCAACATAGCAGACAGTGTTAAACTGATAGCATGAATAACTAATTATTTTGCCCAAGGTCAGTATTAGACCTTTTTTTCCCCCTGTTCAGGTGCTCGAGGAGAGGCTGATGCCCAGAACATCACTGTCCTTGCCATGTGGATGATAGAGCACCCTGGGCATGAGGATGAGGAGGAGCCCCAGTCAGGCAGCACAGCCGACTCAAGGCACGGAGCCACAGTTGTAGGCAGTGGTGGGAAGTCAAACGATCCCTGCTATTTGCAGTCACCAGGAGACATACCATCAGCTGATGCTGCTGAAATGGAGGAAGGCTTTAGTGAAAGGTGAAATTCCAATTTCCATATTTCTGTTCCATGTGTTATAAATGGTACCCCAAGAACCCCATTATGTCCCTTCATAGATGCTTCTAATGGTATATAAGTTTGATAACTAGAGAGAGATGAAAAGGTAGACATTTCAGTTACAAGCTTATGTTTCTGTGAAGCACCCTTAACAGAATGACATGACAGGTTTTGACTTGAATGATGTTTTTATGAAAATAAGGAAATAATTTTAATATAAAATTGGTTAAAAGAAGAAACTAAAAATTAAAATAAGTTTATTCTGAAATAAAGTAAACATGCTGATAAAATAATTTTATCTTACATAAGAGATATAAACTAGAATGTTCATTTTAATATAAATTGACTTAAAGTAGTGCATTCAATAGAAATGGACTTTTAAATCTTTTCTGTCTCTTAATATGGGTTTATATTTTCATTTCTTCTTTAGTTTTTAATATCCAGTACAATACCCCCCTTTTTAAAGTTGTGAAATGAATTCTCTGATAATGCCTAGCCTAAAAAGAAATGTAATAAAATATTCTGTAATTCTTTCTAAAATCCTCCCCCTTCAGCACTTCTTATGACTTTAAATCTTCGTGTCATTTTAGCTCATGAAGTTATATGGGGGGGCTCTTGTCTTATATTAATATGCAGACTTTTTCTGACAAGCTTAATGAAAATTTTCATAACTTATTTTGAAATATCTGTTTTTCCAAGGCAAGGATTCCCAGTCGTTTCAATTTTTAAGTATTTAATCATTTAGGATTTAGTTAAGGCCATTGACCTCATTTGAATTTAAACTTGCATTAAGCGTAATTTCATTGTTGGTATATTTCAAAACCAGATAAAATTATTGCTCAGGGCAATATGACATATTTATAAGCCAGACACAAAAGATATGTTTCAAAACATATTTTGGGGCTTCCCTGGTGGCGCAGTGGTTGAGAGTCCGCCTGCTGATGCAGGGGACATGGGATTGTGCCCCGGTCCGGGAGGATCCCACATGCCGCGGAGCAGCTGGGCCCGTGAGCCATGGTCGCTGGGCCTGCGCGTCCGGAGCCTGTTCTCCGCAACGGGAGAAGCTGCAGCAGTGAGAGGCCCGCATGCCGCAAAACAGACAAACAAACAAACATATTTTGTTCTCGATAATATTTGGAGGAAAAAGTACTACAAGCAAGCTTGCACCTGTGCTTTCTGTTCATGATGATTTTTAAAAATGTGTGTTGCTTTCAAACTTGCTCTTTTAGCCCTGATAATCTGGATCATGTAGAGAATGCAGCTTCTGGAAGTGGACCACCCGCTAGGGGTCGCTCAGCAGTTACAAGAAGGCACAAGTTTGATTTAGCTGCTCGAACATTGCTAGCAAGAGCAGGTAAGTGTATGTTTCACATCCTTCTCTTGGTGAAAGTATTACATAGTTTGTTTATATTTTAAAGTAAATGTAAAAGCAACATTAAAGAAGATGTAAACTAATGATACTAAGTATTCAGTACCTCCACATTAAAAGTAACTATTTGCATATTACTTTCTATGCATTTATATAATTTTACATAATTTAAATCACAGCATACGTTCATAGATTTATTTTTAAGTTCCCTCTGGGTGAAGAAGGCTATACTGGTCACTTGTAAATATTGAGAAATTTCATAAATGCTCTCTCTGCCCTCAAAATACTTACAATTTAAGAAGTGAAGATGCATGTTTAAGGCATCACTGATGAGAAGGAGCTAGAAAGAGCACTGTGCCAAAGTAGGCACTGGCTTTTCTGATGTACTTTGTGAATTTTAGGGCTTCACTACTAGGTAAGGCCCAGATAAGCAAAGATATATTTTTTCATTACCTTAGTAAATATTTTTTTTCTTAGTAAATATTTTTAAGATTATGTTCTGGGCATGTGAAATTTAAATTATAGGGAATATATTTTCCAAACTAAAATCTAGAATATGTCATTTGTCAAAACAGAGTTTAATCTTTGAACTATTAAAACGTAAATAATGATTCAGTAATTTATGGAAACAGAAAAACTGAGACTGTCTTAGAACGTATAGGATGTGTATTTAATATTTAATGAAAGCGACTGACAAAAAAAAAAACTAAAAGGATAATAACAGCCCATATTTATTGAGTGTTCTTCTATGTAACAAACATTATGAAATATTTTACATAGATTATCTTATTTAAACCTGTCAGCAGCTCTGCAAGGGATGAATACTATTATCCCCATTTCACAGAAGAGGAATATATATATATATATATATATATATATGTTAGGTAAAGTTTTATGTCTGTGGTTTGGAATCCAATAAGTCAGCTGAGGTAGGCTCTCACCTGCATTGTATGGCAGTTAAGAACTGGCAAAATATTCAGAATTATTTTATACATGCAAATAAAATGCCTTTCTTGTTTTGTTCTGAGCGGGGTTATACCGCTCTGTGCAGGCCCATAGGAATCAAAGTCGGAGAGAAGGAATATCTTTGCAACAAGACCCAGGGGCATTGTATGACTTTAATTTAGATGAGGAATTGGAAATTGATCTTGATGATGAAGCGATGGAAGCTATGTTTGGACAAGACCTGACCAGTGACAACGATATTCTGGGAATGTGGATCCCAGAGGTACTGGATTGGCCTACCTGGGTGTGTGTGACTGCAGCGGGGGCTGCTCTGACTTATTTTCCTGCCCTCCTGTTCATACAGCTTACTAATAACAGCATTTCCTAGAGTTGTAACACTCGGAAAAGTCTGACATCTCATCCTAAAGTTTGGGGCTTTAACACTTGAGGTTACTTTGATACCTACAAACTAGTAAGAAAAAGTCTCTCTTGTTGCTTTCTCTGTGCGATTTTATTGCTTCTCTCCCCAGACTAGATGAATAGAGCCGTGCTGTGATAATTTGATTTCTGATATCAAAGATAGATTACAAAATAGGCATCAGGTCCCAGTCAGCTCTCCTGGGTGTTTAACATGGCTACTGTGCTTACCTTGCTATCTGAATGCATGCTCTTCTTCTTTATAGGTTCTATTTAATCACTGTAATGCCTCATTCTAGGAACCAGTGCCACCTAGATCTTGTAAATGCCTCCATCCAAGGGCAGGGTACATGATGGGTTTGTATGTTTACATTGTTTAGCATTACACTTTTTGTAGCAGGGAAAGTGAGAAGTTCACAGGTATAAGTTCTATAGGAAAGAGCATATACCATATTATGTTAATAAGATAAATGAATCCAAATGACTTCTTAGAAATTCAGAAAATAGATATGCGTGTTATGGTCAGATGAAAGTAGTTTTCATTGGAGGGATTTTAAATCATTTGAGATGGGGCAGATTGTCATTTTTATTAATAACTTTTTTCTCAGTAGGATAGTCAGTTACTTTTATTGTCACTTACTAGTGTGAGGAAGGGGCAAAGAACACCTTCAGACTGTGTGATCTGGATTTTAATTTGAAAGAACTTCGTTATATAGCCTTGATGAACATCTTGCAAATATTCCAGGATATGTAAACAAAGTTGTTAATTTAATATAATAAATGATGTTTTTTACCTCTTCTTAATTTTATGTTAACTTGACTAATAATTTGATATGAAATTATTTTGTGCAGCATGTTTGTGAGTCTGAAGACAGGGAAGAAGTGGTGGTATGTGAACTGTGTGAGTGCAGTGTTGTCAGCTTCAATCAGCACATGAAGAGAAATCACCCAGGCTGTGGGCGCAGTGCAAACCGCCAAGGCTATCGCAGCAACGGCTCCTATGTGGATGGCTGGTTCGGTGGTGAATGTGGGAGTGGAAATCCATACTACCTGCTGTGTGGCAGCTGCAGGGAAAAGTACTTAGCCCTGAAGACCAAATCCAAGGCAACAAGTTCTGAAAGGTACCTTGAAATTGGATAGATAACCATACCCTCTGATCGAAGTATATAAAGTATCTCTCATTAAGACATGGGAATTGTAGCTTTTTTATGTGAGGAGTAACCTTTAACCTTTCCTTTATAAAGACCTATGATTGCTGAATTGGGGACAAGGATGAGGGAGGTGGAAGAATTCAAGTTCCTGCCAGAGGTGGGAGCCTGTAGTCTGGGAACAGTGGTATGGCCTCAGGTTCTTCACCGGAGCTTGACTGTGTTAACCTTTAATTTGTTGTCCAGTTGTGAGTGGGACCCTTGCTTTAACCTTCAGGAGGCTTATGTTCAATTTTTTTCTTTGGTGTTTCTCACCATAGTTTTGACATCTTAAGGTCTTTTTTCTTGATGAAAAATATAGACTGTTTAGATTAAATGAGCTTCCATGAAAATATTACTTCTTTATACCCTTGAATAGCAACTGTTTGCTGTTGAGTAGGGTTTTTGCCCTTATTGTCAACTATTAAAGTCTTTAAGATGTTCTGGAATAGGTTTTGATTAAAAGCCTTATGTAGGTAACCTAGAAACCTCCCCAGTATTTTGGTAAAATAGTCATTGATTTTGTAAACACTTAATACCAATAGTTTTTATTACATTAGCCCATAACATGAAACACACTTTTTAAATTTTGTGTTGCTTTATTAATGACTTTTTAAAATGTCCTAATGACATAATTTGCACTTTGGGGCACTAACCGTTTTATATAAAAACAATGTTCTTCGTGTTTGGTGCAGGTACAAGGGACAAGCTCCAGATCTAATTGGCAAGCAGGACAGTGTGTATGAAGGTAGTTGTTGTGAGAGCTTCTTTATTTCACATGTATTTTTGTATGTACCTTCTGCTTAACATCTGTTACTAAAACTTACCTTCATGTGTTTGTTTGTATTTATGTACATGTTAACTTAAACTTCCCCCCAAAAGTTCAAGATAGTTTGGTAGCAACAGCCCTAGTTTTAAAAGTCAAAGGAAAAAGACCTGGGTCCTAATACTAGCTTTGCCACAGAATGTTAATTTCAGGTGGCATACATATTTTTTCAAAGTAGGGAAAGTATGTAGTACATTTTGAACTTCCATCCTAATTGAGGAAAGTAGAAGATAAAAAATTGAAGTGAGCATCAGTTTATCTGAAGCATTCATTTGTTTGAAGTAACTCATTTCCTAATGATTATGGACGGGGTCAAGAACTTTTTGTTGGCCCCATAACAGTATTTTTTATTAGTTGAAACGTCCATTACCAACTGTAACATGTGCTTTTGGTTTAAATGGATTTGACTGCTCTGCCTCCCTTTCCCTTAGTCTCACTCTAACTCAGGAGTGCAGTTTGGTTGGGTCACCAGGAGATGGTGCCGTAGTTCACTTTGTAGGCGCTCGGCTTTCAGTCCATCTGCATTTTAGACATATCTCACAATAACCATTGCCAGCAGAGTTATTTCATGTTTATATTCACATACCATACACTTCTTTATTTAAATTCCAGAAGACTGGGACATGTTGGATGTTGATGAAGAGGAAAAGCTAACGGGTGAAGAAGAGTTTGAATTACTCGCTGGACCACTTGGTTTAAACGACCGCCGCATTGTACCAGAACCAGTCCAGTTCCCTGACAGTGATCCGTTGGGAGCATCAGTAGCAATGGTAACAGCGACCAACAGTATGGAAGAAACTCTGATGCAAATAGGTAAACTTGAAATGCTGATTGGCATGGATTTTATAGAGGCTATATTAATTTGCTTCTTAGAAAAGTAAATAATAATAATAATAAGGTAAAGGTTAATAATAATAAGGGTTCAATATTTTCTATCCCATCAAGTATCTTTAGCCAGTTATTCTAATGTTTGAAGGTCTAGTATAATATTAAGTTTCTGATATTTCTTTTTATAAAATATTGAAGTGATAAAAAGAAAATTTATAAAATGTAGGGGGTTTTGTTTTAAACTTTGTGTTAAGAGAAACCTGGAAATGAATAAAAACCATTTTGCAGTATTTTTTAATTTCGGTGCGAGGGTATGGTAACTTTTTGCTGTATGGAATACTAAATAAAGAATTGGCGCAGTACTGGTGACTCAGCCCTTTATGTGTACTCAAAGCATATTTTAAAAACTATATCTTTACTATATTTGTTAATATCAGTAGAAGTGATACATGAGCAAAAATAAATAAAACCAAAAAAATTTAAGAATCATATTTTTCCTATAATAGATCATTGACTTAGAAATGTCCATTTTTCCCAAGCAATTTTCTGTATAACAAAGTTCCAGATGAGCAAAACACATTGATTTGCTTTATTTCCTGGTAGCCTAGAACCTAGGTAGAATGGAAAATTTTTTCAGTAGTCCGGCTATTTTTTTTCTTACCTTCTTATAAACTAAGCAAAATGTTATTTTTTTCAGGTTGCCATGGCTCTGTAGAAAAGAGTTCCTCCGGGAGAATAACATTAGGTGAACAGGCAGCTGCCTTAGCAAACCCTCATGACCGGGTGGTGGCTTTAAGGAGAGTGACTGCTGCTGCTCAGGTTCTTCTGGCCAGAACCATGGTCATGAGAGCTCTGTCTCTTCTCTCAGTCAGGTAAGTGTTATTTTGTGTCAAAAGATGTTAACTTAGTTTCTAGTATGTATTAGACAGGAGTCTGCTATTGTTTGGGAGGATAGAAGTTTTAGAAACTTGAATAGCTACTGTTGAATGAAAGAAGTTAGACATAGTCATCATTATTATTCATTCATTCATTAATTCAGTCAGTCAGTCAGTCATTCAGTTAATGCTTAGCTCTTATTAGGTAGAAAATATTGCGGTTATAGTAACTGAGTAAACTGAAAATTTTATTTTATTATCTGAAATGGGAAACCAAGGCTGTTGATCCATTTGGTGTAGGGTAAAACTAAAAGGTCGAGTGAGATTTTTGCAGAGTTTACCAACTGTGTAGCTAAGTCAGCCTGTATATTCCATCATGGAGACTCTTGCTATGCTCATACTGTGGAGCATAATGTTAAAAAAGGGAAGAGTGCCAAGAATACGTAAAAGACATCCATTTAGGAAATGATTAAGTAGGGGTATTTAACAGTAAATCACGAAGAAAGAAGGACCCTGAAAGAAGAACTCAAAGTTTAGATGAAGACTTCCCTGGTGGCACAGTGGTTAAGAATCCGCCTGCCAATGCAGGGGACATGGGTTCGAGCCCTGGTCCGGGAAGATCCCACATGCCGCGGAGCAACGAAGCCCGTGCGCCACAACTACTAAGCCTGCGCTCTAGAGCCCGTGAACCGCAACTACTGAGCCTGCACTCTAGAGCCCATGAACCACAACTACTGAGCCTGCTTTCTAGAGCCCGCAAGCCACAGCTACTGAAGCCTGCACACCTAGAGCCCATGCTCCGCAACACAAGAAACCACCGCAATGAGAAGCCCGTGCACCACAACGAAGAGTAGCCCCCGCTCGCCGCAACTAGAGAAAGCCTGAGCGCCACAACGAAGACCTAACACAGCCAAAAATAAATAAACAAATTTAAAAAAATGGATATTTAAAAAAATACTTAGATGAGACTGTATGGGGTTGGCTTAAGACTAGACAGTTTGAACTGTGGAAAATGAAGTTCAGAAACTGACTCACACTTGTAGATAAACATTTGATTTATGACAGTGCTTACATTACAGAGCAGTGAGGAAAGGATGGTCTTTTCCGTAACTTGGGCTAGGTCAGATGGTTTATTCACTTAAGGAAAAAAAATGAGTCTTGGCCCCAACCTCAAACTATATAAAGCAAGTATTTCCAAGTGGCTCTTAGGTCTAAATGTGAAATGTAAATCAATAAAGTTTCTATAAGACAACAGAGGAAGATTTTATTCTTGATATTGGAACAACCAGAGATTTCTTAAGCAAGTCACAGAAGACATTCACTTTAAGGAAAACAATTGATAAATTGGACTACATTAAAAAAGAACTTCTGTTTAGCAAGTCATTTAGGAAGTAAAAAGGCAAAAAAGTTAAAGGAAAAAAAAAAACACTGAATGGGAGATGATCTTAGTAATGCATATAACCAACAAAATATGTAAAGAATTCTTATAAACCAGTAAGAGAAAGACAGACAACCCAAAAGAAAAATGGACATAATAACAAAAGAGGCTCTCAAAGTGGCCAATAAACATGAACAATGAGATGTTCAGTCACATTAGTCTTCAGAGAAATGAAAATGAAAACCCCATGAGATACTACTACACACCCATCAGAATGGCTAAAATTTAAAAGACTGGGGGGAAAAAAGTGATCATGACGGTGTGGAACACTTAGAACTCTCATACACTGTTGGTGAGAAAAATAAATTGAGACAGTTACTTTGGAAGACTCTTTGATAGTACCAGCTAAAGGTGAATATTAGCATACTCTGTGACCCAGAAAAACACTTCTGGGTGTATATCCAACAGAAATGCTTACATATGTGCACCCAAAGACATAAGCAAGAACATTTATAGCAGTACTATTCATAATAGCCCCATGCTCTCATCTGTATGGATAAATGAATTGTGCTTAATTTCATTTATACGGGCATATCTTTTTTTATTGTGCTTCGCAGATATTACATTTTTTTTTTTACGAATTGAAGGTTTGTGGCAACCCTGTGTTGAGCAAGTCTATTGGCACCATTTTTCCAACAACATTTGCTCACTTCATGTCTCTATGTCACATTTTAGTAATTCTTGCAATATTTCAAGCTTTTCCATTATTATTTGTCATGGTGATCTGTGATCAGTGATCTTTGATGTTACTATTACAAAAAGATTTCTGACGGCTCAGATGATGGTTAACATTATTTTTAAATTACGGTATGTACATTGTTCTTTTTTAAAAAATAAGTTTATTTATTTTTGGCTGCGTTTGGTCTTCGTTGGCTGCGTGCGGGCTTTCTCTAGTTGCAGCGAGCGGGGGCTACTCTTCGTTGCGGTGCGCGAGCTTCTCCTTGCGGTGGCTTCTCGTTGCGGAGCACGGACTATAGGCTCGCGAGCTTCAGTAGTTGTGGCACACGGGCTCAGTAGTTGTGGCTCGCGGGCTCTAGAGCGCAAGCTCAGTAGTTGTGGCACAGGAGCTTAGTTGCTCCACGGCTTGTGGGATCTTCCCGGACCAGGGCTCAAATCCGTGTCCCCTGCATTGGCAGGTGGATTCTTAACCACTGCACCACCAGGGAAGTCCCTGTACATTGTTCTTTTAGGCTTAATGCTGTTGCACACTTAACAGACTACAGTGTAGTGTAAACGTGACTTTTATATGCACTGGGAAACCAAAAATACTTGTGTGACTTTCTTTATTGCAATATTCATTTTATTGTGATGGTCTGGAACTGAACCCGAACATCTCCACAGTATGCCTCTGTGTCAATGAAAAGGAATAACTGCTGCTGTAATGCAACAACGTGGATGAATCTTACAAGCATAATGCTGAGTAAAAGCAGCCAGACAGAAGAGAATACATACTTTATCATTCTATTTATATGAAGTTCAGAAACAGGCAAAACTGGTTTATGGCCTTAAAAAGTTGGAATAGTGGTTACTTTTGAAGGCCTAGAGACTGAGAAGGGCCCAAGCAGTCTTCTGGGGTATTGGTAATGTTCTGTTTCTTGATCTGGAAGGTGGTTACATAGGTTTGTTCAGTTTGTGAAAATTCATGATTTGTAAACATTTCTGTAAGTTATACTTTGGTAATTCAGGTATACTTAAGTATGTCCATATTTATTAAAATAAAAAAGTTTCAGAGCAGTTTCCAGCTTACATAATAGTTTTGGACATCTCTAAGGACTTGTATGACTAGTGATAGTGCAGCTTGCCTTTTATTTTGGTTGTTGGTGCTATGGATGATATGTGGGGCTCCAGATGGTCCCTTAAATTTATTTTCTTTATGCATCTAAAGTGTTTTCCTTTCCTGGCAGTGGTTCCAGTTGTAGCCTGGCTGCTGGTCTTGAATCTCTGGGACTTACCGATATCCGAACGTTGGTTCGATTAATGTGCTTGGCTGCAGCAGGGAGAGCTGGCCTCTCCACCAGCCCTTCTGCCATGGCAAGCACTTCAGAACGCTCACGAGGTGGGCACAGCAAGGCCAACAAGCCCATTTCTTGCCTGGCCTATCTGAGCACAGCAGTGGGATGTCTAGCATCAAACACTCCTAGTGCTGCAAAACTCCTGGTGCAGTTGTGTACACAGGTAGGATAGTTTTCAGTGCTTTTCTTATTGCATTGCTTATTTCCAGCCAATTCTTAAAGAACCTTTTGAGATAAAATCTTCTTTTTGTTCCAAAATTATATGTAAAGATTAAACCTGTTTGTTCTGATTGCCTCTTCAGAACTTGATTTCTGCTGCAACAGGGGTAAATCTTACCACGGTCGATGATCCAATTCAGCGAAAGTTTCTACCTAGCTTTCTCCGAGGAATTGCTGAAGAGAATAAGCTTGTAACCTCCCCAAATTTTGTTGTAACTCAGGCCCTTGTGGCATTACTAGCAGACAAAGGGGCCAAACTGAGACCTAATTATGATAAATCAGAAGTTGAAAAGAAAGGTAAGTTTCATACGATTTAAATATACAGTCTTTTAATCAATTTGATATGTTTTTAAAAATATGTTTTTGCATTGTTGTATGTGATGAATTACATAACATCATGTATACTTATTAAGTTAGATCATAAGAAAAGTGCATGGATACTTTTTCATTGTGCCTGGAAACAAATATTAGAAAATGTACCAAATAAGTCTTGGTTTGATTAGATTATTTTATTAGATTATGGTTTGGGTCACCATAGATAATAATCCTGGTAGGCTTCCTGAATATAATTTATATAAAGTAGTGCTATTTTTTTCTTTGTCTTAAGATGATACAATTTGAAGGGACTACTTAAACACAGTACTTACCCTTCTCTTCATCAGGACCATTTGGCCAAGAGAGATGGGCTTTTGGATCTATTAGTGCATTCCCTTGACTGGCTATTAAGATCACTTTTTTAAAAAATTTATTTATTTTTCATTTATTTATTTTTGGCTGGACTGGGTCTTCGTTGCTGTGCAGACTTTCTCTAGTTGCTGCACGCGGGGGCTACTCTTCGTTGCGGTGCACGGGCTTCTCATTGTGGTGGCTTCTCTTGTTGCAGAGCACGGTCTCTAGGTGCACGGCCTTCAGTAGTTGTGGCTCGCGGGCTCAGTAGTTGTGGCTCACGGGCTCTACAGCGCAAGCTCAGTAGTTGTGGCGCATGGACTTAGTTGCTCCATGGCATGTGGGATCTTCCCGGACCAGGGCTCGAACCCATATCCCCTGCATTGGCAGGCAGATTCTTAACCACTGCGCCACCAGGGAAGTCCCTAAGATCACTTTTGAAAAGCAAAAGCCAAACTCTTATTCTTCAGGGCATGCTTCCTCTGCCCTGGCTTTAAAATGATTTCTGCTGCCTTCTAAGTCGGTATATCCTTAGAGCAAAGACTATTGATTAGTGTATATAAATGTACATTTGCAGTGAATCAGATTTAATATAGAATTTGATGTGAGATAAATGCTTTATACCTTGTATGCATATCTTAGTGAAATGATTGCTTGAAAAAGTGCTAATTCTTAAAAGATAGTTTAACCCATTTTTGTTTGTTCACCACCAACCAGCTCTCACCTGGGCATCATTTCATTGTTTTGTTTAAGCAGGTTTAACTGCCCAATTGTATGCCCATCCTTCCTATGATCCTTCTGCTGTAGGCCCTCTGGAGCTGGCTAACGCCTTGGCAGCCTGCTGCCTCTCCTCCAGGCTATCCTCACAGCATAGGCAATGGGCTGCTCAACAGCTTGTGCGCACTCTTGCTGCACATGACCGCGACAACCAAACTACTCCACAGACACTCGCTGATATGGGAGGAGATCTCAGAAAATGCTCCTTTATCAAGTTGGAGGCTCATCAAAACAGAGTATGTATTTTGACCCCCAAGTGTGTCGATCACCTTATGTAAGATAAAATAGTTTCTCCTCTTCTCCAAGAGCTTAAAGTTCAGATCATGGGTGTGTGTCTCTCTTTCTGTCTCTCTCTTACATACCCACACACACACAAGCTAAATTATCAGTTATTTGTCTGGTAGGTAACCAACTCTCCTTTCTCTACATGTGTGTGTTGTATACTATATGATATAATATTATACAAATGGGAAAATCAGATGGGAGATGAGAAGAAAACCAAAGGTATAGCCTCACAAAAGATGAGGGTTTATACATGCAGGAAAAGAAGCAATTGGTCTCCCTGTTTTAGTTTAGTTTTTAGGAGCCCACTGGGCTCCTGAGCAGTGACAAGGGTAGTTTAGGAAATGAAGACTGACCCGTATTTTACCAATTTAATCATTTCTTAGTCTGTGTAATTAGTTTTATAGAACATGCTGAATATTTCCATTTTATTGAATTAAATAAATGTTTTTTAATTAAATAAGCATGTTTAGTAAAGATTGTGAACAGGTCTAAGGTAACTCAGATGAGTTTGGGCATAGTACTTCAAAGCTATACTTCAAATAGGTGTATATTTACAAGCCGGTTAGAAAAGAATGAAGACTATGCATGTTGTTTTATAACATGGATACTTTTCTTTTACAATTTCATGGTAGATTTTTTTTTTAATTTGATAGAACTCTTTCAAATTATAGAATCATTTGAATTAAAACTTGCTCAAATATTGCTGGACTTTTAATCTTTTCTAGGTAATGACTTGTGTTTGGTGTAATAAAAAAGGACTCTTGGCTACAAGTGGCAATGATGGCACCATCCGGGTGTGGAATGTCACCAAGAAGCAGTATTCACTGCAACAGACCTGTGTGTTCAACAGATTGTGAGTACTGACATTAGCTCTCTTGGGTAACATTTAAAAATAAGACAATCCTGGGCTTCCCTGGTGGCGCAGTGGTTGAGAGTCCGCCTGCCGATGCAGGGGACACGGGTTCATGCCCCGGTCCAGGAAGATCCCACATGCCGCGGAGCGGCTGGGCCCATGAGCCATGGCCGCTGAGCCTGCGCGTCCGGAGCCTATGCTCCGCAATGGGAGAGGCCACAACAGTGAGAGGCCCGCGTACCGCAAAAAAAAAAAAAAAAAAAAAAAAGACAATCCTAAACATGCTTCATCTTGGTTGTGTTAGTGTACTCAAATTGTCACTAAAATTTTTTACAACTTTTTCTCTTAGAACAGTCTCCAGTGTTTTTTTTTTTAATTTGCAAGATAGTAATTTAGAAAATAAAAATACTGTCAATATCTGTCAGCTTACTCAAAATTAAATCAAGGTCTACTATGCCAGCATTATAAATCTTCAATTCTATAAAACAGTAGGCTAATTTTCCATCATTCTTCAAGGATTATTTAGGAATTAGGGTAATGATATTTTTTCTGTAGCACAGTGTAGCATCTTTTATATTTTTATAGCTAGCTATAAAACATCCCTAGCTATTAGGCAAACAAGAGTCAGTGTGCTCTGAGTAATAACCATATGTATAACCCATATGGAATCAGAATACTTTTGTTGACAAATTATGTACTACATTAAATGATCAGTTGTCTAAGTATTACTCTTTTGTAATTCTACATTTTTCACATTATGACAAACACTAGCAATTATGTGATTGTCAAATACTGCTAGCCAGGCTTTTGAAATGTAAAAGCTTTTGATCTGCGTTTATGTACTATAGTCTATATAAAACGCTTATTTAAAGGTTTAGGATTTAGTTTACTTTGTGATCATGGGGATTAGAATTCCATACATATCTGTTATATTCTAGGGAAGGTGATGCTGAGGAAAGCCTGGGATCACCTAGTGATCCAAGTTTCTCACCTGTTTCCTGGAGTATCAGTGGCAAATATCTAGCTGGGGCTTTGGAAAAGATGGTGAATATCTGGCAAGTTAATGGTAAGAGTCACATAAATATTAGTAAACTACTGAAGCTACTTTTTTAAAAAAAAGCCTTTCTCTTAGCCTTCTAAGTCCAAATATTGGCTTCCCTTCACCTTGAATCTCACAATCTGTTCATCAACTGTGAAAATCTATGCATAGTATGGTTTAAATTAAAGAGAAAGTGTTCATTTCCTGACTTTTCCTTCTAGGAGTTTCAATTAACCTGGTAGTTGTAAACTAAAAATTCTTTCTATGTACCACTCAGCATTCAGGGTAGGATTTGAGGAGAAGTAGCAATCACTGCATTTTTAGCTATGTATTCTTTTGAATCACCTGAAATATTTCTATTAATTTTATCTGTTTCACAGGGACAAACTCTTGTTAATTTTTAATAACCTCTCTGGAAAGTAAAAATTATTATTGTAATCTTGGGCTTACCAGCACTTTTGTTTGCTTTTGCATGTTTGGGTAATAGCTGTTCTATTTCGTACATTTGAAGGAACAGCTAGCCTTAACTGTAGGTAAATTTTATATATTAATTTGGTTTTCAGTAATTATTAGGAAAGGACTTAAGTGTTTGACATTTGTATGTTGATTATTTTCCTTTATTCTTTCTCCTATAAAGCGATCATTTTTGTCATATTAATAGTTACAGAAAAGCTATGAATTTGATAATCATATGTAGTATATAAATGAAGGATCTTGCCTTGCAGTCTTACTCATTAGTAGGCTATTATGAAATTGGGGACTGCTTTGAGTGTATTAAATTAGATAGTACGTATTTTTGTTCTTGTTATTGTTTTTAAGAATTAAGTGACAACTAGTTAACATTTTCTCCCTCTTCAGGAGGAAAAGGGTTAGTAGATATTCAGCCTCACTGGGTATCTGCCCTGGCTTGGCCAGAAGAGGGTCCATCCTTAGCCTGGTCAGGAGAATCTCCAGAATTATTGTTGGTGGGACGGATGGATGGATCTCTAGGACTGATTGAAGTTGTTGATGTATCCACCATGCACCGTCGAGAATTGGAGCATTGCTATCGAAAGGATGGTAAGTGACTGGAATTGTGTCTGGTTGAGAAAGTGTTCCCCCCAGTCAAATAGATTTACTTTTTTGGCATATGCTGAGTAAATACTACTTTTGGTTTTGTTTTCTAAATCGTTCAGTTGGTATTTCATTTTAGTTAGTTACTAAGTTGAAAGATATTTCTTTGTCAACCCCTACCACACATCACTGGCAAAATAAGATCTAAATTAGTCATTTATCCTTTGTGCAAGTGTCTGAACACTTCTAGTGGGCTCTAGGTCTCTCTAGAAAGTTAAGAATGTCCAAGAGGAAAAAGATAATAATCATTGATGGAGATGAAATTGTTAACAAATGGGTAAAATTAAGGAAACGGGGGGAAGAGGAGAAGGGGAGGGAAGTTCCTGATTTAAGAAGTCATAGCAGGAAGCCTACTTTTACTTATTTTCTCACTATCTTCCTTTTGGATGGCTAGTCATCTTACTAGATAGTTTTTATTATATGTTTTCGGGGAGTAGGATATCTCGAAGATCCCAGGCACAGCCATGCAGTTTCGAGGCCTGGAGGACAGCACGCTTGCTTCTCAGATGTCTGAGAGGAAAGCTCGCCCTCTCTTCTCTTCTCTCTCAGCATGAAGGGTGCACTGCCCAGTTAGCAATCCCTGTCCTCCCCTGACAGCCCACGGCTCCTTTTTATTCACAGAGTAATGCTAATGTCATTACTCTCAGTTTCTGTCTCCTGCGAATACTGGGGATCCTCCAGAAACATGTCATCTCCATCACTACAAGTCAATATTCATTTGCTTTCTTCAAGGTCCATAGCCCTTGTCTGATAGTATTGTAGGGTCTCTTGCAGAGGCGGGGGGTGGCTGTGGCTCATTGTGGGGACAGAGACACGGGCAGCAGCAGTTGTGGAGAGTACGCACTGGCCTGAGCCCTCCTGGTGGCTGCCATTTTCTTACCCAGTTCTTTTTTAAATAGATAATACCATCATAGGGTTCAAAAAATTTTAAGTTTAAAAAGGTATACAGTAGGGAATTCCCTGGCGGTTCAGTGGTTAGGACTCCACGCTTCCACTGCAGGGGGCACGGGTTTGATCCCTGGTCAGGGAACTAAGATCCCACACGCCGCATGGTGCAGCAAAACAATAAATAAATAAAAAGGCATACAGTAAAAAGTCTTTCTCACATCTGCTCAGCTCCCATGTCCTCATTCTACTCCACAGATACTGTTTTTTACTTCTTTTGTAGCCTTCCAGTGTTACATATACTTAAAGAAACAAGTATGAATATAGCTTGTTAGAATATAACATGTTTGTTAGAATATTGAAACACACTGAATAGGCAATATTAAGCAAAAGAAGGGACAGGAAATTTTTTTTTCTAAGAGTTGGATTATTTCACTTCTCAGTTTCATGGTAGATTCTGGTCCAAAAGGAAAGAACCTTATACAGTGACTTAAAATCAGCAAGGGAATTCAGTTTTTGTCTCTGTTTTTCTTTTTTTTTTTTTTTGTACACGGGCCTCTCACTATTGTGGCCTCTCCCGTTGCGGAGCACAGGCTCCGGACGTGCAGGCTCAGCGGCCATGGCTCACGGGCCTAGCCGCTCCGCGGCACGCGGGATCTTCCTGGACTGGGGCACGAACCCGTGTCCCCTGCATCAGCAGGCGGACTCTCAACCACTGCGCCACCAGGGAAGCCCTGTCTCTGTTTTTCAGTAACCACTTCAAAAGAATGAAAGATTAAAAAATGAGGTACTCCTCGTCATTTACAAATAACACTTTTAAAGTGGGTTACATGGAATCCCAGCTGTAAGCTTACAGTTTGTCTAAATGTGTTAAAGAGATGTTTGTAAACTTACTTGCAGTGGTTGTAGAGGTATATATTTGTTGCAAAGTCTCTGTCTTTTAAGGGAGACAATGACAAATAAGTCTCTCTTATTTTCTTTTTAAAATTTTTATTTTGTTCTATCATGTTAGTGTCTGTAACTTGCATTGCTTGGTTCAGTGAAGACAGACCATTTGCAGTGGGATATTTTGATGGAAAATTGTTATTGGGAACAAAGGAACCGCTTGAGAAAGGAGGCATTGTTCTAATTGATGCACATAAGGTAAAGCATGTTTACCTGATGGTTGCTTTTTCTTGTTTTATACTGTAGTATTGCTTGATACTAGTTTCTCAAAGAACTTTTTTATATCAGTCACTTACGATTTAATATTCTATTGTTATACAAAGTCTTTGGACCATGTATATAAATGGAAAAGTCTGTGTAAGAAAGCCATTGAACTAAGAAAGGGGTAAAACCAAAACAGTGAATTAGGATTACCCTTGGAACACCCCCTGTCAGAGTACCTCCCACTAATGCTAGAAATTCCATCTATGAAGAATGGTTCCTTTGCCTTAAACAGAGGTTGTCAGTTCAGATGCTTATGGGGCCATCTAGGCAAGTAACATAAATGCATGAAGCCAGGAGCTGGAAGGTGGAAGGAGGGCAAAAAAAACAAAGTCAGAAGAACCCAATGATGACAACCATATAAACACAAGACATGTCCCAGATTCTCATAGTATTAGCTGTTTTTGGTGTAAGAGATGCTTTTTTTTAAAAGTCTCTTGTTTTTCATATTTTAATGATCAGTAGTCCATAAAAATAACTTTAAAAATGGTGATGAAAGATAACATATCCCTTCTGAATCAGAATTTCATAATTCATTCATCCAGCTAACATTTATTGAGCTTTGACTGCAGCAAATATATATAGTGCAGACTATATTAAAGGGTGAGTTGGTCTAGTGATTGGAAATAATATGCCAGTATCTAATTTGCATAAAATGTTGATTTCAAAATAATTGAGTGATAGAAGTATAGGTCATAAATTATTAAGTTTAAAGTATTTGTGAAGGAAGCATTACTATGATTTTTTTTCTACCTCTACCATTTTAAGGATACTCTTATTAGTATGAAGTGGGACCCAACAGGTCATATTCTTATGACATGTGCCAAAGAAGAAAATGTGAAACTCTGGGGGCCTGTTGCAGGATGCTGGCGCTGTTTACATTCACTCTGCCATCCATCTATTGTAAATGGCATTGCTTGGTGCAGCCTTCCAGGGAAAGGATCCAAGTTGCATTTACTAATGGCCAGGTATGTTGTAAATTTGTGTGTCTGTGTGTGTCTTAATTTTTATATTAGTATAGACTGTTACTTGCATTAAGTGTGGCTTCTCAATAATCTTAAACAGTTTACTGCCAGTTACTGTTCTTATAATGTGTAATACCATAAGATCACCTTAGGGAAATAAAGAAGTTTTCCAATGTGAAGCTTGGGATATGTAATCCAAAGATATGCCATCTCCTTAACCGTGTGTGATATTGTTAGAATATAGATCCTACTTGTATTTCTTGTGAAAGATGATAGCATAACTACTACAAATAAATTTTTAAAATACACTGTAGTAGTTCTATCATGTCTTAATTGATTGCTCTTTGAGAATATTTTTACTTCTGCATATTGACATGTTTTGGTTTTATGTGATCAAATTTTTTAAGTGGCTGTCAGAGTGGCTTAGTATGTGTTTGGCGTATTCCACAAGATACCACACAGACCAGTGTGACTAGTTCAGAAGGATGGTGGGACCAGGAATCAAATTGCCAGGTAAATATTCCGGTGTTTTTCAAGACTTTATTTGAAACCACAGATAGTATATGTTATCAAGTAATACTCCTACTCGGTATCTCAAATGTCAAGAGCCATTAGGGAAACGTGAATAATTGTCATACTTTGTGTGCTCTCTGAATTAGCCTAATTTTTTATAAGTCAGAGGTACCATAATTGCTTGTTAAGGTGAGATGTTCAATAAATATGGAGCGGTGATCGTTTATGGTATATAATCAACACTACCAATAGGTGAGTCCTAAGCTAAAGTTTTTGGTACAGTGAAGCAGGAACACCACGGGAGCACTCCTATTCAAAGTATCTCCTACTGATACCAGAATTCCACCTATGAAGAACCATTCCCTTACCTTAAACAGAGGTTAAAAATTTACAGTAGACAGGGAATTCCCTGGCAGTCCAGTGGTTAGGACTCAGTGCTTTCACTGCTGTGGCCCTGGCTTCAATCCCTGGTCGAGGAACTAAGATCCCACAAGACGCGTGGCATGGCCAAAAAAAAAATTATGGTAGATGCTCACAGAGCCATTTGGTAAGTAACATAAATTCATTCACAAAGCTGTGGAGAAGGTAAAACACACCCACACACACAAACACACACACACACACAGGAGTGCACATGCTTCATATAAAGGGCATAGTTGCCACAGAGGAGATTGCCACCCTCCAGAAATGAGAGCCTATTGCTACCAGATTGTCAAATTTTTTGTTGTTGGAAACCAAAAATTCAGTGTTTTAAGTAAAATCTCCCAATATTAAACATTGGCATCTGACTTGAAATTCTTTAAAACCCTGGTTGGCCGGTTGAATTGTATCCCTGAGTTGCCAGTTTGCAACCTCTGTTGCTTTCTCTTTTGTTCATTATACAAATACATTATGTCATTTTTGGGTAAATGAGTATATCTGGTATTATGCTGTCTCATAACTAAAAGGAAGAGGGAGCTTAAAGGCAGGGAGAAAGGGGTGAGGAGGGAGGAGTAGATAGCTCACTAATGGGAGGAAAATATCACAGAAGCAGAGGTAGGAGCACTAGAGATAAATCTGATTTGCTCTCTGTGCTAAAGAGTAGCCCTTTAGACAGGCCTACCTATTTCATTCCTAAAACCTGCAGAGCAAACATGAGATTAGATACCATGGGACAGACAGACCCATAAGCCAACAGAAAGAGGAACTTGTTTGTATAGCACCAGCATGTGCAATTCACAAATGTTAGAGGCTAAAAGTGAAAATTACATGAAGTGAAATTTAAAAATTAAAACACTCATTAAAAGGTAGACGTTAGAATTTTCCTATCTCTGAGGGATAATTGGAACTTAAATGTAGTCATTTCTTCCCGTTTGAAGAGTAGAGAACTAGCTTAGAAGTGTATCAAAAAAGATGAAACAGCATCAGCAAAGGAGAACCAGATTGATATCTTATTATTTTCTCCATCAGGCTAGTCCTTATGAGAGAGTTGTCCTTCCCTCCTCCCCAATTTTATACTGAAATATAAAATTTCCAAGAATGAATTGTAAATCTTGAATCTATAAATTGTTTTATTTTTCAATATTTGTTAAAAATAAAAATGAATTGCAGGATGGATATAGGAAATCAGTCGGAGCCAAGTGTGTTTATCAATTGCGAGGACACATCACCCCTGTCCGGACCGTTGCCTTTAGTTCTGATGGGTTGGCCCTGGTGTCTGGTGGTTTAGGTGGCCTCATGAACATTTGGTCTTTAAGGGTAAGAGTATAGATGTTATTTTTATCTTAAGAAATGTTTTTATATTAACTTATATGTGATAAAAGTTAACCCAACTAATCCTAGGAATATTTTGTGTAATAATATCTTGAATATTGAAGAAACCCCTTTCAGAGTTCTCTGCCCTTTAATTTTTTTCTTTTTTTAATATCTTTATTGGAGTATAATTGCTTTACAATGGTGTGTTAGTTTCTGCTGTATAACAAAGTGAATCAGCTATACATATAAATGTATCCCCGTATCTCCTCCCTCTTGCACCTCCCTCCCACCCTCCCTATCCCACCCTTCTAGCTGGTCACAAAGCACCGAGCTGAGCTCCCTGTGCTATGCGACTGATTCCCACTAGCTAGCTGTCTTACATTTGGTGGTGTATATATGCCCATATATACACTACCACTCTCTCACTTTGTCCCAGCTTACCCTTCCCCCACCCCGGAAGTCCATTCTCTAGTAGGTCTGCGTCTTTAGTCCCATCTTGCCCCGAGGTTCTTCATGACCTTTTTTTTTTTGGTTCCATATATATATGTTAGCATATGGTATTTGTTTTTCTCTTTCTGACTTATTTCATTCTCTATGACAGTCTCTAGGCCCATCCAACTCACTACAAATAACTCAATTTCATTTCTTTTTAATAATGAGTAATATTCCATTGTATATATGTGCCACATCTTCTTTATCCATTCATCTGTTGATGGACACTTAGGTTGCTTCCACATCCTGCCTATTGTAAATAGTGCTGCAATGAACATAGTGGTACATGACTCTTTTTGCATTATGGTTTTCTCAGGGTATATGCCAGTAGTGAGATTGCTGGGTCAGATGGTAGTTCTATTTTTAGTTTTTTAAGGAACCTCAATACTGTTCTCCATAGTGGCTCTATCAATTTACATTCCCACCAACAGTGCAAGAGTGTTCCCTTTTCTCCACACTCTCTCCAGCATTTATTGTTTCTAGATTTTTTGATGATGACCATTCTGACTGGTGTGAGGTGGTACCTCATGGTAGTTTTGATTTGCATTTCTCTAATGATTAGTGATGTTGAGCATCCTTTCATGTGTTTGTTGGCAATGTGTTTATCTTCTTTGGAGAAATGTCTATTTAGGTCTTCTGCCCATTTTTGGAGAGGGTTGATTGATTTTTTTGATATTGAGCTGCATGAGCTACTTGTATATTTTGGAGATTAATCCTTTGTCAGTTGCTTCATTTGCAAATATTTTCTCCCATTCTGAGGTTGTCTTTTGGTCTTGTTTATGGTTTCCTTGGCTGTATAAAAGCTTTTAAGTTTCATTAGGTCCCATTTGTTTATTTTTGTTTTTATTTCCATTTCTCTAGGAGGTGGGCCAGAAAGGATCTTGCTGTGATTTATGTCATGGAGTGTTCTGCCTGTGTTTTCCTCTTAAGAGTTTTATAGTGTCTGGCCTTACATTTAGGTCTTTAATCCATTTTGGGTTTATTTTTGTGTATGGTGTTAGGGAGTGTTCTAATTTCATTCTTTTACATGTAGCTGTCCAGTTTTCCCAGCACCACTTATTGAAGAGGCTGTCTTTTCTCTGTTGTATATTCTTGCCTCCTTTATGAAAAATAAGGTGACCATATGTGCCTGGGTTTATCTCTGGGCTATCCTGTTCCATTGATCTATATTTCTGTTTTTGTGCCAGTACCATACTGTCTTGATTACTGTAGCTTTGTAGTATAGTCTGAAGTCAGGGAGCCTAATTCCTCCAGCTCTGTTTTTCTTTCTCAAGATTGCTTTGGCTATTTGGGGTCTTTTGTGTTTCCATACAAATTGTGAAATTTTTTGTTTTAGTTCTGTGAGAAATGCCATTGATGGTTTGATAGGGATTGCAGTGAATCTGTAGATTGCTTTGGGTAGTAGAGTCATTTTCACAATGTTGATTCTTCCAATCCAAGAAGATGGTATGTCTCTCCATCTGTTTGTATCATCTTTAATTTCTTTCATCAGTGTCTTGTAGTTTTCTGCATACAGGTCTTTTTTCTCCTTAGGTAGGTTTATTCCTAGGTATTTTATTCTTTTTGTTGCAGTGGTAAAATGGGAGTGTTTCCTTAATTTCTCTTTCAGATTTTTCATCATCAGTCTATAGGAATGCAAGAGATTTCTGTGCATTACTTTTGTATCCTGCTACTTTACCAAATTCACTGATTAGTTTTAGTAGTTTTCTGGTAGCATCTTTAGGATTCTCTATGTATAGTATCATGCCATCTTCAAACAGTGACAATTTTACTTCTTCTTTTCTGATTTGCATTCCTTTTATTTTTTTTTCTTCTCCGATTGCTGTGGCTAAAACTTCCAAAACTATGTTGAATAATAGTGGTGAGGGTGGGCAACTTTTCTTGTTCCTGATCTTAGTGGAAATAATTTCAGTTTTCACCATTGAGAATGATGTTGGCTGTGCGTTTGTCACATATAGCCTTTATTATGTTGAGGTAAGTTTCCTCTGTGCCTGCTTTCTGGAGAGCTTTTATCATAAATGGGTGTTAAATTTTGTCAAAAGCTTTTTCTGCATCTATTGAGATGATCATATGGTTTTCATCCTTCAGTTTGTTAGTATGGTTTATCACATTGATTGATTTGTGTATATTGAAGAATCCTTGCATTCCTGGGATGAACCCTACTTGATCATGGTGTATGAGCCTTTTAATGTGCTGTTGGATTCTGTTTGCTAGTAGTTTGTTGAGGATTTTTGCATGTTTGTTCATCAGTGATATTGGCCTGTAGTTTTCTTTTTTTGTGGTATCTTTGTCTTTTTTTGGTATCAGGGTGATGGTGGCCTTGTAGAATGAGTTTGGGAGTATTCCTCCCTCTGCTGTATTTTGGAAGAGTTTGAGAAGGATAGGTGTTAGCTCTTCTCTAAGTGTTGGGTAGAATTCGCCTGTGAAGCCATCTGGTCCTGGACTTTTGTTTGTTGGAAGATTTTTAATCACAGTTTCAATTTCAGTGCTTGTGATTGGTCTGTTTATATTTTCTGTTGCTGGTTCAGTCTTGGAACGTTGTGCTTTTCCAAGAATTTGTCCATTTCTTCCAGATTGCCCATTTTATTGGCATGTAGTTGCTTGTAATAATCTCTCATGGTCCTTTGTATTTTTGCAGAAGTTGTTACTTCTCCTTTTTCATTTCTAATTCTATTGATTTGAGTCTTCTCCCTTTTTTTCTTGATGAGTCTGGCTAATGTTTTGTCAATTTTGTTTATCTTCTCAAAGAACCAGCTTTTAGTTTTATTGATCTTTGCTATCATTTCCTTCATTTCTTTTTCACTTATTTCTGATCTGATCTTTATGATTTCTTTCCTTCTACTAACTATGGGGTATTTTTGTTCTATCTCTAATTGCTTTAGGTGTAAGGTTAGGTTGTTTATTTGAGATTTTTCTTGTTTCGTGAGGTAGAATTGTATTGCTATAAACTTCCCTCTTAGAACTGCTTTTGCTGCATCCCATAGGTTTTGGGTCATCATGTTTTCATTGTCATTTGTTTCTAGGTATTTTTTGATTTCCTCTTTGATTTCTTGAGTGATCTCTTGGTTATTTAGTAGTGTATTGTTTATCCTCCATGTGTTTGTATTTTTTACAGATTTTTTCCTGTGATTGATATCTAGTCTCATAGCATTGTGGTCGGAAACGATACTTGATACGGTTTCAATTTTCTTAAATTTACCAAGGCTTGATTTGTGACCCACGATATGATCTCTCCTGGAGAGTGTTCCATGAGCAATTGAGAAGAAAGTGTAAACTGCTGTTTTTGGATGGAATATCCTAAAATATCAATTAAGTCCTTCTTGTTTAATGTATCATTTAAAGCTTGTGTTTCCTCATTTATTTTCATTTTGGTTGATCTTTCCATTGGTGAAAGTGGGGTATTAAAGTCCCCTACTATGTATGTGTTACTGTCGATTTTCCCTTTTATGGCTGTTAGCATTTGCCTTATGTATTGAGGTGCTCCTATGTTGGGTGCATAAATATTTACAATTGTTGTATCTTCTTCTTGGATCGATCCCTTGATCATTATGTAGTCTCTTGTCTGTTGGATTGATCCCTTGATCATTATATAGTCTCTTGTTTCTTGTCTCTCGTCTCTTCTTTGTCTCTTGTAATAGTCTTATAAAGTCTATTTTGTCTGATATGAGAATTGCTACTCCAGCTTTCATTTGATTTCCATTTGCATGGAATATCTTTTTCCATCCCCTCCCTTTCAGTCTGTATGTGTCCCTAGGTCTGAAGTGGGTCTCTTGTAGACAGCATATATACGGTCTTGTTTTTGTATCCATTCAGCCAGTCTATGTCTTTTGGTTGGAGCATTTAATCCATTTACATTTAAAGTCATTATTGACATGTACGTTCCTGTTACCATTTTCTTAATTGTTTTGGGTTTGTTATTGTAGGTGTTTTCCTTCTCTTGTGTTTCCTGCCTAGAGAAGTTCCTTTAGCATTTGTTGTAGAGCTGGTTTGGTGGTGCTGAATTCTCTTAGCTTTTGCTTGTCTATAATGGTTTTAATTTCTCCATCAAATCTGAATGAGATCCTTGCTGGGTAGAGTAATCTTGGTTGTAGGTTTTCCCCTTTCCTCACTTTAAATATGTCCTGCCACTCCCTTCTGGCCTGCAGAGTTTCTGCTGAAAGATCAGCTGTTAACCTTATGGGGATTCCCTTGTATGTTCGTTGTTGCTTTTCCCTTGCTGCTTTTAATATTTTTTCTTTGAATTTAATATTTGTTGGTTTGATTAATATGTGTCTTGGCATGTTTCTCCTTGGATTTTTCCTGTATGGGACTCTCTGCACTTCCTGGTCTTGATTATTTCCTTTCCCATATTAGGGAAGTTTTCAACTATAATCTCTTCAAATATTTTTTCAGTTCCTTTTTTTTTCTCTTCTTCTGGGACCCCTAGAATTCGAATGTTGGTGCGTTTAATGTTGTCCCAGAGGTCTCTGAGGCTGTCCTCAATTCTTTTCTTTCTTTTTTCTGTATTCTGCTCTGCCATAGTTATTTCCACTCTTATCTTCCAGGTCACTTATCCGTTCTTCTGCCTCAGTTATTCTGCTGTTGATTACTTCTAGAGAATTTTTAATTTCATTTTTTGTGTTGCTCATCATTGTTTGTTTGCTCTTTAGTTCTTCTGGTTTCTTGTTAAACATTTCTTGTATTTTCTCCATTCTGTTTCCAAGATTTTGCATCATCTTTACTATCATTACTCTGAATTCTTTTTCAGGTAGACTGCCTATTTTCTCTACATTTGTTTGGTCTGATGGGGTTTTACCTTGCTCCTTCATCTGCTGTCTATTTGCTGTCTTCTCATTTTGCTTAACTTACTGTGTTTGGGGTCTCCTTTTTGCAGGCTGCAGGTTTGTATTTCCCGTTGTTTTTTGGTGTCTGCCCCCAGTGGCTAACGTTGGTTCAGTGGGTTGTGTAGGCTTCCTGGTGGAGGGGACTGGTGCCTGGTGGGTGGGGCTGGATCTTGTCTTTCTGGTTGGCAGGACCATGTCCAGTGGTGTGTTTTCAGGTGTCTGTGAAGTTAGTATGATTTTAGGCAGCCTCTCTGCTAATGGGTGGGCTTGTGTTCCTGTCTTGCTAGTTGTTTGACATGGGGTGTCCAGCACTGGAGCGTGCTGGTCGTTGAGTGGAGCTGGGTCTTAGCGTTGAGATGGAGATCTCTGGGAGAGGTTTCACCATTTGATATTACATGGGGCTGGGAAGTCTCCGGTGGTCCAATTCAGGCTTGACACCAGGCCGGAGCACCAAGACCCTGTCAGCCACATGGCTGAGAAGAAAAGGGAGAAAAAAAGAAAGAAAGAAAGAAAAAATAAATAAATAAAATAAAGTTATTAAAATAGAAAAAAATTATTAAAAAGTAATAAAAAATAGAAAGAAGAGAGGTAGCAAACCAAAAAACAAATCTACCAATGATAACAATTGCTAAAAACTATACTAAAAAAAAAAAAACAAAAACGGACAGTCAGAACCCTAGGACAAATGGCAAAAGCAAAGCTATACAGACAAAATTACCCTAAGAAGCATACACATACTCACTCACAAAAAGAAAAAGGAAAAAAAAATTATATATATATATAAGGAAGAGAGCAACGAAATCAGTAAACAAATCTACCAATGATAATAAGTTCTAAATACTAAACTAAGATAAACATAAAGCCAGAAACAAATTAGATGCAGAAAGCAAATCCCAAGTCTACAGTTGCTCCCAAAGTGCACTGCCTCAATTTTGGGATGATTTCTTGTCTATTCAGGTATTCCACAGATGCAGGGTACATCAGGTTGATTATGGAGATTTAATCCGCTGCTCCTGAGGCTGCTGGGAGAGATTTCCTTTTCTCTTCTTTGTTCGCACAGCTCCCGGGGTTCAGCTTTGGATTTGGCCGCGCCTCTGCATGTAGGTTGCCTGAGGGCGTCTGTTCCCCACCCAGACAGGATGGGGTTAAAGGAGCAGCTGATTAGGGGGCTCTGGCTCACTCAGGCCGGGGGGATGGAGGGGTACGGACGTGGGGCGAGCCTGCGGCGGCAGAGGCCAGCGTGACATTGCAACAGCCTGAGGCACAACGTGTGTTCTCCTGGGGAAGTTGTTCCTGTATCACGGGACCCTGGCAGTGGCAGGCTGCACAGGCTCCTGGGAGGGGAGGTGTGGATAGTGACCTGTGCTTGCACACAGGCTTCTTGGTGGCTGCAGCAGCAGCCTTAGCGTCTCACGCCTGTGCCTGGTGTCCACGCTGATAGCTGCAGCTCATACCCATCTCCTCATCTAGGCAGTGCTCTGAATCCCCTCTCCTTGCGCACCCGAAACAATGGCCTCTTGCCTCTTAGACAGGTCCAGACTTTTCCCTGGACTCTCTCCCGGGTAGCTGTGACGCACTAGCCCCCTTCAGGCTGTGTTCATGCAGCCAACCCCAGTCCTCTCCCTGGGGTCTGACCTCCGAAGCCCGAGCCTCGGCTCCCAGCCCCCAACCTGCTCTGGCAGGTGAGCAGATGAGCCTTTCAGGCTAGTGAGTGCTGGTCGGCCCCGATCCTCTGTGCCGGAATCTCTCCGCTTTGACCTCTGCACCCCTGTTGCTGCGCCCTCCTCTGCAGCTCCGAAGCTTCCCCCTCACCCACCCCATCTCTGCCAGTGAAGGGCCTTCCTGGTGTGTGGAAACTTTTCCTCCTTCACAGCTCCCTCCCAGAGGTGCAGGTCCTGTCCGTATTCTTTTGTCTCTGTTTTTCCTTTTTTCTTTTGCCCTACCCAGGTACGTGGGGAGTTTCTTGCCTTTGGGGAAGTCTGAGGTCTTCTGCCAGTGTTCAGTAGGTGTTCTGTAGGAGTTGTTCCACATGTAGATGTATTTGTGGGGAGGAAGGTGATCTCCACGTCTTACTCCTCTGACATCTTGAAGGCTCCCCTGCCCTTATTTTTTCTTAATGATGTATTTTTAAAATCATTTAGAAAAGGCTCTAGAAAATTGGATAGTAGTATGCAGTTGGGCATTGCCAAATGTACCTAAAGTGTAGGTTTTACAATAAGTTTTTGTGAACATGAAGTATAAATTTAAAATGTAAATAATGGCTAACTAGATAAGTAGTGTATATTGATAAATACATCTCATTTTAGGATGGCTCTGTCTTGCAAACTGTTGTGATTGGCTCTGGAGCTATTCAGACCACAGTATGGATTCCAGATGTTGGGGTAGCTGCTTGCTCAAATAGATCAAAGGTAATTTTACAATCATATCAAGTTGTAAGTTGTTAGCCTGTAAGGTATCTTAAAAATCGTAGTCCAAGCATCCCACTTTACCGAGGCAAAAAATGATATCCAGAGGGATTATTACTTGCCCAAGATAATGCAGGTGTTTAGTGGCAGAAGGAAAACTAGAACCTGGTACGCTCCTGTACCCTATACTTTGGGAAAAATGCTTAATTATTGAATGACTTTCCACTGGAAATTATAAAGAGAATTTATTACTTTCTGCCATGATTTTTGAGACAGCACTAAATTATCTAAAGAATTTTCCCCAAAAAGAAGGACTACCTCAAAGACCTTTAACTCAACTATACAGAATATATCTTGGCTTTCAAATTTAATGTTCTACTAAAAAATACTAGCCCTCTACTGTGAAATAATTCTATGATATGACAGTATCTCTTACAGTATTGCTTTTCATACCCTTAATGAATAGTGTCAATGTGCTGCTTTGGTTTACATTTATGTGGTTAATATGTGGTAATATTAAAATAGAGCTGAAAACCTGCATGAACAGTCCTACTAGAAGTAAAATATAGAATCAGACCATAGGCAGTAGTAGCCTGCATAGAATAAACCATAGAGCCACAGAGCAGTGCTGCTTCTCTTGTAGATGTGTGTCCCTCAGCAGAGTACTACTTCCTCTAGTATCCTTGTGGTCATGTCAGACTCTTAAAATATACTGGATACCTTGTCCTACAAGTCCTATGAGCTAGCAAATAATTTTCTTTAAGAAGAATCAGCTAATCCATGGTAGTTCACACATTTTACAGTTACTCACTTGTTTTTACCTTAGACAAAATTTAAGATGTTTTGAAGTTCATAGGCATTAAAAGTATAGCATAAAATGTCCAAAAAGCAAAAGTGTTTAATGTATTACTAGAAGGAATTTCTCATATATGAATGGTGATGGAATGTCTCTCTTTTATTTAAACAAATATCATGTGGCATGGTTTATTTTTCATCAGGATGTTTTGGTCGTGAATTGTACAGCAGAATGGGCTGCTGCCAATCATGTTTTAGCAACCTGTAGGACAGCACTGAAACAACAGGGTGTTCTGGGATTAAACATGGCTCCCTGCATGAGAGCATTTCTGGAGCGGCTCCCCGTGATGCTTCAGGAGCAGTATGCCTATGAAAAGGTAACTGATTACACTCGTTCTTGCAGATCTACAGATGACTGGTGCTTTGGAATTGGAATTATAGCTTTGAATTTATCCCTTAAGAGTATGAGGTCTGAGTAAAATAAGTGGGGCTGTTTGGGCAGAATCACATGAAGATAATTCATGTCTAAAACAGTTGTTTAGTAATCCTAAGCCTGCTTTTACTTTATTTTAGTGGGAGTAAAATTTTTAAATAACCCTCAAATTTTTATAGTGTTTCTATTATTCATGTCAGATTATTTATTCATTCCAAAACTTCTTTAAATCCCTGTACCTCAGAGTATATCATCTTCCCTTTTCTGACCCATATATCTATTTTTGTGTGGCTTTGCCATCCCACAGTTGGGAGGGGGAATGGATATGGGCGTCAGAGTGAACATCCTGTCCACTTTATCAGGTGAATCCTTGTGGAAAGTTTAGTAGAAGAGGTAAGGTTGAATTAAGTAAGGTCATTAAATACTAGAATGGGAAATTACGGAATTTGCACTTGTTGCCCAGGCCATGATCCTGTATAGCTTGTCTTTCAGCCCTCAGTAGTCACAGTATGCTGCTCCTAGGCAGAGCTCACCTGGGGTTTTTCCTTTTTCCTTTTTTTTTTTTTGCCATGCTACATTAATCTTATCAGCTGTTAACCACACCCAGTTAATTTCACTGAGGTTTGCCCAGGTTTTCTTTACTGAATCGCTCAGTCTCTCACAGAGTTGCTCTAGTACATCTAGGGAGGGCCAGGGAAGAAGGTTGTCTTTGATGGCTACCAGGGTTCTTTTGGTAAAGGAGGAAATGTGAGAGGGAGCAGGTCTCCATGGTTCAGTTATCTGCCTTTTTTTTTTTAATTCAAGAAAAACTGTAATGAAAAATATGCTAAATGCAGTGTGGTGTCCTGGGTTGAATCTTGGAGCAGAAGAGGAGCATTAGGGACTTCCCTGGTGGTCCAGTGGTTAAGAATTCGCCTTCCAGTGCAGGGGACGCGGGTTCGATCCCTGTTTGGGGAACTAAGATCCCACATGCTGAGGGGCAACCAAGCTGGGCCCTCTAGAGCCCACGCGCTACAACTAAGTCCCAACACAGCCAATAAATAAATAAATATTTTTTAAAAAGAAAATAAAAGAAAAGGAGCATTAGTGGGAAACCCTATAAAGTTCTGTGGTTTAGTTATTATTGTAACCAGTGTTACATTCTTAGCTTTGATTATCGCACCATGGTTATATAAGATGTGAACGTTACAGAAGGTTGTGTGAAGGGTTTATAGGAATTTTCTGTACTATCTCTGCAACTCTCTATGTATCTAAAATTATTTCAAAGTAAAAAGCTTAAAAAAAACAGTAAAGTTAAAATATGACTACAGGCTTTCAGAATGCAGGAGGCTAATTTATATTATTTGGCAGAGGCTCTTCAGCATAATATCCTTGCATTTTCTCTTAGCCTCATGTGGTTTGTGGTGACCAGCTTGTTCACAGCCCCTATATGCAATGTCTGGCTTCCCTTGCTGTGGGACTTCATCTGGATCAGCTGCTGTGTAATCCTCCAGTGCCACCACACCACCAGAACTGCCTCCCTGACCCTGCATCGTGGAATCCAAATGAGTGGGCCTGGTTAGAATGTTTCTCAACCACCATAAAAGCTGCTGAAGCCCTGACCAATGGAGCACAGTTTCCAGAATCTTTTACTGTTCCCGATCTAGAGCCTGTTCCAGAGGATGAACTTGTACTCCTAATGGTAAGTGTAGTATGAGCTACTGTTATATGTAACTGAGATTGTATTATGGGTGTTTAGTAAGTAGCAGACCCTCAATAAGTATTTGCTAGCTTGAATAGAGCAAGAAGCACACCCTTATATAAACTTAAAATATTTTGCGTTCAGATACTCACTTTCAATCTGATGGAAGTCTTCTTTGGTGACAGGGATTGATTATGAGAATTGTGGAGCTCTTATAAATGTGCTGGTTTTCAATGACATAGTCACATTTTCTCATTTTCTTGTCCATAGGTACCTTGTTAGTGTGTGTGCATATGTGTGTGTGTGTGTGTGTGTGTGTGTGTATTATTTTTCCCCTGTTAGAGCTTATCTGTATTTCTTCTATTTACAATAACATTGTAAAAGATACCTTCGTTTCGTTTTGTTTTATTTTTTAAACATCTTTATTGGAGTATAATTGCTTTACAATGTTGTGTTAGTTTCTGCTGTATAACAAAGTAAATCAGCTGTATGTATACATATATCCCCATATCAACTCCCTCTTGCATATCCCTCCCACCCTCATTATCCCATCCCCCAAGGTGGTCACAAAGCACCGAGCTGATTTCCCTGTGCAATGCACCTGCTTCCCACTAGCTATCTATTTTACATTTGGTAGTGTATATATCTCAGTGCTACTCTCTTACTTCGTCCCAGCTTACCCTTCCCGCTCCCCATGTCCTGAAGTCCATTCTCTACGTCTGCATCTATTCCTATCCTGCCCCTAGGTTTGTCAGAACTTTTTTTTTTTTTTTAGATTCCATATATATGTGTTAGCATACGGTATTTGTTTTTCTCTTGCTGACTTATTTCACTCTGTATGACAGACTCTAGGTCTATCCACCTCACTACAAATAACTCAGTTTCGTTTCTTTTTATGACTGAGTAATATTCCATTGTATATATGTGCCACATCTTCTTTATCCATTCATCTGTCAGTGGACACTTAGGTTGCTTCCATGTTCTGGCTATTGTAAATAGAGCTGCAATGAACATTGTGGTACATGACTCCTTTTGGATTATGGTTTTCTCAGGGTATATGTGCAGTAGTGGGATTGCTGGGTCATATGGTAGTTCTATTTTCAGTTTTTTAAGGAACTTCCATATTGTTCTCCGTAGTGGCTGTATCAATTTACATTACCATCAACAGTACAAGAGTGTTCCCTTTTCTCCACACCCTCTCCAGCATTTATTGTATGTAGATTTTTGATGATGGCCATTCTGACCAGTGTGAGGTGGTACCTTATTGTAGTTTTGATTTGCATTTCTCTAATGATTAGTGATGTTGAGCATCCTTTCATGTGTTTGTTGGCAATCTGTATATCTTCTTTGGAGAAATGTCTATTTAGGTCTTCTGCCCATTTTTGGAGAGGGTTGATTGATTTTTTTGATATTGAGTTGCATGAGCTGCTTGTGTATTTTGGGGATTAATCCTTTGTCAGTTGCTTCATTTGCAAATATTTTCTCCCATTCTGAGGTTGTCTTTTGGTCTTGTTTATGGTTTCCTTGGCTGTGCAAAAGCTTTTAAGTTTCATTAGGTCCCATTTGTTTATTTTTATTTCCATTTCTCTAGGAGGTGGGCCAGAAAGGATCTTGCTGTGATTTATGTCATGGAGTGTTCTGCCTGTGTTTTCCTCTTAAGAGTTTTATAGTGTCTGGCCTTACATTTAGGTCTTTAATCCATTTTGGGTTTATTTTTGTGTATGGTGTTAGGGAGTGTTCTAATTTCATTCTTTTACCTGTAGCTATCCAGTTTTCCCAGCACCAGTTATTGAAGAGGCTGTCTTTTCTCTGTTGTATATTCATGCCTCCTTTATCAAAGACAAGGTGACCATATGTGCCTGGGTTTGTCTCTCGGCTTTCTATCCTGTTCCATTGATCTATATTTCTGTTTTTGTGCCAGTACCATACTGTCTTGATTACTGTAGCTTTGTAGTATAGTCTGAAGTCAGGGAGCCTGATTCCTTTAGCTCCCTTTTTCTTTCTCAAGATTGCTATGGCTATTTGGGGTCTTTTGTGTTTCCATACAAATTGTGAAATTTTTTGTTTTAGTTCTGTGAAAAATGCCATTGGTAGTTTGATAGGGATTGCAGTGAATCTGTAGATTGCTTTGGGTAGTAGAGTCATTTTCACAATGTTGATTCTTCCAATCCAAGAACATGGTATATCTCTCCATCTGTTGGTATCATCTTTAATTTCTTTCATCAGTGTCTTGTAGTTTTCTACATACAGGTCTTTTTTTCTCCTTAGGTAGGTTTATTCCTAGGTATTTTATTCTTTTTGTTGCAGTGGTAAAATGGGAGTGTTTCCTTAATTTCTCTTTCAGATTTTTCATCATTGGTGTATAGGAATGCAAGAGATATCTTTGCATTACTTCTGTATCCTGCTACCTTACCAAATTCATTGATTAGCTCTAGTAGTTTTCTGATCACATCTTTAGGATCCTCTGTGTATAGTATCATGTCATCTTCAAACAGTGAGTTTTACTTCTTTTCCAATTTGAATTCCTTTTATTTCTTTTTCTTCTCTGATTGCTGTGGCTAAAACTTCCAAAACTATGTTGAATAAGAGTGGTGAGAGTGGGCAACCTTGTCTTGTTCCTGGTCTTAGAGGAAAGGTTTCAGTTTTTCACCATTGAGAACAATGTTGGCTGTGGGTTTGTCATATATGGCCTTTATTATGTTGAGGTAGGTTCCCTCTGTGCCTACTTTCTGGAGAGTTTTTATCATAAATGGGTGTTGAATTTTGTCGAAAGCTTTTTCAGCATCTGTTGAGATTATCATATGGTTTTTATCCTTCAGTTTGTTAATATGGTGTATCACATTGATTGATTTGCATATATTGAAGAATCCGTGCATTCCTGGATACACCCCACTTGATCATGGTGTATGATTAATGTGCTGTTGGATTCTGTTTTCTAGTAGTTTGTTGAGGATTTTTGCATGTATGTTCATCAGTGATATTGGCCTGTAGTTTTATTTTTTTTGTGGTATCTTTGACTTTTTTTGATATCAGGGTGATGGTGACCTTGTAGAATGAGTTTGGGAGTGTTCCTCCCTCTGCTGTATTTTGGAAGAGTTTGAGAAGGATAGGTGTTAGCTCTTCTCTAAATGTTTGATAGAATTTGCCTGTGAAGCCATCTGGTCCTGGACTTTTGTTTGTTGGAAGATTTTTAATCACAGTTTCAATTTCAGTGCTTGTGATTGGTCTGTTTATATTTTCTGTTTCTTCCTGGTTCAGCCTTGGAAGGTTGTGCTTTTACAGGAATTTGTCCATTTCTTCCAGGTTGTCCATTTTATTGGCATATAGTTGCTTTTAGTAATCTCTCATGGTCCTTTGTATTTTTGCAGAAGTTGTTACTTCTCCTTTTTCATTTCTAATTCTATTGATTTGAGTCTTCTCCCTTTTTTCTTGATGAGTCTGGCTAATGTTTTTTCAATTTTGCTTATCTTCTCAAAGAACCAGCTTTTAGTTTTATTGATCTTTGCTATTGTTTCCTTCATTTCTGATCTGATCTTTATGATTTCTTTCCTTCTGCTAACTTTGGCGGGTTTTTTGTCCTTCTTTCTCTAATTGCTTTAGGTGTAAGGTTAGGGTTTTTTGGGGTTTTTTTGTTTTTAACATCTTTATTGGAGTATAATTGCTTTACAATGGTGTGTTAGTTTCTGCTTCATAACAAAGTGAATCAGCTGTACGTAGGTTAGGTTGTTTATTTGAGATTTTTCTTGTTTCTTGAGGTAGGATTGTAGTGCTATAAATTTCCCCTTAGAACTGCTTTTGCTGCATCCCATAGGTGTTGGGCCATCGTGTCTTCGTTGTCATTTGTCTCTAGGTATTTTTTGATTTCCTCTTCGATTGCTTCAGTGATCTCTTGGTTATTTAGCAGCATATTGTTTAGCCTCCATGTGTTTGTATTTTTTTACAGTTTTTTTCCTGTAATTGCTATCTAGTCTTGTAGTGTTGTGGTTGGAAAAGACATTTGATATGATTTCATTTTTCCTTCAATTTACCAAGGCTTGATTTGTGACCCAAGATATGATCTACCCTGGAGAATGTTCCATGAGCACTTGAGAAGAACAGTATTCTGTTGTTTTTGGATGGAATGCCCTATAAGTATCAATTAAGTCCATCTTGTTGAATGTGTCATTTAAAGCTTGTGTTTCCTTATTTATATTCATTTTGGACGATCTGTCCATTGGTGAAATGGGATGTTAAAGTCCCCTACTACTATTGTGTTACACTCGATTTCCTCTTTTATGTCTGTTACCATTTGCCTTGTGTATTGAGCTGCTCCTATGTTGGGTGCATAAATATTTACAATTGTTATACCTTCTTCTTGGATTGATCCTTTGATCCTTATGTAGTGTCCTTCTTTGTCTCTTCTCATAGTCTTTATTTTAAAGTCTATTTTGTCTGATATGAGAATTGCTACTCCAACTTTCATTTGATTTCCATTTGCATGGAATATCTTTTTCCATCCCCTCCCTTTCAGTCTGTATGTGTCCCTAGGTCTGAAGTGGGTCTCTTGTAGACAGCATATATATGGGTCTTATTTTGTATCCATTCAGTCAGTCTATGTCTTTTGTTTGGAGCATTTAATCCATTTACATTTAAGGTAGTTATCGATATGTATGTTCCTATTACCATTTTCTTAATTGTTTTGGGTTTGTTATTGTAAGTCTTCTCCTTCTCTTGTGTTTCCTGCCTAGTGACATTCCTTTAGCCTTTGCTGTAGAGCTGATTTGGTGGTGCTGAATTCTCTTAGCCTTTGCTTGTCTGTAACGGTTTTAATTTTTCTGTTGAATCTGAATGAGCTCCTTGCTGGGTAGAGGAATCTTGGTTGTAGGTTTTTCCCTTTCATCACTTTAAATATGTCTTGCCACTCCTTTCTGGCTTGCAGAGTTTCTGCTGAAAGATCAGCTGTTAACCTTATGGGGATTCCCTTGTATGTTAATTGTTGGTTTTCCCTTGCGGCTTTTACTATTTTTTCTTTGAATTTCATTTTTGTTGGTTTGATTAATTTGTGTCTTGGCATGTTTCTCCTTGGATTTATCCTGTGTGGGACTCACTGCGCTTCCTGGATTTGATTGACTATTTCCTTTCTCATGTTGGGGAAATTTTCAACTATAATCTGTTCAAATATTTTCTCAGACCCTTTCTTTTTCTCTTCTTCTTTTGGGACCCCTATAATTCAAATGTTGGTGTGTTTAATGTGGTCCCAGAGGTCTCTGAGGCTGTCCTCAATTATTTTCATTCTTTTTTCTTTATTCTGCTCTGCGGTAGTTATTTCCACTCTTTTATCTTCCAGGTCACTTATCCGTTCTTCTGCCTCAGTTATTCTGCTATTGATTCCTTCTATAGAATTTTTAATTTCATTTATTGTGTTGTTCATCATTGTTTGTTTGCTGTTTAGGTCTTCTAGGCTTCCTTGTTAAATGTTTCTTGCATTTTGTCTATTCTATTTCCAAGATTTTGGATCATCTTTACTATCATTACTCTGAATTCTTTTTCTGGTAGACTGCCTATTTCCTCCTCATTTGTTAGGTCTGGTGGGTTTTTACCTTGCTCTTTCATCTGCTGCATTTTTCTCTGTCTTCTCTTTTTGTGTAACTTACTGTGTTTGGAGTCTCCTTTTTGCAGACTGCAGGGTCGTATTTCCCGTTGTTTTTGGTGTCTGCCCCCAGTGGGTGAGGTTGGTTCAGTGGCTTGTGTAGGCTTCCTGGTGGATGGACCTGGTGCCTGTGTTCTGGTGGGTGGGGCTGGATCTTGTCTTTCTGTTGGGCAGGGCCACGTCCAGTAGTGTGTTTTGGTGTGTCTGTGAACTCAGTATGATTTTAGGCAGTGTCTCTGCTAATGGGTGGGCTTGTGTTCCTGTCTTGCTAGTTGTTTGGCATGGGGAGTCCAGCACTGGAACTTCCTGGCTGTTAGGTGGAGCTGGGTCTTAGCGTTGAGCTGGAGATCTCTGGGAGAGCTCTCACTGATTGATATTACACAGGGCCAGGAGGTCTCTGGTGGTCCAGTGTCCTGAACTCAGCTTTCCCACCAGAGAGACTCAGGCCTGACACCAGGCTGGAGCACTAAGACCCTGTCAGCCACACGGATCAAAAGCAAAGGGAGAAAAAGAAAAAATAATAGTAATACTAATTTTTTTTAATTATTAAAATAAAAATAATTAAAAAAAGAAGAGAGCAACCAAACCAATAAACAAATCCACCAATGATAACAAGCACTGAAAACTGTACTAAGATAAACATAAAAATCAGAATCCAGTCTGTCGCAGACAGCAAACCCCAAGTCTACAGTTGCTCCCAAAGTGCACCACCTAAATTTTGGGATGATTCGTTGTCTATTCAGGTATTCTCCAGATGCAGGGTACATCAAGTTGATTGTGGAGATTTAATCCGCTGCTCCTGAGGCTGCCAGGAGAAATTTCCCTTTCTCCTCTTTGTTCGCACAGCTCCTGGGGTTCAGTTTTGGTTTTGGCCCCGCCTCTGCATGTAGGTTGCCTGAGGGCATCTGTTCCCACCCAGACAGGAGGGGCTTAAAGCAGCAGCTGATTAGCCCGCTCTTCCTCATGCAGGCTGGGGGGAGGGAGGGGTACAGTAGTTATAATTGGAATGTGGGGCGAGCCTGCAGCAGCAGAGGCCAGCATAATATTGCAACAGCCTGAGGTATGCCATGTGTTCTCCCAGAGAAGTTGTCCCTGGATCACAGGACCCTGGCAGTGGCGGGCTGCCCAGGTTCCCGGCATGGGAGGTGTGACCTGTGCTTGCACACAGGTTTCTTTGTGGCTGCAGCAGCAGCGTTAGCATTTCATGCCCGTCTCAGGTCCGAGCTGATAGCCACGGCTCGCACCCATCTCTGGAGCTCATTTAGGTGGTGCTTCTGTGGGCAGACAGGGAAGGAATCCCCTCTCCTCGCACACCCCGAAACAATGGTCTCTTGCCTCTTCAGCAGCTGCAGACTTTTTCCCGGACTCCCTCCCGGGTAGCTGTGGCACACTAGCCCCCTTCAAGCTGTGTTCACGCAGCCAACCCCAGTCCTCTCCCTGGGTTCTGACCTCCGAAGCCTGAAGCCCGAGCCTCAGCTCCCAGTCCCCGCCCGCCCCAGCGGGTGAACAGAGAAGCCTCTCGGGCTGGTGAGTGCTGGTCAGCACCGATCCTCTGTGCGGGAATCTCTCCGCTTTGACCTCTGCACCCCTGTTGCTGCGCTGTCCTCCGTGACTCTGAAGTTTCCCCCTTGCCCACACCCCTGCCCCGTCTCCGCTAGTGAAGGGGCTTCCTAGTGTGTGGAAACTTTTCCTCCTTCACAGCTCCCCAAGCTGCAGGTTCCATCCCTATTTTTCTGTCTCTGTTTTTTCTTTTGCCCTACCCAGGTATGTGGGGAGTTTCTTGCCTTTTGGGAAGTTTGAGGTCTTCTGCCAGCATTCAGTAGGTGTTCTGTAGGAGTTGTTCCACATGTAGATGTATTTTTGATGTATTTGTGGGGAGGAAGGTGATCTCCACATCTTACTCCTCTGCCATCTTGAAGGTCCCCCAGTATATATATATTTATAAATATTTTTTAGCATCTTTTCCTGGTCATCTTTTTAGATTTATTCCAATTATAGATTCTAATTTATTTGGCACTTCAATAATGTTTAAGAGAACATTTTAGTTGTCATTTCTTTCTGATTGTATTTGAAAGCGTCTAGATACAGAAACTGTGATGGAGATAAAATGCCGGGGTAGATAGTGCAGGCCAGCACTTGATCTAACAACCCCTTTACCTAGTTAAGATTTATATAAACAAACATTTGAATATATAAATAAAGATACAGTATAAAAGAGACATGTGAATTGAAGGAAATTATCTAAATATAGAATATTTTAATTAGGAAGTATCCTTCTGAGCCCATTTGCCTCAAATATGTCATTTGTAGATGAGGAAGCTGCAGCCTAGAAAGGTGACCTGCCCACAGCCATACAACGAGATCACGGGGGTGGTGGCTCCTGCAGATGACCTTGTACCTATGGGTGCTCAGAAATGGTTAGCTTTGAATCTCCAATGTGTTCGTGATAGTTGATAATGCACGTGTTTATAGTAAAGGGAATATTAAAAATCAAGTGTGGCATGATTGTGAAACTGCTCTTAAATTCTCATAATATTACCAAATTCTTTAAGACTCAGTTGTTAAGAACAGATAAATCATTCGCAAAAAGATTTTCTCAAAACGTGGCCTGGGAGAAGGGAGGGCTGCATTCTGGTCTTCATGCTGCTTGTAACTGACCATGTGATCTTGGGCTTCTCCTTTCCTATTTAAAAATAAGTGATCATTTTTAAGGCCTCCTAAAAAAAAAACCCAAAAAACATAAATATTGATTAAGCAAAATTGACCCTGGTGTTTGCTGTCTTTCAGGATAACAGTAAATGGATTAATGGCATGGATGAACAAATTATGTCTTGGGCAACTTCCAGACCTGAGGTCAGTAAAGATAAAGATAACTGTATGGTGGTTCTTAGTAAATCTTCTGGTTGCAAATGCTTGTGTGTTCGTGTCCTGGTGTCCCCCATAGAGGCTGGTACACACTTAGTACCTAGTACATGCTTGTTTGAATGAATTAATGAATCAAATTTTGACTTGATTGTGGTTTTCTAGGACTGGCACCTGGGAGGTAAATGTGATGTCTACCTGTGGGGTGCTGGCAGGCATGGACAGCTGGCAGAAGCTGGAAGAAATGTAATGGTACCTGCAGCAGCTCCCTCATTCTCACAGGCCCAACAGGTAACTAACAGGGTAAAGAAATGTAGAAGAAACTTGGGAACTGACAATTCTGATTCCCTTGCTGGCAGTAACTTACTGTAGGATAAAGTTTGTCCATTGCATAGTCTATTGTGAGGAATCACCAAAGAAAGTCATGATATATAGCTTGTATATAGCTTCTAAATAAAAGTTTTTTAGAGTTTTTATCAGACTTAGGTTTTGTTAATAAGTTTCTAAATTTTTCTTGTTTTCACGTATCATGAATTAACATCATGATGCATTATGCCTGCCCAGCATATATTTATAGAAGTTAAGATATTGGTAATTATTAATTCTCTCTTTGGGTGCCATAAACTTACTGGGATCTTTAACCAGATTTCATTGACACTCCTCCCCTCGTCTAATAATTACTATATTTCTAAACCCTTCTTGAGGCCACTGCTTTCTCTTCCATTCTTCTCTACCTCGGTAAGCCCCAGGATACACTATTCTTTCATGTGTATATCCCCTGCAATTTCTGCTTCTTGTGGCCTCCAGCCAGTCTTTACTATTTTCCCATCAGCCTCTCCTCTTACTTCTTTTATCTATTTTGTTGTTAATGTTATTATTTAAACTCTGCACAGTTGGCTGAAAGCCCTGTAGATAACATGTTTCTAAAGTATCTTAAATCATCAGATGAGCCTCATACATCTCTTGGTTAAGTAAGAGGTTTTATAATAATCAAGGGCTTATAGGAACCCCGTTGTTATGTCAACCCTTCCCCTTTAATGAAAGGATAAAAGAACCGATAAAGGTATCCTAAATATACATGGAATCATTTTAAATGTTTGCATGATAAAGCTATATAATAAAAGATAATATATTTAATTATGTGTTTTTATACTAGGTTATATGTGGTCAGAATTGTACCTTTGTCATACAGGCCAATGGCACAGTGTTGGCTTGTGGGGAAGGAAGTTATGGCAGATTAGGACAAGGAAATTCAGATGACCTTCATGTGCTGACAGTTATTTCAGCCTTACAAGGTAAAATTATCCTCAGTTAAAAGCTGATCGGAAACTATGGCCTATCTGTAGGAATGTTTGCTTATTATGTTAGAACTCATCTCAAACCTTTGCTAGATAAAGTCATGTAGGGTTTTCACTTATATTTAGATTCTCATTTAGGGATGTACAACCTTAATTTTCCATATTTTGAGCTGTATTATTTTGCAAGTTACTTATCATAGCCATGCTAGAATTGCTGTGTTAATACACACTGAAGATTGTAAACAAATTCTTTAAAATTGCAAAACTGTAATTAGGCAACTATTAATAGCAGTAGTAATCATGCATGTACTTCATTAACGTTAAAAATCAATTTATACGGAAATGTGCCTATGTACTAAAGACTTTAAAGGGCATCCCCATCAGAGTGCTCTGTGACTTGGAGAAAGAAAACCTCTGGAAAAACCACTGCACGGACCCCCGGCTTGTTCCTAAAGTTAACTTTTACTGACTCTGAAGCCTACAAAGAGAGCAAATTGAGTTTTTTAAGTAAAAGCATACACGTAACATGAGTTCAGAACAAATTCTTGAGTAGCTCTAAGTTCTCTTCCTTCAGATCTTTGTGTGAAGTGCACAACACTAGGGATGGGAGGGCTTGGTTCCTGTTCGGTTCTGTTAGATCCTGCCTCGGGTACTTTGCACAAGCTACTAAACCTCTTTGTGACTCAGTTTCCCCAGTTGTAAAAGTGGTGATGATAATATCTGCCTCATAGGATCTGTGTGAAAATAGAAAATGAGCGATCCATGTAAAGCATTTATAGGAGTGGCTAGAACATAATCTTTAGTGACTATAACTGCTCCTATCACCTTTCTCCTCTTCCTTGTCATCATCATTTTATGTGACTGCTCCCAATTTTCTAGGTTATGGCTGCAAATCTGATTTAAAATTAAAGACATTGTTTATATTTCTGAAGTACTGTTGTGGTATTTTTTGATTCTGTGAGATTACTCTGTAGCAGCTTCAAGTAAAGAGGGGACTTTTAACATTCAGCAACTCTTGTTGGGTTTCTGCTCTGTTCCAGGCTTTGTGGTGACCCAGCTGGTGACTTCCTGTGGTTCTGATGGACACTCAATGGCCCTGACTGAAAGTGGTGAGGTCTTTAGCTGGGGAGATGGTGATTATGGCAAACTCGGCCATGGGAACAGCGACAGGCAGCGGCGGCCCAGGCAGATTGAGGCCTTACAGGGAGAAGAAGTGGTGCAGGTCGGACAGAATATGGATAAGTTTATCTTTTTTTTTTTTTTAATGTTTATTTATTTATTTATTTGGCTGCGCTGGGTCTTAGTTGTGGCATGCGGGACATAGTTGCGCCTGGATAGGTTTATCTTTGAATGTAAACATACTAGGTGTTGAGTTCTCAAGTTTAGGTAATGAAAAACAGTAGTAAAAATTTATTACCCCATCATAAAAGATCCAGTGTTTTTGGTGGTTCAGAGTCATTCTTGAGTGTCTCAGGAGTTTGAATGGGCTTTGGTGTTAGAATGGACTCCTTTTTCCTGAGCCAGCTGGTTGACCCAGGCCAGGGTGCTTCAGGTCCTTGGAAGAAGTGGGGTTTAACTCCTGCCCCACAGTTCTTGATATAGTGTTAAATGGAAAGCTTTGCTTTCAACCTATCATTATCGTTACAAAGGTTGAGTTCATATACATTTTCTGGAAAATCAATTTGTGATCTAAAATAATATTGTAAAGTTACATAGCACCTTACAGTTTACAAAGAATTTCCCTATTCATTAACTCATATAGTCTAGGTCATCCCTGCGTAGCTGAAGAGTAGCAACACTGCCAAGGTATGCTGTTTAGCTTGGTCTTCCTGAGGATTTTGAGGTAGATCAGACTTGGGGGAGCAGGAGGGCCACTTGGGTGGATAGGACATACTGGTCTTGAAGATCCTGAGTTTTCAGTGAAGTTTACTTAAAGATTATTACTGTATTAATAACCAAAAAGGACTGATTTCTTTCTTAGTATGCCCTCTTGTTAAAATTTTTGTTCTTGTTTGTTCTATTCGTAGATGTCTTGTGGCTTCAAACATTCAGCAGTGGTAACATCAGATGGCAAACTGTTTACCTTTGGGAATGGTGACTACGGTCGTCTGGGTCTTGGAAACACTTCGAACAAAAAGCTTCCAGAGAGAGTAACTGCACTGGAGGGGTATCAGATTGGACAGGCATGGAATAAATCAATAATACGTTCTATATGATCATAGTTTCTTGTTTCCCCTATGTGCACTTAGACATTGTCCTTTCAGGAAAACTAGAATCACCACTCGTACTTAACCTGATGTACATTTTGTTTGGCCTAATTGATAAACAAATGGAAGTCTTAATTCAGGATGTGAATATTTTTAAATCCTCTTCATAATACCACTTGATATGAAAGCTTTAAGCAACATAGTAACTCCTCTTCAGTATCCTGGAAGTAGATGGCTGAACTGCAGCGTCATTGGTAGCTGCTGCTCTTAAGTAATAATTGTTCCTGACCTGTACATTTTGAGACTCTCTCTTAACAAGAAGATGAGATAAAATATTTTTATCTTTTACTATTTTTATCTTTTATCATTCCTTAGACTGTCTCTGGTGTGAATGAGTATTTTTTAATCATATGTACTTTTTCCTATCTTTTGTGCTCTCTGATTCAGAGTTAGCCACAGATATTTGAAGGATTTTACTTTGAAAAAGGTTGTTTTTTGTTTGTGGACATTAGGAATTTTTTTCTTCATGACACATTTTGGTTAACACATGTAAGGCCCTGAAACCAATAAAAATTCTTGGAAACACAGCCAGGTTTTTCACTGAAGTCAAGACAGAGTGTCCCAGAAATGGGTGTTTTAGGTATTGTGATTTGCCTTACCACCCTGTTATTTCTCCAGGTGGCTTGTGGCTTAAACCATACTTTGGCAGTGTCAGCAGATGGCTCCATGGTGTGGGCTTTTGGAGATGGGGACTATGGAAAACTAGGCTTAGGAAATTCCACTGCAAAATCTTCACCTCAGGTCAGTATTGGCTTTAATCTAGAGATTCAGACAACATGGTTTTCTTCTATGTCAGTACCTCTTCTTAGCTGGAAGTAATTTACCTTTAACATTTTTGGTAATTCATAATGAAATTTAGAAGCTTCTTTTGCTTATTCTTAAATTTCCAGCATTCCAGATCTTATTTTAATTAAGTAATTTAAAATAATTAAAATAAGTAATTAATAAGCATTAATTACTAAACTGGATATAAAAATGCTGCAAGGACAAGCATCTGTCTTTGTCATGAGCTGAGTAGTGTAGGACTACCTCCCATGTAGAGAAGAAATAAGTATAAACATATCTCTGGGGTGTCTTATGGAGGGAACCATGAACAATGTTTTGTAACTCTCTGCTTGTGACTGCCATTTCAGCATATTATTACCACTGAATTATACAGGTATGTGCATTTAAAAAGTAATAGGAAATCCAAGTCCATAAACAAATGATTTAGAGGCCTTATTCACATTATAGAAGGTTTCTTGGCTCTTCAGAAGACCTCCTGTGCAATCCTTTTTATGTGGATTTTTCTAACACGTTTAACAAGCAGCATGATTTACAAGTATTCAATTTATATTCAACTCCAGATTCACTATCGTATATAGTCTGTGACATCTTGATAGCTAGACTGGTGAATATTCAGCTAGGGATACAAAAAGGAAGGAAATCCTCTCTGGAGAACATATAAAGCAGTTATTGTCACCTCTGAAAGCAGAAAAAATCTAACTGGGAGCAGCCCACGGCTTTACATGGTCTTATGATGTTCTTTAAACAGCCATAGAATTCTCTTTGGTTTCTATTGCCCAGAGGAATGTTTCCACTTCACATGGGGTCCTGGGGATTTTAGTTAAACGTCCCCTACCCCCTATAATATTCGCCCAAATTCAGGTAGTTTGCAGAGCAGTATGAGAAAATAACATTTAGGAGTGTGGATATGGCTGAAAACAAGTAAGTGACTATTAGTATTTTTATTGGAAGATAATCCTTGAGTTTATACATGCCAGTAGGCAAATTTGAGTGTTTTATATTTTCCTTTTTAAATTATGTGCCTTACGCTTTTATTTTGCAGAAAGTTGATGTCCTTTGTGGAATTGGAATAAAAAAGGTTGCGTGTGGAACTCAGTTTTCTGTTGCATTGACCAAAGATGGTCATGTGTATACCTTTGGTCAAGGTAGGGCATTTTCCAGGCATTAATTATATTGCTTATTTTGTGCACACATGTATTACAGAAACATTTGCCTTCCAGCTGTATAGAAAGTGCTTAAACTGAGTCATTTTTCATTCTGGGTGATGATTGGCCACACAACCTTCATTCACTAGCTACTTTTCTGCTCCACTTTCATGCTATTTGTTGTAAGGACAAACTCTTCTCCCCATTGATGGCCCCTCGTGCCAGAGCCTTCATTCTTGCCAGAAGAGTTCCTGGCAAAGCCCTTCCCTTCCTCCTCTCTGCTGCCTCTGCCATGCTACCACAAACACTGCCTTGACCACCAGAGCTCCTCGGGATCCTGCCTCACTTCCCAGCCCTTGCAGGGACTGGGGATCCAGGTCTTAGGAATTCACAGGCATTTGGGATTCAGATCTTGAGTAAGTTCAAAATCTACGCATCCACAGTGGGATTGCCTGGCAATATATTCAGCTTTGTAAACGGAACTTCTTTTCAAGTTGTAGTGACCGAAGAATGTGTGAGGAAGAGGGGGGAAGAAGTGAGCTGTGATTGAAGTTTCTAGTCTTGGAAGAACGTGGACGCTGCTGAGGCCGGGGAAGTTGGTTCTGGTGAAAGAGATAAGGAGCTTAGTTTTAGTCATATTGAACTGGGGCCATATACTCTAGACTACATGTATGGAGAAGTCTAGCAAGTTACGGGGGATTTGGATCTGGAACTCCAGGGAGATTGTTTATGGAGATGTAGGTTTGCATAATTCCTAATGGTGTAGTTAAAGCCATATTAATAAGCTCTAAGAAACCCAGGGAGAGAATATGGCATGAAAAAAGTGGAGGGTAAAACTCTAGGGAATGTGAGTAAAGGGCAGGTGAACATGGGAGAACTGGCTTTGAAGGGAGTGGAGAGAGAGGTAGTTGGGGAGCCAGGACAGTGCAGAGTCTCTGAGGGGCAGAAGGAGCTGAGGCCACATTATCAGAAGGTAAAGTGGAGCTCCATGGGCTAGAGCTGGAGAAGAGGCTGCTGCAGTGTAGGCAGTTAGGAGCTATTCATGGCTTTTGAGAGTACAGTTTCAGTGCAGTGGTGAGAATGCAAGTTAGGCTGCAGAAGGTGGCCAAGCCAAACAGGCCTACAGCATGTGAAGCACCAGGGACTGGCCTGCACTTCGTAGAAGTTTGGCAGCAAAGAGAAGGGGAGAGGTTGGCTGGAAATTTGAGGACAGGACAGGTTGCATGATGTCTTTTCTTAGAATGCAAGAACTTTAGGGCCTCTGTGAATTACGTGCCAGTCCTCTCAAGTATGAGGATGCTAGAGGTGCCTCTTGGTTTGAAATAAGCTACAAATTTTAAATTAAATTTTATTTATTTTTATGAAAAAGGAGATCGTGACATTTTGCAAAGAAACAGTTTTAAACTTTATTCGCTCAGAATCCGGTATACCTTACTGGCAAAGCAGCTTTTGCCCCAGTGAGTTATGTATGTCATTGCCGTACCACCATAGACATTAAATGACTCATCAGGAAATGTAAAAGGACTGTGGTGTGCCGTCCATAAATGTCCTCTTGCTATTTTTTCAGATCGCTTGATAGGCTTGCCAGAAGGGCGTGCTCGCAATCACAATCGACCGCAGCAAATCCCTGTCCTGGCTGGAGTGGTCATCGAAGATGTGGCCGTTGGAGCTGAACACACACTTGCTTTGGCATCAACTGGAGATGTGTATGCCTGGGGGAGCAATTCAGAGGGGCAGGTACATATTTATCTCGCTTGCTGCTCTGTCATGTTCTAGAAATCTGACAGCATTCTTCATTTGGCAAAGGGATAAGCTAGAAACTCGGCATATCTACACAAGACCTCAAGCACATCACTTTGCTGTGGGGCTGATGATCTGGAGTCCAGTTGTGCCTCTCTGTCTCTTGATGATGGTCTAGTAAGTGTTATATCATGGTTTAAAAAAAATCTGGCAGTACAGTAAAGTGGTTAAGGGGATTCGCTGAATATATATGTGTCTACACACACTGAGAAGTGCCTAGCACATAGTAAACAGCACTTTATAAGTATTCAGTATTTGCTACTATCACGATTAATCATCATTTTCACTACAGTAATAAAAGAAGTTAGGTACTAGGAGTATCAGTTGATCTGGAAAATGGAAAGGATGAAACAATACTTCTATATTTTATAATATGACAGTATACAAAGTATGTTTGTGTATGTTCAGGAAGTCTTGTCACTCCCATTACATAGAGTAGTAAACTGAGCCTGTAAGAGGTTGAGAAAAGACTGAAGAGGTTGATGTGTTCAGCCTATCCTGTATGTGGAGAAGGGACACACTTTGGTGGGGCAAGTCTGAGATACCTGCTACTACAGTGGCTTTCAGCTCCACATGCGAACGACATCTCCTTCCTCTGTAAATCCTCTCTACGTCTAGCTGCCCCTAGAGCCAACGACCCTCAAGTTCAAGGTCCAGTGTTATTCACAGTAGCTCTGTGGTGTCCTCATCACTATATTAACAGATGGGGAAGCTGCTCAACAGTGTGGTTGCACATTATCTTAATGAGAAGAGAGTTGATGTTGAGACACCTTTGGAAGGTCCCTGGCAGGGCCTTGACGTGATCCTGCCTGATGATGTTGAGGTGCTCAGCCACTGAAACACTGGGTGTCCTAGTCGGACCCCAAGAACAGAGATCCGGAGTTGAGAATCTGCTTCTATGTATGTTTTTATAATTGTTTATTTACTGTTACACAGGCAGTCCATGTTAAAAGTCAAGAAATCAGTGTGTTCTAAGTAAAAGCTCTATAGATCATTCTGTTTTGTTTTTTTTTAACTTGCCAAGAATTTATTTCCTCTCTAGAAGTAGAGTTCAAAGATGTTTTCAGTCATTAAGACTCGTCTGCTAGATTTGGAATGGCCTTGTTACAGCTTAGTTTTTAGGAGACAGTATAAGCTATGAGGATCACTCTGATAGAGAAAATCAGAATTAATTTCATTATTTTGATGCCATTGCTTGGTACAGATAGTAACTTATTTATATCTGCTACCATCCAAGACAAAAATTATCATCTTGACTTCCTCTCTTCCTCTTTCTAATTGAATCTCTGTGTATTTGCAATTTATTTCCAGCTTGGCTTAGGCCACACCAACCACGTTCGAGAACCAACCCTGGTAACAGTTCTGCAAGGGAAAAACGTTCGGCAGATCTCGGCCGGTCGCTGCCACAGTGCTGCGTGGACAGCGCCACCTGTCCCGCCAAGAGCACCAGGTGAGGGATGAAATATCCATGCTCCTGCAGCCTCTCTTTCAGCAGTCCCCAGCTGCACTGTTTGCTTGCCAGCTTCACACTGCATCCAGGCACCATTCTGAAACCATCAAACCTTCCCCCACACAACCAAAGCACTCTTTGTACTACAGTACTGCAAATACTTTCAGAGCAGGCGATTCTCCTGCAGACTTCATTACATAGCAGTCCCTCTCTGCTCCCCAAAAGAAGAAAATGTATCACTTAGGCAAGCAAAATTTATAATTTTGGAATAGCAATAAAGTATTTTTTATATATAGTAGTGATGAACTGTAGCTTTCTAAGCCATGCTGTTAAGGAATAAAGGTGAAAAGCCCGGAGACCACTTGTCAACTTCTTCACCCTAGTCAGCCATTTGAAACATGATGTTGTCTATACATTGGCACAGCAGAAAAACAAAAAAAAATTGTTGCCATTTTACTCCAGTGTATATAGCAGGACTGATGGGCTGTTTCTACCTTTTGTGTGTTTTGCTTTTAATTTATTATGAAATCCTCATAGGTCTACAAAAAGATATAAAGGAAATAAAATGCGTATTTGTGTACCTAACACCCTACTGTGTACTCTCCCTGATCGGATCCATCTTTTGTTCCCCACAAATGTAACCATTGCCTTAAGTATGATACTTACCCTTATGCATTTCTTCATATTTGGTCTATTTCTTTCCTAGGCCCTCAAGTCCTTTCTAAAACCATCCTCTGGTATCTGAGGCACTAGAACTTCCCTGAAGTGACCTTGTGCCTGAGAGCTCCGTATTCTCATCCCTTTTTGTGAAGCCCTCTACTTTTAGCCACAGGTCCTTGGGAAAGACTCCCCATAGAGATTGTTTTCTCTTACATACCCTGAGAGAGCAAGGTAGGACTGCCAAGTAGATTCCAAACAAGCAAGAGATGGTTTCTGGTTAACAGAGCCCAGAATGAGCAGTGCTGCCGGCCCACTGACAATTTCAGGTACTCAGGGGCCTCTTTAGCTTCCAGTGGGATTTCCCTTCCACTTCAGGACAGAGACCATACAGCACGGTGGCTGAAGGTTCAGACTCAGGAACCACATTGCTCAGGTTCAATCCTGGCTCCTCCACTTAGGAGCTGAGTGACCCTGAGGCTCAGTTTCCTTGTCTGCAAAGCAAGGGTAGTAATAGCACCTATTGTAAAGAACTGTAGGAGTAAATGAATCAATTCATGTGAAGCTCTTAGAACAGTGCCAGGCACGTAAAAGTACTCAATAAATGTTAGCTTTAACTAATGGTAGGAAAATACCTCTGAGAATTGAGCTGTACAAATCTTTATTTGCAGGAAACTCAAATAAGCTGAGTATCTTATTCTTAGTCTTTTGTGTGTTTCTATAAGATGATAACCATGGATACAGTCCTTGTCGTTTCTGCTCTGCAGAGCTCTTATCCTTACAGTATAAAGCCTTCCTGAATCATCTACTCCTATCTTTCATTCTGTCATGGTCACTTTCTGTCAGATCCCTAGTAAGTGTGGGAGGTGGCTCTGCTGAGTTGCCCATTTCCATTTTCAGAACTGCCTACCTGGTCCTGGCCCACACCTTGTGTTATTATGAAGATGACAGTTGTTGAATATGAAAGAATGAATTTGGGTTTTATTGTTTGCAGTTTTTTTGTGCAGGAACTGTTTTAAGTCCCATAGTTAAATGGGTAACTAAATTAAAGGAGAAAAAAAAAAAAGCAAGTTTCCATAATGATAAATTAAAAAGATGTTTTACAAACCAACACTGGTGCATCAAAAGATTAAGATGAATGGATGGTGAATAGAGGAATTGATAAATAAGTGATAAAGCATATATAGCAAAATATTAATTTTAGTATTTAAGTGGTGGGAATGGGTGTTCATTATATACTTGCAACTTCCATGTGTGTTTGAAATTTTTCAAAACACTAAACATGATGAAAACAATGCATTTTCCTTTACAAGTGTGCATTTGTGTTCTGGGCAGGTGTGTCAGTGCCTCTGCAGCTGGGCCTGCCCGATGCAGTGCCCCCCCAGTATGGGGCGCTGAGGGAGGTGAGCATTCACACCGCGAGGGCCAGGCTCCGGCTGCTTTACCACTTCTCTGACCTCATGTACTCATCCTGGAGGCTGCTGAACCTCAGCCCCAACAATCAGGTAAAACGGTGGCTTGGAAAGCAGTGCCTGTGATGTGCTTACCGGGTCCCAGGGCCTCTTTCTCAGCCTTCAGAAAATTCTTGCGTAGCTAATGCTTTTTACTCTCAGCCCCCAAGAGATGTAGAAAAGGCACCAGTTCTGTTCCCCTTTTATTGCTGGATTAAGGACAGTCCAGATATAGGTTATCAAGCTGTTGAACACACAGTGGTCTTCCTTCTGTGTTTCGGTTTGTCCAAAGTTCAAGGAAGTATGAATGGCTAAAGGCTAAGCATGTATTTTCTACGAACTCCAGAATATGATTTTAAAACTTAAGCACACAAAGGTGTTAGCACCACAGTCAAGGTGCTTATGTAAGTGAGTCTGAGAAATTTTGGAGACTTCTTGCTCTCCTTACAGATGAGCTTACAAATGAGCATACCCTGTGGAGGGATAGGTGGGGGAGAGAAAGTAAATTTGGCTGATTTGCTTGTCTTTGTAGAACAGTCTGATAATTTAGGAAGAAAGCAAGCTGGCTATGTTTGTTTGTTTGTTTAATGTGTAGGCATGCCTGCCAAAATGTGTGTTAGTTTGTAAAACTGTTAGTCAAAAATCCTTTGGGTAACCAGTCATGGCATATGAGAGGTTTGAGAAATCATTGTTAGAAATAGATAATCAACCAGGCAACAGAGTACTGTGCAGCACTAAACAAGAGTGTTAGCAACCTGTTGTAATTAGTGAGAGAAATGTTTATGGTGTAAAGTGAGGTGAGAAAAGCAGTGGAAAATTGAACAAATAGTATGATCTCGAAAATGTGAAAAGGAAGGAAACTGGAAGGAAATAGATGAAAGCGTTAATGGGGCCATCTCCATATGATAGGATTATGGATGATTTTATTTGTGTGCTTGTGTGTGTGTCCTTTTCTGTATCTTCTAAGTTTTTAAAAATAATAATCATACTTTACCAGAAAAAATATTTTGAAAAAGTTGCTAATAATGGCTAATACCCAGATTTATGCTTTTGAAGTGCATTTGTAAAAGTGAGATGTGTTATTTCTTTTAAGCCTTAGATTGTACCATTTCTGCTAAGCTTACTTTCTGTTACAGAATAGTACGTCTCATTATAATGCTGGAACATGGGGCATTGTGCAGGGACAGCTCCGACCTTTGTTAGCCCCAAGAGTCTACACCCTCCCAATGGTGCGCTCTATAGGAAAAACCATGGTTCAAGGCAAAAACTATGGACCTCAAATTACTGTAAAGAGGATATCAACCAGGTTAGCATATTATGTATATGTGTATATGTTTCATTAACTAGCATTTTGTGAGGTGGACTTACTACTAACTGATCTCTGTGAGGAAGCCTTAGCTTCCTCATTTGTAAAGTAGGATAGTAATAGTATTTTACATCAGTACCCAGTGTGGTTACAGTGGGCCCAGCACAGTGTTTGGCTGTTGTTAAGCTGGCCTGTTCATTCACTGGTGGGAAAATACCTTCAAGTGACTTTTGTGGTGATTTGAGAGCATTGTATTTCATTATGTTTTCCCTTTATGTTAAAGAGGAAGGAAGTGTAAGCCCATCTTTGTTCAAATAGCAAGACAAGTAGTTAAACTGAATGCATCAGACCTCCGTCTGCCATCCCGAGCCTGGAAAGTTAAGCTGGTTGGAGAAGGGGCTGATGATGCTGGAGGAGTGTTCGATGACACGATCACAGAGATGTGCCAGGTATATTCATGCAGTGTCCCCTGCTGAGTTGTCCACTCAGGTGGTGGCTGTTTTACTGTTTCCAGTGATTACTCTGGCATGTTTTTATAAATGCAAGCAAGGATGCATTTGTAATCCTTACGTAAAGTTATGCTGTTAATGATGTGTAGGCGAATTACCGCAAAGGTTTGTGAAATGCTTTGTGAAGATACCTTACTGAGTAAGTGCCAGCGCTTCGCCATCTACCAATGACTCACCATCTGTTGTGCTGTGTAACACTGGCAGAGGAAACAATGACACATATTTACACTTATGTAACAGACAAATCCAGGACCACCCATGTGCTCTCATTTATTTTGGTGCTATTAGAACAAAGTAGAACTGCCAGGCTACTGGCAGAAATTAGAAAAACAAGTCTTAAGATTTTGAACCAGGGCTTCCCTGGTGGCGCACTGGTTAAGAATCTGCCTGCCAATGCAGGGGACGTGGGTTCGAGCCCTGGTCTGGGAAGATCCCACATGCCACGGAGCAACTAAGCCCGTGCACCACAACTACTCAGCCTGCACTCTAGGGCCCGCGAGCCACAACTACTGAGCCCACGTGCCGCAGCTGCTGAAGCCTGTGTTCTCTAGGGCCTGCGTGCCGCAACTACTGAGCCCACGTGCTGCAACTACTGAAGCCTGCACACCTAGAGCCCGTGCTCCGCAACAAGAGAAGCCACACAATAAGAAGCCCGTGCACAGCAACGAAGGCCCATGGCGGCCAAAAATTAATTAATTAATTAAAAAGAGTTTGAACCAGTTCATATTTTAAGATCTACGGTGGCAGCTTTGCTTCCAGATCAGCTCTGACCCTTCCAGCTTTGCCTAGTATCAGGATTTTTCTGATAAATCCTGTAACTAAAATAATACTTGGCTATCATTTACTAAGTTTATTTGAATATCACTGTACTCTGCTCACAGATACCCCAACTCGTGCCCTGGATTGACTTTTTCATCTTAGTTCTGCACATGGGGGAGTCTCCTAAATTCATTTTAAATTACAACCACAAAAATAATTATAGAGATGGCTGGTTGTCATATAGCATTGTAAATTCCTCAATATTCTCTTTTCAGTATGATTTTTAATGTTAATTGTTTCGTTTTCTTGATGCATTTGATTGTCATTTCTAAGAAACTGTTTTTCTTTCTTCTACAGGAACTTGAAACTGGTATTGTTGACCTTCTTATACCCTCTCCCAATGCTACCGCAGAAGTGGGTTACAATAGAGACAGGTAAGGGCAGTCAGCAAGTGTTATTGAATGTCTATAATAATAACTCAAATTTATTGAGTGCTTACTATATGCCAGGCACTGTACTAAGTGTTTTACATGAATTATCCCATTGAATCCTCATGATAGATCTGAGGAGTAGGAACTGCTACTGTTCTCTTTTCACACATAGGAAAGACACTTAGATCATGACTTGTTATTATGAGATCAACTCAATGATAATATAGAGGGTTAGAGGAAGTGCAGACTTGATATTGAAACCAGACTTCTTTTGTGTTTCTGAAGGCCTACATGGCCTTCCCTCAACGAATTAAAATTCATTGAAAACCTTTGACATGCTGTCCAGTCACAGCAGTTAGTATTTGCAATTATGTATTATTCCTTTATTTGTCGAAGTTTGAATTTTGGATCCTGCTTCGTGGACTTGTAAATGATAAATGAAATGATTTTAGGAAATAGGGCACCCTTGAGCAGGTAGCTTAAGGACTGATAGATCATTCACTTACCCTCTTATGGTTCTTCTAAAAATAATTCAAAATATGGTCCCTGTGCTGTCCAGAACAATAGCGATAGGCCATATGTGGCTACTGAGCGCCTGACATGTGGTTACAGGCGCTGAATTTTAGATTTTATTGAATTAATTTAAATAGCCACATGCGGCTAATGACTGCCATATTGGACAGCACAGGTCTAGACTAATGCTGTAGCCGTTTGATAACTTATTTCTAACAAAAATGAGGACAGCCTTGTTTGAAATAGTTCCTTTAATTCTGCAGGTTCCTTTTTAACCCTTCTGCCTGCCTCGATGAACACTTAATGCAGTTTAAGTTCTTGGGAATTTTAATGGGGGTTGCCATTCGCACAAAGAAGCCTCTGGACCTCCACTTAGCCCCTCTGGTGTGGAAGCAGCTGTGCTGCGTCCCACTCACCCTGGAAGACCTGGAGGAGGTGGATCTGCTCTACGTGCAGACTCTCAACAGCATTCTTCACATTGAAGACAGTGGGATTACCGAGGAGAGTTTCCATGAGGTAAATAAGTCCTGGCTGGTTCATGTTTCTGTTGGTGTTGACTAGAATTTTTCTGTGTAAAGCTCAGGTATGGCCTTCCATTTGCTGTCTGGCTGACCCATGCCATATGCCATTGCTGCGCTTAGCAGCTCAACCCAGCAGTTTAAATAACTGCTAAGAGAGTCAGCTCCAGCACCCAGCTTCTGCTCCTTCCCCTTTAATCCATTCTCTGCCTGCTCGAGTGAAGGACAGAGAGAACCCAGGTGGAGAGGGAGGCCTGGGATGACCAGAGTTCATCAAACCTTTGATTTGGAGGCAGAGAGATTCAACCTCATTTTTAATTACAACCAGATGAGTCAGCACTCTCTGCTGATCAAGTAGCCTGATCAGTTATCTCAGTTGCCTTGTTTTCATCCTTAAAATTTTTGATATTGTTAATGTTTTTCTGTATTTGTGTGTAACATACTTTTTGTGGTCATTTCTACCATGGAGTAAAAATTCTTTTTTCTTCTATTCTCAGATGATTCCTCTTGATTCTTTTGTTGGCCAGAGCGCTGATGGCAAAATGGTTCCTATAATCCCTGGTGGAAATAGTATCCCACTCACGTTTTCTAATAGGAAGGAGTATGTGGAGAGGGCCATTGAATATCGACTTCATGAAATGGACCGACAGGTGAGATGAAACATTTTGGGAGGTGCATATGAATGTTTGCATTTGTCTCCAAGCAGGAGCTGTCTGGTTTTTACTGAGTTTTGGCATATGAATTCACTGTGTTGATTAATCAGTATCTATTGGATTGGCCAAAAAGTTCATTCGGGTTTTTCCATTAGATGTTATGGAAGACTTTTTGGCCAACCCAATATATTTCAGTCCCTTTTCAGAGACTTTTCAGGTGTAATCTCAGGGCCTGCTGTCTCCTCACTCAAGGCCTTAGGTGAGCCCTGAATTGGTCACTGGTAGGATTGAGGCCAAGCCCTCCGCCAGGCCTTCAGAGCCTGCCTTCTCATTCTCACTCTTCCTCTGTCCTGTTTGTCTTCATTTCTTACTGCCCCCCAACCCAGTGTCCCACTCCAGCTTGGTCAGTCGGGGTCCATGTGAATGAACCCATAAACACTGGCCTTGCAATCCCACGTGAGTGCTTCTTTCCCCCTCCTGCTGCAGTCCTTCAGGCCCCAGCTGAGAATGCATCTCCTTCCTCTCTGGACAGACTTGCCTCCAGGTCTGTACATAGCTTTCTTGTTACCTAGAAATTCCTCAAGATATCACATACTTCTGTGTTGTGGTCTAAGAATTAGGCAGAGTTTGGGTCTTTTTTCTTCAATTAGTGTGCGAGACATTGAATGAAAAATGTATTTCGTATATATAACTTATATAGTCTTGTTCTATGCTGATATGTAGTAAGCATTTAATAAATGATGGGAGTATGGTGAGTGACCACAGAAATGAATATTGTGTCCAGAAGTGGTGGTTTTGGTTATACAATCCTTCATAGCCACTTCAGTAATACCTTATTTGCACAATATGTTGGGTTCTTCTCAGGAGCTAGATGCAGGCTCTGAGGCTGTGTAGTAATTTGAAGTGTATATATTCTACACCCTTCACTCCTGGTTCCTTCTTTGACTCTGACTTTGGGCCAAGTCCAGTCAGAAAACTATACCCTTTAGCTTAGTAAGGGTGGATCCTGTCAGCAATGTTGTTTACACAGCCAGGGCTTAGGGTTTGTCTCTAGTTCTTGAATATGTTTACTCCTTACAGACTGAATAACTGACCCAAAATTTCCTGATCACTTTCTGCATGCCAGATGTGGTACCAGGCACCCGCATGTGTGGCTTTTCACATAGTTACTCTGAGAGAGAGAAATTACTATCACCATTTCACAAATGAATGCATGGAGTCCAGAGAAGTGAAGTGATGTGCCCAAGGCAAAGCCAGGATTGCAAACCAGGTTTAACTGTGGTGTCCAGGCTCTTGTGCTGGCCTTTCCTATGAAGGTCAGATTGACCTGCTGTCCATCAGCTGTGCTCTGCCCTGGCTTTGTTGCTTTCTGGGTAACAAGGCCATCTTCCTCTTTTCACTTCCTCCTTGTCTCTTAGAACCCTGTATTCTTCCCATAGCTGTCCCCAGTTGTCCCCGACCCAAGCAGCCATCCCTGTACCTCAGCCTTTTTTTTTCCAGACAGCTTTTGGTTTTTATCCTTCCAGGCAAACAGCTTGTTTTTTGGCAGACTTTGGCTGGGGTGTTCCCTTTACTATCAGTAGAGACTGCCCTCACTGCCACTCGGTTCCTTAGCCCTGGGCATGACAGCCTGATACAATCATAACTCCAGGGCCTTCCTCGAGGTGTGGCTCCTGTTCAGGTTCTCTGGTTTGGTCTTGTTTGTGGTAGATGGTTTTGAATTGGCCAAGAGTGGAGAAGTTATTTATGAAAGAAACCTGGAACAGTGATGGGTCTGTGTGTAGAGTATGCACTACTGCACAGCCTTGGAGGGGTTTTGCCAAACAGACTGTGTGGCAGCCTCTGGTAGCACCCCTTTGGCATTCCCTGACTGACCTGTTCTCTGCACTGTGCTAACAGGGGCTAACTGCCCAGTCACACAGACTTGTTTAAAATACCTGTCATAATCATGGGAGCAGCAATTATTTACCTTATTTTTCAGATCAGAAAATTAAAGTAAAAGAAGTGGTGGAGCTGGGATACAGAACCCATCTCCTGATCAATTTTTCTGTCCTTTTTGCGGCCTTCCTACAAAAGGGTGTCTCAGTTTTACTTTCTTCTTTGTACTTTTTTTTTTCTTTTACAATCAGCACAAATGATTTTTACAAAAAGGATATAACTGTTTTCAAAAGAAAATATAAATTACAAAAACAGTAGAAGCTCTAGACCCATCCTCCAAGAGCTTCTTACCCTGACGAGAAGACAAAGTATCCCACATAGCACAGTTTAACAGCCCATGGCCGTGTGTGGTTAGGAGTGTGGTTGGCATTAGGGAAGGCCCCAGTGGGCTGGGATTTTGTGGGGCAGGGAAGGTGGGCTCCTGGATTGACTTGAACTGGGACAGGAAGGAGTGTATGAGTCCTACAGGCAGGGAGAAGTTCTAACATAGGGTCAGAGGCAAGGAGGTTGGGCCGTGTGCAGTCATGCCAGTTCTGAGGGACAAGTAGAGGGCCTGGGAGAAGACGAGCACGCACGAGGTGCCCGGCCCAATTGGGTCCACCGTGGGTGCCCAGTCTATGCGCACACATTGAATGAACAACCTCTCCTGGGAGCAGGTGGCCGCGGTCCGAGAAGGGATGTCCTGGATCGTCCCTGTGCCGCTGCTGTCCCTCCTCACAGCAAAGCAGCTGGAGCAGATGGTGTGCGGGATGCCCGAGATCTCTGTAGAAGTCTTGAAGAAGGTGGTGCGGTACCGGGAGGTGGATGAGCAACATCAGCTGGTGCAGTGGTTCTGGCACACGCTGGAGGAGTTCTCCAACGAGGAGCGGGTGCTTTTCATGAGGTTTGTGTCAGGAAGATCTCGACTACCAGCCAACACTGCTGATATTTCTCAGAGATTTCAGATCATGAAGGTTGATAGAGTAAGTAAGATGTTTTTTCTTCCTTGGTAATGTGTGCCTTTATTGCTTCCTTGATGCTTGCATGTTCGGCTTCAAGTAGGCCTGCCAATTCAGGATTAATGCTTGGAATTTCCAGACTTTCTAAAAAAAATCAAGCACAAAAACTTGTTTAGAAACATCACATAACTTCAATTTTAAAAAGTCCTAAATGGGGCTTCCCTGGTGGCGCAGTGGTTGAGAATCTGCCTGCCGATGCAGGGGACACGGGTTCGAGCCCTGGTCTGGGAAGATCCCATATGCCGCGGAGCAACTAGGCCCGTGAGCCACAATTACTGAGCCTGCGCGTCTGGAGCCTGTGCTCCGCAACAAGAGAGGCCGCGATAGTGAGAGGCCCGTGCACCGTGATGAAGAGTGGCCCCCGCTTGCCACAACTAGAGAGAGGCCTTGCACAGAAACGAAGACCCAACACAGCCATAAATAAATAAATAAAATTAAAGATAAATAAATTAATTTTTTTTAAAAAAAGTCCTAAATGGATGTAGAAAGCACACTACAACCAACAACCTTCACTGAATCTTCCAGTAACTTCCTGAATGAAAGCTAAGCTTGGCAGAAGTGTCATCATGTTGCCTCTGCCTCATATTTCCTATGCCTTTTCGTTGTGTGACTTCTGCACTGGGACACGGTCTTGTTTATTTGTTTTCATGAAGATACTAACCATTAACTGGTGCACATGCTCCAGAAGGAACGTGAAGACACAGGGAACAGCAGTAACGTGCTCTGTGGCTACGTGCGTGGCGTGCATCACGGAGCAGGCAGTGCAGCTTCCCTGCAGCCTGATGAAAGGTCCCTGCTGCAGAGCTCCAGCCCAGCTGCTGTTTTGACAGATGGCTTAGGAATAAAAGGGCTTAGAGGCTTAAATGCACACTGCTGCCAGAGTCATCTTTCTCAAGCACCTCTCTAACCACGTCACTCTTTTCCTTTCACACCGTTCAGCGGCCCCTTGTGTTGACTCCAGGATAAATGCCAGCCACCTTAGCAGTCTTCAACACCTCCACAGTCTGGCCTCTGCCCCGCCTTCTGATATCACCTCTTGATGCTTATCATGTTCTGGCCATCATGGGCTGCTTGCCTTTCTCCTGACAGACCACACTGTTTTTTATTTTGGGGTGTTTTTTTTGTTTGTTTTGGGAGATTTTTTTTGGCCGCACCACATGGCTTGCAGGATCTGAGTTCCCCAACCAGGGATTGAACCCAGGCCACGGCAGTGAAAGCCTGGGATCTTAATCACTAAGACACCAGGGAACTCCCAAGGTCACACTGTTTTTAAATGTCTCTGCCTTTGTGCAGGCTATTCTCACTGCTTTAGTAAGTTCTCCTCCCATCCCTTTCCATCTATGCCTGGCAAGCAATTACTCACCGTTTAACCCCAATACCAATGTCATCTCCTCCAGAAAGCCCTCCTGGATGCTTTCCTATGCCTCCTGACTATTCCTCCAGGCAGGCTTAGATCTTCTTATATCCATCTCCTGGACACTTGGTACACTCCTCGAACCTAACATTAAGTTAGACGTGTCTGTGTTCCCTCTTTCTCCTCCTCCACCCTTCGTGAGCTGGGCAGTCCCCTGAGCAGGGCCCATGGTGTTTATTCCGGAAACAGTAAGGAAGGTAGGACCTCCTCACTCAAGGGCCCATCCTACCAGTTTCATCAGGTTTCAGTCTCTGCCCTTCTGGTGTTTTTCCTGTAACTACCCCTTCAAAGTTGCCGTAGTCAAAGCCATCCCTCCCCTGCTGCCTCCTGAGGCTGCCTGCCTGGGCTCCACTCCTGGGCTTGCTGGAGAGGCCATGCACAGGAAAGGCTATGAAAAGAGCCTTTCTGTAAATTTTCGATGGGACTTGCCAGAAACTATAAGTTGTAAATCTGTTTTGTTGCTTCAGAGAAAGATGGGGAGGAGGAAATGGTTTGCTTCTCTTCAGCTCTGGAAAAAAGCCTTGCCTCGTATCTGTCCTGGGCTACGCTGCCATCCCAGGAGTTAATCCACTATTAATCCCCTGCCTGAGGGATTTTAGCCTCAGAAAACTGACCACTATGGGTCTCTGCTTTGTGACTTTTCAACCATTTCTCTAGTTTCCAAATCAGAGCCACCTGTTGACATTCCCCTTTAATGTCTTTGTGGGTTGAGGGTTTTCTGCATTTCATCACTGGCTCTGGCACAGCTAAGCTTCTGGGCCCTCCATCTGCCACCTCTCGGCAATGCACTCACCTGATGGCGAGTTCCGAGGAGGAGGAGGGCTGGTTTCAAGGAGTTCAACGAGAAAGAGAGGGCAGGTTCTTTTTTAAAAACTCATTTTTAAAAAAATTATAAAAACAATGTAAATCATTATCATTACAGATAGTTTGGAAAATAGTTGTGTTTGCAAGTCAGGACAGTGTTTGCGGGGAGGGACAGGAATCCTGTCCCTCCTACTGGTAGCCATTTTCACCTTTCACCTTTGTGTAATTCATCGAGCATATGCATTTTTGCATGACGCATTTAGAACTTTGTATTCTGCTTTTTCCACCTAACAGTCTATCTCCAGCACTTTTCTGTTTTGCTGCTAATCTTCATAATTATCATTTTAAACGACTGCATCACCATCGGTTAAAGGGCTGGGCTGGGATTTCATTAACTGCTCCTTCCTCATCTGAGCGGTGTGCTGGTGGCCATGGCAGGTGAAGGATGGCAGAATGCTCACTAGGAGGACGGTGAGGGGAGGAGGAGTGTGGTGACTCCCTTACAGTTGTTCCTTCCATTTCACTGGCTCTGTTGGGGGAATCCCTGTAGCAGCTTCAAGTTTGCACCCTCTTGGTGAAAGGGAACAAACTCTGTTGCACTCCTACGCTGTGGCAGGCACTGTGCGAAGTGTGTTCTGCCAGGTAACCCTGTCAGTCAGGGCTCATTCTCATTTCACACATGAGGGCTTTGGAGGAGTGAGGAGAGGAAAGAAGCATCTTCGCCAAAGCTAGATGGCCACAGGACACCAGAGCCTGCACTCTTCCTTCCACTGCCAAGTCTCTGCTTGCTCTCCAGGTGGCCGTGCAGTCAGTCATGTCCGTGGAGCCCACCTGAAGGCAGGGAGAAGTGCTTTCCTGACTTTGGGGGTGGTGGTGATGAGCAGCCCTGCTCCCCCCATGATACCCCAGTGCTGCAGTCATGGCTCTGGGTCTCTCTCTCCACAGCCTTACGACAGTCTGCCTACCTCACAGACCTGCTTCTTCCAGCTGAGACTGCCGCCCTACTCCAGCCAGCTGGTCATGGCTGAGCGCCTGCGCTACGCCATCAACAACTGCCGCTCAATCGACATGGACAACTACATGCTCTCGCGAAACGTGGACAACGCTGAGGGCTCCGACACTGACTACTGACCACCCAGGGTGCCGTCGCCCCTCCTTCTTCTCGATAATGCTCACTTCCAACTTAATGCTGATACACTTTTATGGTAACTAATAGATGTTTTAGGAACATAAACCGACATTATAAACAGTGGCCACATTTAGTTACTCTAAATGTAACAAAGAAATTAGATGTTTTTATTTTTCTGTGATTGTACAAAAAAAAGACAAAGTGCTCTAAGTCAGGTTTTCCCTCCATATTTGTGGTCACTTTTGATAAGTTTGCATGGAACCATTTCGGTGCATTTTTAGTTGGGAATGGTACATTTTTGTAAACCCACCCAGTGAACATGAAATTGTACATTGTGTATAATTGTTCATTAGAAAGGACAGTTTTACATGAATATTCATATATTTATTTTGTTTTAATTTGAATTGCCTGTGCAGGGTTCCTTATGCAGAGAAATAAAGCCAATTCAGGAATCAGTGCATGGGCTGCTTTTGTTATTGGAGCTTTGATGAAGAGAGAATGAGCTTTCAGACTAGTTTCACTCCGACAGCTTTTTGACTCATCAGAAACATTCCTTCACACTGGGCTTTGCTTGGAAATGACAGAGCAGAGGGCCACGTGGGTATAGCAGCCCCCTGAGGTGAAAGTTCCTGTGTTTATTGGTTCTGTCATCCTTGGTCTCTCACTGTGTTCCCTCACTACAGGGTCCCTGTGTCCATCCTTTAGCACTATGCTTCCTCCTTCTCCATAGCTGGCTTAAAGTGTAACACGCTAATAGGAGCCTTTCTTGAACAGCCCCAGGATGCCTGGTACGGGATGCAGCTCTACTAGGCCAGGAGGAAACTAACTAAAGTGATACAGTTGTGACTGCCCACCATCACCGCCCTTTGAGGAGCCAGCGGATCCAGTGATGGAATTAAAGAGCGGGGCAGTTTACAATAACGTGTCATCTACCCTGGAAGGGCAGCCAAGTGGGCACTTAGCATACATGAATGAATGACCATGTGAACGTGTGAATGAATTTGAGAACTAATGCGTGGCTTTTATGTCCTTGAATGATGGTGGGGAATTGTGCAGGGGACTGGGGAAGGGGTTACACCCTTGGCGCTTAAACCCAGACCTTTTGAAGGCCCTGGGCGATGTGTTCATTTGCTCAGGCATGTCAGAATGAGCATGTGGTCCTGGGAGAAAGGGCTATCTGGAGAGCAGCTGTGAAGGCTCTGCGAGTGGGAACAGGGAGAGGGCACATCCACTACAAGTTCATGCCGCACGCTACTTCCAGTGTACTTCATGGACAAGGTCAAGGCTGACAGCCTGCTCAAATGAGGTGCCAGAGAGCCTTATAGGCGCTTTTTTTCCACCAGGAAGGTAAAAGGTGTGTGTTTGTGAAGAGAAATTGGAAGGAAGATGTGGTTTTGTTGGCAAAGATGATGTGGTGCATGGATATTTCCCAGTGAGTATATCTGATAATATTTAGAATGAAGACATTTCATTTTTATGGAAAAGAGGCTTCAACTGGCATTGTGTCTCAGAAGGAGACCACAGCTTCTGGGGACCCCCAGGGGGCTCTGAGCCTTTAATACTTGATCTGAGAGCTCAGTCAGAAGCAGCGGTGAAGGTCTTTGTGCTTGAAGCACTCACTTGGGGGGTGGGAAGGCACTGTCCGGGGCTCTGGGCCAGGAGGGAACTTCTCTCAGCGAAGAACGGCCTCTGCGTGCTGCTGAGATCCTGGACAACGCCAAAAGGGTCTCTTCGGGCCTTCTGGGCTGGCTCCCGGTGACAAGTACCTCCTCCCTCTTGGTGGGCTGGGCTGAGGGTGTGCTGAGCTGAAGGCTACGTCTGCAGTCTCAGACTGTTTTAAATCACAAGAAGGCCTTGACCTTCATGAGGCTCTGGGCTCTGCTGCCGCAGTTCCCTCTGGACTCAGGGGAAGGGCACCCGCAGCAGGCTGATGCTCAGGCCCCACCTGTCGGGCCTAACGGGTGGCTCCTCAGGAGGCCTCACTCTGCGAGGAAGACCTGCACAGACACCTTGCTTTTATAACAGATGCCATTTCTTTGCTGGAAACCTGTCATTTTTCTTCGTCCTCTGAACTTTGGAAGCTCTGGGAAAGAGGAGGAGGTGTGAGTCCCTGATGTGAGGAGCTGAAATGAGCCTAGTGCCCCTATTTTTTTCCCCCATAGTTCACTTTCAACCCCCATAGAGGCTTAGGCCTTTTTTTTTTTCTTTGCTAGACTCATTCAGTTAACAAATCCTTGCAGTTTTTATCACCCGTAAAAAGTCTCAAGAGAACTTTGGCCCCCTAGCCTTTAGATTTCCTTAAAGGCCCTTTCAAGGTGCAGCTTTTTTCTGGGCCTTTGCCCAGCACTGCCAGTGAGATGAAACCTATGTGTGGTAAGCTCGGTTTTTAGCAAAAAGCAAGTCTTGGGCATTGAATCCCAGAGCTGGAGGAATAGTAGAACTAAGGCATCAGATGATCTCTCCCTTTACAGACCAAGAATTCGAGGTCAGGAGAGGGAAAGTGCTGGATCACAGGTACTTACAGACGAGAGCTGCGAGTCCTGGCTTCCTGTCAGCACGCCAGTGGTGGAGTTGAGGGGGCTCAGTCAGCCCCCTGCAAACATTCAGCCTGTGCCAAAACAGGCCAGTGTGTCCCTGTAAGACAAGCCTCAGAGCACAGTGTACCCCCCCCCCCAGCGGGCTCTGCTTCCTAGGGAGCAATCTGGAGCCCCTGACCTCAGAGCACGCGGCCCCAGCCTCTGCTGGCGTTGAGGGTCAGCCGACTAGCCAGTATGATGTGGTGACTGGGGCCAGCCTCCCACTAGGGGGCACTGTCCTGCCCCAGTGCTGAGGTTCTGCAGCCTCCCACTAGCTTTCACTTTGGCTGCCTTGGCCACGACTGAGAGTGAAAAGAGTGAGCATTCAGGAGCGGGGCAAAGTCTGTGGTGTGTTCTAATGGAGGCTGTGAGGGCACAGATAATCCCCAAGCCACTTCCCAGTGGCTATGGGTCAGGCTCCCATCTCCCCCAGCTCGCCCTTCTCTGGACAAGCATTGGGCTTCCTGACTGTTCCTGAGCCGTGCCTGCTGCTGATACCAACCTTATGGGAGCTGTGGTCAGTCTTCCAGTCTCGGCTCAAAGGCCGTGTCCTCCATCACGTGTTGCTTCTTGTGAGTTCTGCTGGGCACTTGGCTTTTCTAGCCCCCTGTGGACGTGAGGACGCCTTTCCCTACCCTCTGCCTTCAGGCAGTACACAATTAGAATCTCAGCACAGTGTCACAGAGAGTGTACTGGTCCTATTTTACAAATAGAGAAATGGAGGCTCCGAGAAGTCATAACTTGTCAGAAGTTATGGCTGGCAGAGCGGGGAGAGTGCTCAAAACCCCCCTCAACCCCAGCTGCATGTCTTCTGACTAGAGTGACTCCCTTGAGGTAGGGCCTGGCCCAGCCCATGCCCAATACCCAGTAAATGTTTGTGAGATGAATGAATTGGTGGATTGATTAAGCATGCAGTGCCCCTTGTTCTATGCAAATCTGAGAGAAGACCTTGAAAGCTGTTTTACTAAGCCAGGGCACTGTGTTCTGTCCAGTGCCTTTGCTCAGTGCCTGGCGGTGTGAATGCACAGGGACTGTTAGAAGGCAGCGTGGAGAGTAGTGTCTGCCTTCCAGGAGTACCTCAGATGGGCCTGGGCTCAGGGACCCAAAGGTCCTGTGCAGGGGGCAGGGCCTAACCGGAGCCCTAGAAACCATGCTGGACACAACTGTCAGCACAGCTTTCGTTCTGTGATCACTAGTCTTGGTACGTGAGGGTTTACTAGGCATCAAGGGGAACTTAACCCTCATTTATAAAAGAGCTTCTGGGGGGGAAGGAACCTCAGGGGAATGTAGGTTACCCGCTTTCCAGCTGAATATACAGTAACCTTTGTTTGCTGTACAAACACAGTCTCATAACCCTTAAGAGAACTTTGCAGACAAGATTCTCTAGCCATCCCAATATACAGGTAAGAAAGCTGAGGTTTGAAGAGGGCTGACCTGCCCTTGGTCAGAGGAGCGCTAGAAACCAGGTCCTGTTTTTCCCCCAGACTAAACCACCAACTTAGGGCAAACAAGACCTCTGGGAATTGGGGCTTATCAGAGATGATGAAAGCAAAGCCATGGGGTTTAAGTGGCTCTGTTTTAAACAAACATTTAAGTCCCTGGAAGCCTGAGCTTTCTTTCAACATTGTTTGCAGTAGTGGCTGAAAAATTAATTTCCTGCAAAGCCTCTCTCCAGAGTTCAGAGCAAGGGTGGGTAAACTAGAAAATCACCCAGAGGACACCTGGGTCTCACAGGCTAGTGGTAGGCCGTGGCGTTCCACTGCACCTGGTGGCCTGGCAGGGCTGGCTTTCCCCACACAAGGATGAGGAAGGATTATGCCGGTCCAGGGTCAGTGCGGTTACCGGTTTCTGGGCTAAGTGATGGTCTAACCAGGGGCCCAGGGGCAGCAACTGAGGCCTTCGGCAGTCCCTGGAGGGGTTTGGGCGAGGTAGGGTGCTGTTTGCCTGCCCACAGGCTCTGCCTAGAGAAATTTCAGCCCCTCTGGGCCTTCACCGTCGTCTTCTTGGGGCCCTGGCACCTGCTGGAAGTGGCCTGAGTGGGGGATCTCCAGTTCTCGTTTCATCCTCATAATAATCTCTGAGGCCTGGGTGAGGCCCCTCTTCTCCCTTATTTTTCTCATCACCTCTCCTGCTTACCTTTCCTCCTCACTCACTCTGTTCCAGCCATAACACACCAGCCATGCTCCTTGTCTGGGGCCTTTGTGCTGGAGGCTGTTGCCTCTTGTCTGGAATATTTTCCTCCAGACTCTGCACCGTTCTCTCCCCCACTTCGTTTCTCAAATGCCTCCTTCTCAATGGGGCTTACATTGGTCGACCTCTTTTAAGTTGCTTTTTCCTTTCCAGCAATTCCCAAATATCCTCTAACCCTGTATTTCCCTTTTCCCCAGTACTTATCTCCTTATACACCAATTACTTACTGTCTCTTCCCCCAGTAAAACATAAGCTCCATGAGAATGTCTTTTTTTCCTTGCTGTTTCCCCAATATTGGAGCAACGAATTAAGGAACCCATGTGTGTGGTCAGGCCTCTCAAGATGGCTGTTCTCTTGCTCTCTTTACATCCCCTGCCTGACCAGTGCCTGTTTCACCTAAACCTTACACACATGACTGATCTTCCTTTGTTCTTGTCCCAGGCCCCAGCTGAGGCTGTTCTTATCAAAGGGGTGGTGAGGGGCGTGCCATTCCACTGGTTTCCCTCCTAACTAATGAGCTCACCTGACATCAATTCCCCTATAACCGGTAATCTCCCCTCCCCCCCACCAAGCGAGGACTGCCACCTCGTCCTGCCCACCATCAGTTGCGCACAGTGGGGCGTCACTCCAGGGCCTTGCTTCAGACATGTAAGATTCCTCCATCCATTAAACCATTGATGTGTCTGCTGCTGACTCTGGGCTCTTTCTTCAGTCTTAAAGCTGGACAAGTGCAGGCCTTGCAGGCCTGTGGCGTGCAGCCCAGTGAGTAGGCATCAGGAGCCCCTTTCACAAAGAAGAAACACCTGGCCTCAGGTGGTTAAAGGGCCTTGATCTCACTCAGCTGGTGATGGGAGGAGCCAGGGTGTGAGTATCACCCATTACTCCACCATTCTCCCTCCTTTCCCCACTTACCCAAAGTTTTCCCCGTGTACCTAGAACCGGGAGGCTGCAGGATGGCTGAGAGCCCTTCCTTTGGTGGCTAAAGGTGGGGCACCAGTGACTAAAGCCCTGAAGTTGAACTCCAGGCGTGCGCCCACGTTCAGCAAATGTAGCAGGTAAAAATTTAACTTTGCATTGCTTTTAATGGCTTCGTTAACCAAGGATTTAACCAGGTCTGCTGCTTTTATGTCTTTACTTTGGGTTTTTCCAATGATTGTTTCCCTTTATGATGGGAGAACGGTATAAAATAAGGATAACAATCCAGTTTATGAAAGAATCACAGCAACAAGCGAATTTTCTAGAGTCGCGTTTGCAGTCACTGCTAGGAATGCATCTGACAGATGAAAGGCTACCGGGCTTGGCGGGGGGGGGGGGGGGGGGCGGCGCGAAGCAAAGCCTCTAGGTAACCCGTTCGATGGCTCTGTAGCGCCCGGCGCCCGGGGTGCCTCTCCTCCTCCCGCTGGTGCGGCACGGAGACGCGCCCCCGGGTAGCTCCGAGCGGCCACGCCTCCCCACGGCTGTTATTTAGACCCCCCCCCGCCAACTGCGACCTCAGCCGGGGAGTATGGGCTAAGGGCTCCCGCGCAGCGCCAGGCGGAGAACCGGGTGCTTAGGGGAGACAGGGAAGGGTGCTGGTGTTTAGTGAGAAACACCAGAGTGTTTTTCAAGCATCTGGCCATCAAACCTTGCACTGAGCCAATGTATAAAATCGTAATGTGCGGGAGGCGCTCGTATCCCCGTCTTGGCTGAGGATGTGGCGGCTGTCTAGGGACTGTTGTTCAATGCAGGCCACTCCTCCAGCCCTGAGGCCCAGGGCCGGTGTCCCAGACACGGCCCGCCCGGCCTAGCGCAGAAGCTGCTTGCGGAGGGCAGCGCCGGGCGAACGCAGGCCGCGCGGGAGCTGGTCGGGGATCATGGCCGCGCTGTGTTCGGCGCGCAGAGTCAGGCGCGGGCACGCGGCGCGCAGGCGGCGCAGGCCGGCCGCGCTCACGTTGCGGCAGAAGTCCACGTGCAGCGTCTGCAGCGCCCGCCCGTGCGCCGCCACGGCCGTCAGCGTGCGGTTGGTGACGCGCGCGCAGTTCTCCAGGCGCAGCGCGCGCAGGCGCGGGCAGGAGCGCAGCAGACGCGCCAGGCAGTCGTCGGTGACGTGGCCGCAGCCCGACAGCGTGACGGATGCCAGGTTGGGGCACCTGTGGAGAGAACGCGGTGACCATGGGCCGGGGCCGAGGAGGATGCGGTTAGCGTACTAGCGTGCGGCCGCCCCCGGTCACGCCCCTTAGCTCCCTGGTTGGTCCCCGTGCCAGCTCTGGGAGACCGGGCAGGCCCTCCCGCTTTTTATAGAGGAGGAACGGGCCCAGAGAGTTTCGGGCACTTGCCCGCGGTGACACGCCGGGATCTGAACCGGGGCTTCTGTCCCATGTCCCCTGTTCTTTCTGCCACTCCACCCCACCTTACTTTAATCTGCCTGGGCTCTTAGTCCCAGGAGCCCAAGCCCCGGCCCTGCTGTGGACATAGGCGATGCTGGTTCCAAGGAGGGTCGGCTACAGTTTCTTTGGTTCTTTCAGACTTGTTGCCTTGGGTGGGGGTGAGGAAAGCGGTGCGGAGGGACCGCTCCAGTCTAGCTTCAAGCTGAGGCCCTGATGCTCCTGGCAGGACGGTGCAGAGAGGAAGGGTTTCCTGTGGGGTGGCTTAGAGTCAGGCCCATTCCAACCCGTGAGGCCATCGGGGCACGCCTCTTGAGTATTCGCTCTGAGTTCTAGAGCCCTGGTTTCAGCTCAGTTGACTGAGACAGTTACTGCATCTCCAGTGGGATGCCAGCCTGTCACAGGCCAGGATCTGGAGGTAGCTAGACCCAGGCCTGAGGTGGGTACAATCAGGGATACAGGTAGCTTGTCCAGAAAGCTTTGGGGGCGGCGGGGGGGGGCTCTCTGCCCCAACCTTACCAGCAACTGCTGGGGGAAAAGATTTGAGCAAAGTTGGCTTATTTGCGCCATGACCTTGATTAAGTCACTCGCTGAGCCTTAGTTTACCTGGGGGAGTGTGTTGGGAGTGGATGGCAGGGAGGGAATAATGCCTACCAGTGGGGCTACTGTGATGATTAAGCGAGATTTGGGGTATCTGGAACCTGTACAGGACCTTCCTGTAGGCCATCATAACCCATGTTTCCTGGGAGCAAGCAGGACCAGACCGCTTCCAGTCCAGAAGGACCTGTCTCAGCGGTGCAGGCCTTGGCTTCCTGTAGCCAGAGGGAGCTGGAGTCGGGCCACAGGGGGTTTCCCTCTCCCCATCAGCCGCCCCCATTGCCCCTTGACTGCACCTGCCTGGGCCAGCTCAGCTCCCTTGTTCCTGAGCAAGGAGGCGAGGAACTAAAAGACTGGTCATGGCCACATCCACACGCCGAGTGCATCCTGTCTTCCCAAGTCCACACAACTTCCTAAGTCTTCATGTCAACCTTCCACCCCCAATTTCATGAATGAGGAAACTGGCTCAGGGAGCTCAAGTGACTTGCCTGTGACATATTTGCTGTGTGACCCAGGACAAATGTCCGAACCTTGCTGGGCCACCTCCTCATCTGTCAGGCAGAGAAACTGTTACTTTCAAGGTGGTGGTAAGGATTAGGTAGGGGTTTAAGCCCCAGGGCTGTTAAATGATCCCTTCCTGTAAGAACCTTTAAAATAATCCTGATGCAGGAAGAAACCAGAGAAAGAAAAACCCAGCTCCCTCCCTGCCCAGCCATCCTCAGCTTTCCTCTCACAACCCCTCTCCCCAGCTGACTGCCAGGTGTAGATTTCTTGCATACTTATCGATACCTACTATGTGCCGGTGCTGCTGTGTCATTTAATCCTTTCAGCATGTGAGAGAAGGTAGTTTATCCCATTTTACAGATAAACAAATGAGGTTGAAAGTGTTTAAATATTTGGGCTGGGGTCACATGGTTGGACAGTAGCAGAACTGGGGGACTCAGCCCCGAGCCCTTTGCTTTTTTGGTGACACTGGGGACCCTTGCCATACCTAGACAGTGGCCTTGGAGGTCCAGTCCACACCATGCTGGTTTGGGGGATTAAACCTGGTTCCCCTACAACAAGAATGCAGCAGATCCAGGGCAAGCTTTTCACCCCATACATATCGCCCTCCAGTCTGATTTCTGGGCCTTGTTAAACTCATCAAAATGTCATGGTCCCATCAGGGACCAGCCCCAAGTCCATCTTCTGTTTTCTTCTCTTGCCTTAAAAAAAAAAAAGGGGGGGGGGGCGAGGCCACTACACTATTTCCTCCCATTCCTTGTTGGGCTGCCAGAGAATATAGCAGCTGTTAGACTTGGGTGGCAGCAAGCTGACTGAACGTAGTTAGTAAACAAGGGGGTGTCTTTCCTCAAAGGCTAGGACAGGACTGGTAAAGTCTCAGTGAGAGTCTGTTCTTGCATGGACTGCTCTAGGCAGGAGGCTGTGACTGTGAAGGGAGTCTAACCCATGGCTAAGCCTCTGTGGGGTTGACAGGTCAAATACAGGATGTATTTGGGACAGGCACCAAAAAAATTATTCCATCTATCTGAAATTCAAATTTCTCTGGGCCTTTTGAGTTTTTATTTGCTAATATCCGGCAATCCTAGACCGGGGCAAGTCACACAACCTGTCACGAGTTCCGGTTTGCTCATTTGAAACTTAGGCTAAAACACTCTCTCCTTCAGGTACCGTGAGGATTAGTGAGTTTCTAATAAGGAAACCATTATCACCACCCCTACTTCTGGAGCCTGGCTTGGTCAGCTAACCCAGGGCTGAGCACCCTAACTCTCCTTCCTCAGCCACATTTCACAGGTCTTGGGGTTTGCTTGCTAGGGGCAAATCGTAGGGGTGAGCTGATTGCTGAATCTAGAAACCTCTTCCTGGAGCCTGACCTTGAAAATGAAGGCCCAGCTGGACCTACCCAGCACTTAACGGCTGCCAGGGAAGACAGCCGCCTGAAACACAGGGACAGCTGAAGCCAAGTTTGTCCTCTTTGCCGAAGCAGCTCCAAGACCCGTGAGGCTAAGAGGAGGATTGGTGCCCGTTTCCCCCAGGATTTTATCCATCTTCTGGGGACTGCGCAGTGGGCAGGCCTGGAGGGTCTAAGCCTTGGGCCTAGTCTGAGGCTCCCCGAAGCAAAGCCGTCTTGCTCTTGTAATTGGCTCTTGCCTGACCCCCGGAAGCCTCCCAGAGCTCTGGATGCCAGCGCTGCTCAGAGGCGGCCTACCTGTCGCACACCTGGAGGAGGAAATCACTGACTAGGCTCTCGTGCCGGCTGCAGATGCTCCTCTGGAGGGCGCTCTTGAGCCAGTCCTCGATGCTGCACACCTGCACGCGGCTGGAGTGCCAGCAGATGGAGAGGCTCCTGAGCGCCGGGCTCAGGAGGAAGTTGTCCTTCTTGAGTTCTGTGAGGGAACGGAAGTGCAGCAGGGGCCACAGCGCGGGGTCCTCAAACACGTCCTGGAGCTGGGGGCAGGTCCTGGCAAGGTTCTTCCTGCTGTCCTTGTCCAGAAAGGAGAAGAGGTGTAGCAGGCACTCGCGGTTGAGCTGGGTGATGTGCATGGTGCACGGCAGCCACGGAGTGTGGCTGGAGCCCGGGGTCCTGACCTACCTCCTGCTCCTCCTCCCCAGCTCCGGGCCGGTGGACATATATGGTTGAGGAATGGTGTTTATTTTTGGCCAACAACTGGTGCTGCTGCTCTGAAGAGGCGGGGAAGCCCAGACCCAGACACACGTGCAGCAGTCCGTGGCTCGGCTTATGTTCCGAGGAATTGAAAATCCTGGCAGAAAAGCAGCATATTGAAATTAAATAGCTTCCCTAAAAGGGATTTCTTTCCTTTTAGCTGACCGTGGTGTTAGGCGGAGAGCTCTTTTGGCATTTTCATCTGTGGTGCTGGCTGGACCACCTCTGTCTGGGCTTGCAGTCTCTACTCACTGGGAGGGACTCTAATTGTACATAGGATCTGTTTTTGTTTCCTAGGACATCAGTATGAGTCTTTTGCTCTCCTCTTAGTAGGAAGAAGACTGCTGTCTATGAAGAGCTAAGGGGGACGGTTTTGTGCTCAGAGGTGTAAGCAGAAGCTTTCCTCTGTCACTTTGTTCAGTAGTGATGGTTTCCAGGCTGAGCTGCCTTCAAATCCTGCTGCTCTCCTCCAGGCGCAGGGATTTCTTTGGTCTCCCAGTTGGCTGTATTTTTACCCTGAGCTTTTCCATAAAAGATTTGTCTTAAGTAGCTTATCTCTCCAAGGTTCTTCTGTGTGTGTCACGTTTTAAACTTGTTTACTTGGCTTTACATTTTTCCAGATATGTGTCCCGCTGTATCTAGTCTGTATTTCCCCAAATGTCAGGATGGATGAGGTAGCTCTTAATACAAAACTGCTTGAAACAATTTTAAGTTGAAGTATTTTACTCTTTTGCCCTTTAAGCCTGCCACACACCATCCTCCTTGTGAGGGATGCTTTTAGTTCCTGGAATTAAGCTGCTAGGCAGGTTGCCTGGAGGTTGTTCATTAAGTTCTCCCTTCCTATCCTAAAGTAACTGAGATTTCTCAGTCCATGGATCCATTTTCTAATACTGCTTCACTCCCAATCATTCACCAGACCCTACCGCATTTCCCCTCCTGTGAACTCCTAGCTCTGTGTACCGGTTGGTTGGTTGGTTTGTGGGCTACAGTAGTGAGATGAGGAACCATTTTTCCTCTGCTGGACCAGGGAACACCACCTCAGTGGTTACCTTTGTCCCTTTTCCCACATAATTAGAATGGGAAGGAATGGGAATACTTTGTTTCCGCTTGCGTGGAGTAACACAGATGAGGCACATATGGCGGACCCTCTTCGGGAACTAAGGCTCGATCAGACCTGGTGCAGCTTTGCCTATAAAAGCAGAGTGCAGCCTAGAGGAGAAAGCAGGCATTCTAGCCAGCACCCTGGCTCTGAGGAGCCGGTCTCAGTGGTCCCCTGTGCCTCAGGTACCCGGCCACTGCCAAGGTAAAGTGGAAGGGGTGACTTTCCCTAAAAAAAAAACATGAACCAATAAACAGCCAAAAGGAAGATGTGTTTCTCAAGGAAAGGTTAACTAGGAGCTGCTCATATTTCAAGCTAATCATTTTAATTGTTCAAATTAAAGCTGACAGCCAGAGTCCCTGTTTGGGCTCTAGCTACACTCACCCACTGAAACGGTACTGCTGCACCAGAGGTGGATTTACTAGAAAGCCTTATTATCTCCACTTTCACTCCCAAATCCTTTCCAAACCAGTACTTTTTAGAGGGCTGATTCCTGGAAGTAGTTGGTTCTTTCACCTTCCTAAAAGGCAGAGCCGTGTTAAGTGTGCTGGCCACAGGGGAGGGTCATTGTGGTTCCTCGTGGCTTCCAAGCTGCATTCCCGCAGCTCTGTTCGAACAGCAAAAGGTGGGCAGGGTGAACGTTCAGAGCCTGGCCTCTTCGCTGCTCGTCCCGCGGGGTTGTAGGGAGCACCCCAGAATGCAGGGTGGGTCCCTGTGCCTGCCTGCCTGCAGGGAGGGATCTGGCTTGCGGCCTGGGGGTTGTAGCAGCAGCTCCTCCCAGCTCCTCCCTTTCCACCCTGTGGAGCTCAGCTCCGGGGCTGCAGCAGTAGCCGCTATGGCCTCTGACCAGCACAGCTGCCAAAAGGAGACGTGTGACATGGGAACTGGAGGCAAAACCATTTGGGCTGCAGGCGCCTTTGTCTTCAGTTTCAGAAGACTGATAGAAACAGGCAAATAAGTAACACAGAAAAACGATGGGTGTGGACACAGGGTGGGTCTTGATTTTTTTGCTTGTTTGCAGGGGACATGGGGGCAGAGAGGGGTGTAAAGCAGAATATTTATTTTTTAACAATGGCACTTGTTTGCCTGTTTGGCTTTAAAAGGCGATCCTTTGCTCGGAGCCCCAAACCTAGTTCCTCAGAATCGAGTCTGGCTCCAAAGGAGTCAAGTTGGGCCTCGTTTTTATAAAATCAGTGTCACAGGGAAAGACAGGATGAAGTCACTCACTGCGGGCGAGCTCTCCCTCAGGACCTGAACGCAGGCACTAGAGGCTCTCTCCCACCACCCCCCTCCCCTGCCCCTCCAGGTCACTCCGTCGGGGCCCATGTGCACCAGCAGCCCCAGATGGCGAGGGGTCTGTAAAAACCCACTACTACCTGTTGACTGACTCTAACGGCCTGTAGCTTGAGCTAAGTACATCATCACTTACTATGCTCCACTGAAAGGTGTTCAGAAATAATAGTCAAAAGGAAAGAGACCAGATCTTTAATGATACTTTCCATAAAACAGTTCAGGTTGGTGAAGCAGAAAAGGGATGTGATTACAACTTAAATGAAATCAGTCACTTGCACAGTTAATCCTCTCAGCATCACACAGACTAGGTTTTAGTGGAAATGATTACGTCACACACAACCATCACTCACAGAGGGCAGTCTGGAGTCCTTCACAGACCTGAGGGGGAAGGTACTGCACCCAGTGAGGCGATGCACAGACCTTGGACCACAGCATGACGCCACCCACGCCCACCCCTTCCTGTGCTATGGGCACCTTCCTGCGGCCATACGCTCATCCCGTGGGACCCATGCCCTGGATGCAGGAACAGACTTTGCTCAGGAGCTCCTCCAGGGCCTGTGTGAAGAGGCCACTTCAGCAACAGGGGGGATGTGAGAAAGTTTAGGGGACGGTGGAGGTGGAAGTGGGATAAGTATATCTAAATAGACTTATGTACATACACTAAACCAATGAAGAAGAGGTTTGGCTGTAAGAAATAAATATGCCCCCAAGCCCGGAAACCAAGCTGCTGAGCAGGTTCCACAGGTGAGATACACATTTAACACTTAACCAGGGCCCATATACTTTACTGGTTTTATTCTATTACATTTGTCATCACTAGACACTGAGTAGAATACAGTGGATAAGCAAAAGTTTCTCCACCATGGAGAGAGATTTGTGTTGCCACAAACTGTTTCTGTCACCCACCTGTGTGGGAGGACTTCTGAGAAAGTTTTCTTGTTCCGAGGAGCCCTGTGACTCGGCGTGAGGCCCTGCCTCAGCACTGCTCTCTGAGCGAGAAGCCACAAACACGCTAGAGACAACACGGCACGAGGGGAGAGCCCCGAAGAGCACGAAGAGCTTTTGAAATAGGCGTGATACAGCTGCACAGTTAAAAATGTCAAAATACAGAGAGGCACATTTACATCGCTGGGGTTCAAGTGGACAGTTCACACGGGTCCAGTCACTTCTCCAAAGACCCTTCATGATACCCTTCAGACGTGTCTGCTGGAGTAAAATCAAGAAATAAAAACACTACGGAATTCAGAGAGGAGATGCGTTCATTTCCTAAGCCAACGGTGTTGCCTGTGTGAGGACCACCTTCCCCAACAAAGTAGTCTAGTCTGTTGTTAAGTTCCATGCGGTATAAAGGCCACTTTCCTCCATCAACACTGCCCGAGGCTTTCTTGCTGGAGTTACAACTGCTGCCTGTCCAGAGACTAATGATGTAAGTGCAAATGTTAGAAGTTACAGCTGTGTACCTTCTAAACAAAAGAGCCTGGATTCATAGGAGCGAGATCAGAGGAGATGCACGTTTCAAGTTCAATGACATGTGGTGTTAATGCACTGATATAGTAGATCAAATTATGTGAAACTGTCATTTTTGTAGATCAAAAACAGTCCAATAGAATTTCACATGGCTCGACCTGTGTGATTTAACATTGTGAACTGTTTTAAATACATGTTTCCCTCTTAATTCTAGGCACTCTAAGTTGTTAAGACTTAAACACGATGGCAGAGCTTTTCTCTCTGGAGTGAAAGTGCAGACCAGTGCTGTTGAGAGGGTTCACACGGTGGAACTGTCCCAGACCTGGGCGGTCCTGTGCCACGTGTGGCTGCTGAGCATTTGAAATGTGGCCAGTGTGACTGGAGAACTGAATTCTTAATTTATTTTTAATTAACATTTAACTAACCATATGTAGCCAGTGACTGCTGTATTGGACAGTATAAGTTTAAACATAATTGTAATTTGCTTCTAGTTAAAGTATATAGCAGATGTGCTCTGCTCTGAGAAAATGTGGGATTTACCCAGCTAATATTAAAGTGGAAATAGAGCACATCTGCTCCTGCAACTGCAAACATCCAACCTAGGAGGAGAGCCACCCAGCTTTCTTTTACATTCATACACTTAAGAAATTATCTGGACTATTTTTTTTCTTTTAACAGAAAAACAAGAATAGCAAAAAGTCTGGTTGGCTGGCTTAACATGAAATACATTCTGCCCCTTGTAACAACTTGTAGAGAATCGGGAAGGGAGAAAATAATGACTGGGACAAGAAATGAACATGAAAATGTGCCTGGTCCTATCCCACAGGCCTAGCTGGAGCTCCTTCCTTTTCTCTCATTACTTTGCACATCATGCCACCAGCACCCCAAGATCCACAGGCTGGCTTGGAGCGCTTGCAGAAAGCACAGTTACCTTCATTAGATGGGATTCTGGTTCGAGATTTCAGTTTGAGTTAAATCTAAATAGTGCTGGTGCCTATTTTTTTGTTTTTTTTTGTTTTTGTTTTTTTTTTGGTGGTATGCGGGCCTCTCACTGTTGTGGCGTCTCCCGTTGCGGAGCACAGGCGCCGGACGCGCAGGCTCAGCGGCCATGGCTCACGGGCCCAGCCGCTCCACGGCATGGGGGATCTTCCCGGACCAGGGCACGAACCCGCGTCCCCTGCATCGGCAGACTCTCAACCACTGCGCCACCAGGGAAGCCCTTTTCTTGAAAATTTTAAAACAGACTACTAACCTCAACAACAGAAACTCTACTTATTCAAAGTGAAAATATTTTCAATTGCTCTGCTATGAGGATGGGCCAATGAGAATTGTTAAAACTTAGACTAGTAAAGACTTTCGTTTCCTTCTGTGGAAGCAGACCCCACAGTATTACCCGACGTTTAGGTGATGGTCAGAATCAACTCTGGAGGGTAGCATCTCAACCTCAGGTGACCAAGTAAGAAGTAAGACTACAGTGGACATGCAGTTAATCCCGGTGCTACAACTAACAGGGAATTAGGTGCTGACTCTAAAAGGCGAACAGAAGCTATGGTTTCATGGCAGTGGATAAATAACACCTGGATAACATGTAGCCGAGTCATGGAATTTTTTAAACACTTAAGTGTATTTGGCCTTCCTGGGAGTTTTCAGTACTCCTATCTCCATGAAAATACCCCAAAATCAAAAAAAAAAAAAAGGTAATTCTTGAATTTGCAACATAGTTACAACTGAACCAACAAATTTAGTTAGTGCAGCTCTGAGAGATACGAAGAGCAGCAATTACCTGGTCTACTTAATGATGCCCTTTCAGTTATCTTTTACAAGCAAAGAGAATGATTACTGAGCAGTCACTGAAATCTTGTGGGCCACAAATTACGTGCACACATGATCCCTGATTTTGAGCCAACCTGATCTCCGTTACAGCTGTGAGAAGGCAGCAGGTGGTTACGTTGCTCTTCACAATCAGGAACGTATCTTCCTTTCAGCATGTGAGAGTAACAATGCATTGATGTAAATGTGCCTCAAAGTGAGAATTGAACATTAATATAAAAAAGTCAAATAGAACTAAGTTCTTGAAACTACATATAAAAACTGAATTATTACAACTAAAGCAGCAAATCAAAATATCTGCTGAGGTTTTCTGGTAGAACTAAAAAAAAAAATTAGTTGGTGCCCATGTTCAATAAGTCACTACCATTGACAAAATAAAACTAAACCCAAAATAGGAAACTGAAAAGTGCATAATGAAATTAAATCTTGGATCAAGTATTTATGGAAAATTGGAAATGTTTGTCCGGTATAGTTGACGAATAATGATTTGGAGGAGGTATTAAAGTTTATCCGACCCAGCTTTGGCCTGGCGTTCCACATAAAAAAGGATGTAGGCCTTGGCCTTCACAACGGTGTCTTCATCAGTCAGTGTTACAGTACTGTCATTGAAATGGAACCAGCGACCTTCGTGAGTTGCATATGCTGTGTAATGTCCAGAACCGACCCTGTAAGGAAAGGTCAGATGATCAAAGAAAAAGGCTACAGAAATCACAAAAGAATCTATGCAACCATATAAATTATCAGGTAGACAATAAATTTTAATAAGTACTGTAATTAGAGAATAAATCCTAGAGGCCTGTAATTTAAGATAGTTGCTTGGGCTCATGTGTTTATCTTCTCAAAACTCATTGAAATGACAAGGAATATATTGACACTGGAAAACAGGGAAGAGTGCCATGGACTGACCAGAAATTGAGGATTTTTTAGGACACACAAAGCAGTGTTTACATGGTACTGGATTAACAGAGAAACCAAACAGTGAAGGAGCTCTCAACCTAACAAGCAGAGGTCAAAGCCTATGGAAACATGGAAAACTGAGGACCAGAAAGTCTTAGAGGAAACCTGAGCATAAGACAGAAATCTGCCTCCAGGGAAGCACTTTCCCTCCTACTTTGGCCATCAAAGGCTTTTCTCTCTCAGCATGACCCACCCACTCACACATGGAACCCCAGAGTCAGTCCTCCTGAGTAGGAGAAAGCCTGTAGATAGAATAGAGACCTTCATAAACTGCTAGAAAAAACCCTTACATTTCCATGAGCTGAAGACATCAGACTTAAGAGTGCCCCTGTCAACTACCAAAGAGAAATGCATCTGATGTAATTTCTCAAGTCCAAAGGAAAAAACAAACAAATGAGAATCAGACACGTAGTGGACTTGTCACTTATAACTATGAACGGTGAAGTCAGTGGAGCAATGTCTACAAAGTTCAGAGGGAAAAGGATTTTCAACATGGGTTGCGGTTTGCCAAGTCTGAAGGTAAAACTGCCATATTCTCAAGCGGACCAGAAACAAGGTATATACCCTAATGCAGACCTTCAGGGGGAAAAAGTAGTCGAGAGTGTCATTTAACAAAATAAGAAATGCACCTTTAGAGTAGATGACATGAAGTAAAGTTATTCTAGATAATCCCCCATTTCCCCCCATTTAAATATCAACTGGCCAAGGAAATCAACAGCTTTGGAGTAAAGACTACTCAGGATTTTGTGAACAACAGACTGGTTCCGAATACTGGGCTCAAATGAACCCTTCTCCATTTTGGTTTCATGTGCCTTCTCTTCATGCTTTGCAACGTCCTCAGGAATATTCTTTCCCACCAAGATGGAAGGAAGGTTCTACTTCATGCACTTTAATGAATCTGAATCTAGTATAGGGGGTCTGGGGAGAGTCATCGGGAGTGGTACAAAATTGTGGGTCGTCACTCTGTATCCCCAGCCCTGAGAAGCCTGCTGGCATACTCACCCGGAACCATGGTGCACCACCACAGCAGCAAGGTCATAGAGGCAGTTCTCCGGGCCACTGTTCTCAGGCTACAGAACAAGGGAGAAGGTATCCCAGCACTGAGTTAGGAGCAGTGGTCAATGACATCGGCATCTCCCTACCTCAGTGACCTCTACCCTCTATTTGTGAAGACTTAATTTTACCGAAAAGCCATCTTTTCACCAGGCTAACAAAGGTAATTACCTTACCTCTAGTAAGTAGCATTTCATGTCTAGGCCTCTCAGGGGAAATTCTACATATGTATCAACTTTGTTTCTTAAATATGCTGTCCAATGAAATCTTTTCAAATGTAAGCATAGCACCTGGATGAGAGATAAAGACAAAAATTATAAACAATTTACCTTTCAATCAAAATTAGCTACTTGGTACTAATGTCTCTGAAATAATATTTTAGGTGGCCTACCAGCTTTTCTTTGGATTCTTGATATTAGTTTCTTCCATGAATACCTTATTGTGGTACTGTGATTTATAACAGTATGTTTTTAGTCTTTGTCTCCTTTCCTGGCACAGAGCTTCTAAAAGCCTTGAAATTTTCTAAGTGAGGAGAGCCATGAAGGTGTCTTTTTATGTTAATGAGGTATGGGCGCTCGTTGCCAAAAGAACCAAAAAATCAAGAGAGGAGAGAGTTGAAGCTTTCAGTCCCACCCCCCCGACCCCCAAAAGGGGAGAGGGACTGGAGTTTGAATGATCAGCAGTGGCCAGTGATTTAATCAGTCAGCCTGTGTAATGAAGCCCCAAAGCAAAGGGTTTGGAGAGCTTCTAGGCTGGGGAACCAGAGCTCTTCCACGTGCCACCATGCTGGGCCCCAAACTCCATGAGGACAGAAGCTCCTTTGTTCAGGACTTTACCCTTTGTATCTCTTCATCTGGTTGTTGATTTGTATCCTTTAACATCCTTTGTCATAAATTGGTAATCTAGTGAGCAAACGGGTTTCCTGCGTTCTGTGAGCTGCTCTAGCAAATTAATAGAACCCAAGGAGGGGGTCATGGGAACCTCTGATTTATAACTAGTCGGTCACAAGGAGGGGTAACAATGTGGACTTGCGACTGGTGTCTGAAGTCCAGGGAAAGGGTCACAGGAACCCTCAGTCTGTAGTTTGTAGTTGAGAAGCATAATGCACAAAGTAACAACCTGGGCTTGTGACTGGTGTCTGATGGGGAGGGTGATCTTGTGGGACTGCGCCCTTACCGTGTGGAATCTGATTCTAACTCTGGGTAGATAGTGTTAGAACTGAGTTCAATTGTAGGACGCCCATGGTGTCAGAGAAGTGCTTGTTAGGGGCATGGTGGGGGAAAAAAAACCCTCCACACATTGTAAATAGTGATTAGGACATATTTACTTATGAATTCTTAAAGGGTGTATTTAGTTTTACTGAAACCCTTAGAGACCAATGCAGAACAGCTTATATAAGTATAAAGTTAGAAAAATAATTTGCCTTCCAGTCAATCATAAGCATTTTTTCCCTCAAAATTGCATTATAATTTGAAACTCAACACTTACCTTGGGTAGTTTCTGAATCCAAAACTTTTTAGTGGACTTTTGTTTCTTCTTGCACTTGTGGCACATATATAACTCTGTCTCATCAAGTTCTTCTAAGTCGGTAAAACTGCGAAGACAATCTAAAACCAAATTGATTTGGGCAGCATTAAAACAGGATGTCTTTTATAGAGGCAGTGTACTGTAGGAAGAAAAGACTATGAACTTCGAAGCTGAACAACTCAGGTTCAAATCTCAGCTTTATTAGCTATATGACCTTAGAAGAGTCAGCCTTTCTCAGTTGCAAAATGGAGACCAAAAAAAAAAAGTCTACATTGAAGGACTGTTGTGAGGAAGAGAAATAACATGTATACTGTGCCTGGGATCATGTCTAATAATCTGATGATGATCAATTCATGACAGATGGTATTACTGTAGTTGGGTTTACCATTATTAGTAAAAGAATTAATCTGGATAATTCTGATAAAAATGGTTCCCTAATGAAATCAAGGTTCAAAGAGCAATTTTCTCTCAGTATCTTACATAACAAAGGACAAAGCCCCAAGTTCATAAAAATGTCAAGTTTACCTCAAACATTTTCAGTCATAACTTAATAAACATACATTACAGAAGGCTGCATTATTGACCTTCCTATTATATATCTCCAGTGAATCCTTTGCTTCACACACTGCTCAGAATCCCCTAGATAAACCACAGCTATATTTTTTTCTTTTAAAGATTTAACTGTGTAATCTGGGATTCGGTAAACTTTGGCCCCAAGCTAAATCCAGCCACCTGGTTTTGTAAATAAAGTTTGGAACATAACCACACCCGCTCATTTATATACTCTGTGGCCACTTTTACACTACAACAGCAGAACGGAGCAGCTGTGACGTAGACCTTATTTGCTGTAAAGCCTAAAAACATTACCATCTGGCCCTTTATAGAAACAGTTTGCCAAAGCTTGGCAAAATTAGTAATATATTCAGAAGTCCATGTATCAATAAAATGTATGTATTGTTCTGTGAGAATAAATACATTATTTTTTTAGAGAAATATGAATGCCTGTGTACTCACCACTCCAGTAAGGAAATGGACTCTAGTACTTGAGAAGCCAGAGTTTACGTGAATGGCATCCCCTAGAGTTGTTCAGGGGGCGGCCTGTGTGGCAGCCCTGTTAAGAGCTTCCTGAGTGCCTCATCCCAGTCAACCCTCCCCCAACCCCAGAAGTAGTCATTATCCTGACCTCCGTTTAATCATTTCTTGGCTTGTCTTTATGTTCCATATATATGCATTTATGCATCTTTAAACAATATACTGTTTGGTTTGAGAAGTTGGGTTGCAAGCACAGACCTAGCATATAAGGAAAGGCAACACTCTCGCTGTGCTCGGAGTCTTCAAGTCATATTCAGCCTTGGCACTAGAGGGAGTGTGAGAAAGACCCCGTTCAGGGGAGTTAGTGGGGCAAGGTCTAGCAGGGATTAGATGTGGGCCGGGTTCTACACAGGCCAGCATGTAGCCAGAGGCCCATGTACTCTTTTCTTTTTTTAAGCATACTTTATAAAGCATAACATATTATATTAGCTTCAGTTGTATAATATAATGATTCAATATTTGTATATATGTAAAATGATCACAATAAATCTGGTTACCTTTAGTCACCATATATGTTTCAAATTTTTTTCTTCTGATGAGAACTTTTAAGATTTACCCTCTTAGTGACTTCCAAATATGCAATACAGTATAAACTATAGTTAGCATGCTATACATTACATCCCTGTGACTTTATGAGTGCAAGTTTGTACCTTTTGACCCATTTTACCCACCCTCCACCCCGATTCTGGCACCCATCAATCTGTTCTCTTTATCTATGAGCTTGTTTTTTAGATTCCATACATAAGTGAGATCATATGGTATTTGTCTTTCTCTGTCTGACTTATTTCACTTAGCACAATGCCCTCAAGATACATCCATGTTGTCCCAAATGGCAAGATTTCATTCTTTTTCTTTTTTTCTTTTTGGCTCCATTCGGTCTTCATTGCTGCACGCGGGCTTTTCTCTAGTTGTGGTGAGCGGGGGCTACTCTTCGTTGTGGTGCGTGGGTTTCTCGTTGTAGCGGCTTCTCTTGTGGAGCATGGGCTCTAGGCGCGCAGGCTTCAGTAGTTGCAGCACGTGGGCTCAGTAGTTGTGGCTCTCAGGCTCTAGAGCACAGGCTCAGTAGTTGTGGTACATGGGCTTAGCTGGTTCGCAGCATGTGGGAATCTTCTGAGACCAGGGATCGAACCCGTGTCCCCTACATTGGCAGGCGGATTCATAACCACTGCGCCACCAGGGAAGTCCCAAGATTTCATTCTTTCTCAAGGCTGAATTATATTCCATTGTGCATGTGAGTGAGTGAGTGTGTGTGTGCGTACCACATTTTCTTTACCCATTCACCCATCAGTGGACACTTAGGCTGTTTCCATATCTCGGCTATTGTAAATAATGCTGCAATGAACATGAGGGTGCATGTATCTTTTGAAATTAGTGTTTTTGTTTTCTTTGGATAAATACCCAGAAGTGGAATTGCTGGATCATATGGCAGTTCTATTTTTAATTTTTTGAGGAACCTCCATACTGTTTTCCATAGTGGCTGCACCAATTTACAATCCCCACTAACAGTGTATGAGGGTTCCCTTTTCTCTACATCCTCCTCAACACTTGTTATTTGTTGTCTTCTTGATGACAGCCATTCTTACAGGTGTGAGGTGGTATTTCACTGTGGGTTTGATTTTTATTTCCCTGATAATAATGTTGAGCATCTTTTCATATACCTGTTGGCCCTCTGTATGTCTTCTTTGGAAAAATGTCTATTCAGATTTTCTGCCCATTCCTTCAGCTGACTTTTTAAAAATTTATTATTTAATTTATTTATTTTTGGCTGTGTTGGGTCTTCATTGCTGTGTGCGGGCTTTCTCTAGTTGCGGCGAGCAGGGTCTACTCTTCATTGTGGTGAGCGGGCTTCTCATTGCGGTGTCTTCTCTTGTTGCAGTTGCAGAGCACAGGCTATAGGTGCACAGGCTTCAGTAGTTGTGGCATGTGGGCTCAGTAGTTGTGGCTCATGGGCTGTAGAGCGCAGGCTCCGTAGTTGTGGTGCACAGGCTTAGCTGCTTTGTGGCATGTGGTATCTTCCCGGACCAGGGCTCAAACCCGTGTCCCCTGCATTGGCAGGTGGATTCTTAACCACTGCATCACCAGGGAAGCCCCCTTCAGCTGACTCCTGAACAACACAGATTTAAACTATGCAGGTCCACTCATACAGATACTTTTTAGTAGTAAATACTACATGTATTTACTACTATATAAATACATGTATTTTACAGTAAATACACACTTAGTAGTAAGTACTACATGGCCTGTGGTTGGTTGAATCCATGGATGCAGAAGAACTGTGGACATGAAGGGTCGACTATAAATTATACGTGGACTAACCCCCTCATTGCTCAAGGGTCAACTGCAATCAGATTGTTTTTTTCTGCTATTGAGTTGTGCAAGTGTTTTATATATTTTGGATATTAACCCCTTATCAGATATATGATGCAAATTCAGTAGGTTGCTTTTTCATTTTGTTGATGATTTCCTTTGCTGTGCAGAAGCTTTTTAGTTTAATGTAGTCCCACTTGTTTTTGTTTTTGTTGCCTTTGCTTTTGGAGTCAGATCCAGAAAATCATCACCAGGACTGAGGTCAAGGAACTTACTGTGTATGTTTTCTTCTAGGGGTTTTAGGGTTTCAGGTCTTACATTCAATTCTTTAACTCATTTTGAGTTAATTTGTGTGTAAGATAGTGGTCCAGTTTCATTCTTTTACATATGGCTGTCTGGTTTTCCAAACATCATCTATTGAAGAGACGGTTCTTTCCCCATTGCATATTCTTGGCTCCTTTGTCATAAATTAACTGACCATGTATTCATGGTTTATTTCTGGGTTCTCTATTCTGTTCCATTGATCTATGTGTCTGTGTTTGTGCCAATACCATACTGTTTTGGTGACTGTAACTTTGTAGTACAGATTGAAATCAGGAAGCATAATACCTCCAGCTTTGTTCTTTTTTTCTCTAGATTGCTTTGGCTATTCGGGGTCATTTGTGATTCCATACAAATTTTAGAATTATTTGTTCTAGTTCTGTGAATAATGACATTGGTATTTTCATAGGAATTGTACTGAATCTGTAGATTGTCTTGGGTATTATGGTCATTTTAACCATTGATTCTTCCAATCTGTGAGCACAGTATATCTATATCTTTCCATCTGTTCGTGTCACCTTCAATTTCTTTTATCACTGTCTTGTAGTTTTCCAAGTACACGTCTTTTCTATTAATTAATTTTTATTGGAGTATGGTTGCTTTACAATGTTGTGCTAGCCTCCACTGCACAACAAAATGAATCAGCCATACACATGCAGATATCCCCTCCCTTTTGGACTTCCCTCCCATTTAGGTTACCACAGTGCATTAGGTAGAGTTCCCTGTGCTATACAGTATGTCTATTTTATACATAATATCAATGATGTATATGCAAGTACACGTCTTTTACATCCTTGGTTGGATTTATTTCTAAGTATTTTATTCTTTTTGATGTGGTTGTAAATGGTATTGTTTTCTTAATTTCTCTTTCTGATAGCTCACTGTTAACATATAGAAATGCAACAGGTTTTTGTACGTTGATTTTGTATCCTGCAACTTTACTGAATTTAATTCTAACAGTTTTTTTGGTGGAGTCTTTGGCATTTTCTATATATAATATGTCATCTGCAAATAGTGACAGTTTCACATCTTCCTTTCTAATTTGAATGCCCTTATTTCTTTCTTGCCTAACTGCTCTGGCTAGGTCTTCCAATACTATGTTGAATAAAAGTGACATAAGTGGGCATTCTTGTCTTGTTCCTGATATTAGAAGATTTCAGCTTTTCACCATTGAGTATGATGTTAGCTGTGTGACCGGACATATATGGCCTTTATTATGTTGAGGTGTATTCCCTCTGTACCCACTTTGAGAGTTTTTAGCATAAATGGATGTTGAATTTTCTCAAATCTTTTTCTGCATGTATAGACATGATCATATGATTTTTATCCTTCATTTCTGTAAATGTGGTAAAACAAATCG